AATTAAAAGCATGTTTATAACTGCACAGGTGCCTGAGAGAATCAGGAAACCAAAAATGATGTTTCTGCCCCAAAAATCCCAATATCACATCACACAATGAACTTGGAGTGTTTCAAGCATACTTAGTTGTTTTGAAGATACATTAAATGAATGCAACAGGAATAAAAATGCTAAGACCTTTAATTTAAGATAAAATCTCCAACCTGCAGTCCTCCCTTAATTTCCACAATTACCCCGTTCACACTACGCTCAGTTATCCGGATAAGTTGCGAATTAGGTCACAATTCGAATAAATGCAGTAGTGTGAACGCAAGAGGATTTTGAAAATGCGCATTTTCAAAATCCTGCAAGCGAGGTGGATTTCTAAGCGCGATCCGGATAACTTACCGGAATCGACACCTGTACAGATCTTACTGCGCATGTATGCAGATAAGTGCGGGTATCTATGAACACTGGTTTATTACTTTAGCGATTGCACCAAACGTATTTGGCGGTCACCACTCACTACAACACGAGGAAACAAACTTATTTTGCCACCTTATACTTCTCAAGAATGCTGGAATGTCTTTTGAGTTGCATTTGTCGTCACAAATTTTTGTTGATATTTTAAGATTTCCTGTGCGGCGCATGCGCGAGTGTTCAAAACAGGAAGTTTAACCTGAAATTTTCAACGTGGGATTCGGGTTCGCTTAGCGAGTGTGAACGCAATACCGAATCGGATTCCTTACGAAAAATCCGAATTATAGAAATGCGCATTTTGGCAACTGTAGTGTGAACGGGGTAAATGTTAGTTTAAGCAAGGGCAGTATTCTCCATTTTAATCATCAGTTGTCACAGCCAATAGGTAAAAATGCATAAATATTAGCAAGCCAATTCACAATGCTTATGATAACTATAGTATGATATCAATGATTGATGTCTTTTATAAAAGGCCATGTGAAGTATTTGCTTTTGATGAGTTTCTTTCTACATGTTGTGTCGACATAATACAAGATATATCGATTTTATCACAAACTGGGCGTGACTCAACATGTTGAAATTGAATCAAGAAGGCATCCTGGCATATAGTGCTTTTTTTAATCCACCTGCCCCTTAAAAAAACTCAAAGTGAAATGTAACCCACTGCAATTTTCTGAATCAAGGCAGGTATTAAACCAAATCAATAATCATTTTTTATCCCTTGTATCTAAATGTGTACAACTTGGTTTGATCCTCAAAGAGTTAATTTTATCTCTGTGAGTTAACTTCACCTTCCTCCATGATGAAAAGTACCTCACATTTGCCTACTTACAAATCTGTTAAGACCTCAATCTTGAAGATTAGTGTGCTTGCTCTCAGTGAAGCAGTGTATGCTGAAGTAGTGACACAATTTCTACATTACCCGCCTTTTAGATGTGTGTTTGCTATTTCCTGTACCAAAAGAAGGGATGGGAATGAATACAGTGAATGGTTTGGGTTTTGAAATAAACTCTTTTCAGTAACTGCAGACATGGTGCAAATCGCTGTCACACAATTGCACTCCACTTTTCTATGCAGCTATGAATGGAAAGTATTCGTTTCTCTCTGTAGAGCAAACAGAATACTAGCCGAGTAAATTGTTTTCTGTTTGCTTATCAAAAGAATGAGTTTTCACAAATGCATTTTCTGCTAAAATGGTTTCATTAAGCAAATATGCTACTGAGCCTGTCATCAATGATTATCAAGTTCCAATTTAAAAAATTGTACAAGCAATGTGGCATATTTTTTTCCAAAACAAAAACAGCTAACAATGTAGTTTTAACAAGACCCCCTTCTCCCTATCTTTTCATCTTGTGATCACATTTTTTACAGCTATTTACAAAAATCAAGCCCACTGGGTGCCCCCTCGGGTGAAGTCAACCCTTTTTAATGTCTCACCCTGCACTCTTGTCTGATAGAATTAGCACACCTGACTGGATACCTGTGCTGCTGAGCCAGTATCATAACAAAGAGAAAGGAGGAGAGCACTGCATAACGTTGAACAGACAACAATAAAACCACACAATAGTGAAGTCTTGAGAAAATATGCACCCACCAGCTGTGGCAACTGAAAATCTGTCACCTTCTGAACCTTGCTGCATACTTTTCACTTGATTAAAATTTCCTGTACAAATAGGAGGTCAGGCAAAGATGGAGATAAATCTATTGATATAAAATAACAGGTTGGAACAGAAACTTGGGGAAGAATTTTATGAATTTATTTCATGTGATCTTTGGATAGTCAACACCATAGGAGGGGATATTGCTTTCAAATCACAGGGCAATTAATTTTTGTGATTTTAAATATAATACTGATGACTAAGGCCTTGACCATGTAATTTATTTTGTGAGAATATATACCAATACCTCTTAATGGAGCGAGGTGAATATGTGATACAGAATAGCATTGAACATTATATCACTATCATTTTCAATTATATAATGATAATGCACAGAAATCTTTTAACTATTAAAGACAGTTTTTAACTTCTGTGGGGATGCCTGTAAACAAATAAATTTGTATCGTTTTCAGTAAGGTGCAGTTGACATTGGGCATAAAAGGAAAAGTATTGATAGGGACATCAAAACCTGTGCAATGGAGTATTTAAATGCAAAATGCACTTCTATTCTCTTCACATTTAACTTTGATTCCGAAGTTAACTATGTTTTGCAGAAAATTGAAATATATGCAAATATTCTATATGTAAGAAATCCAATGGTTATATATATAGTTAACAAAATAATAGTTAACATATAGCATTTTTTCAGATATTTGGCTTAAATAGCTTGTTGTTATGATGGAATTAAAATGTACAGTGTTGAATTTTTTTTTCAGTAACCTCAATAATAAGTAACCTTGCTGTGAATAAAAGGGTTAGATGGTAAATTTCATCATCATTGCATGCTTTCCAATTTTATAATTTAACCTTTTTAACAGGTTTTCAAAAGAATTACAAGAGCATTTATAATCGGTCAAATCCATCAATCAGTTCATGAACTTCAATTTTTTAAAGATAGGATAAATGAGAAAAGCTTTAAACAGGGAAGCATAGGCAAAAGCAAGGACTGCCCTTTTCCATGTTTCTGATAATTAATCTGCCGATGAATAGTTAAGAAAACAGTCTTGGGGAAGAAAAGAAACCTTGTGTATTTCCTCTCAATTGGTTGTGTGGAGCCATCACTTGCATGATTGACATGACACTCTTGCTTAATCCTGTCTGTATACAGATCAGAAAATCAATACCATAATGTACCAAATGCTCACATAGCATGTTTTGAAATGGGCCATGATACTGTACAAGGTGTAAAATGTTGGACATCATCATGAAATATTGCCATCAAGAGTTGACAAAATATTACTCTTCAAATTTACATTCTGAAATATATATCTGTATTCAGCTTTTTGCAGCAGCAGCAGGTGGTTGCCATAGTTAATTCCTAACCATACAGCTTTGGGCTCTGACAGCAGGAATTCGTCCTGCAACCTAATAATTTAGTAGCAAATTGAAAGATAGAACTGGCATTTTGGTTAAAATTCACAGCAGGGTCCTGTCAATTAAGATCACATAGACCTACTGTACTCCTACAATTTTCTTTAGATCATTTGCTTCTTTTAAAATTTAATCACACCAGCAATATGGGTTGCAATGAGATCTTTGATGTGTAATTTTGCATCTTTTTAATTATTTGTGTACAGAAATATTAGTAATTCTGATTTTAAGCTCATGATAGGGCAAACATTCAAATTTTATCTTTGGGAGAAGAGAAGATCAGCACTGTGCATTATTTTCAACCAAAAGTCTTTGGTTCTAATTCCAACCACCTGTAATCTACTATGGCTTTAAGAACAAGTGCTATAAATGACTTTATATTCTACATAACCTAAATATCATACCGAAAAAAAATTAGCAACCACAAATGGCAGCAAGTTCAAAGCCTGTGCCAACCGATATGTGTTACTCTTTTACATCATATCATTACTGTGGGTGAAACTGGTACTTTTTATGGCCATTTGTGGTCTTTTCATTTCTATCATATAAACAAGGTTGTTTCAAGCAGTTATATTCCATACTGAATTATGCAGTACAGATCACAAGTAATAGTTGTGTATCATCAGTCCGTGGTTATAACAATGTGAAGTCAAAATATAAAACAAAATACCAGATATAGTTTCAGTTGTCACAAAATGTTTATTTCACACAAATGATAGTATAAAGCCCTTCAAAATTTCACAGCAAATTCGAACAAATATGTTCAACACCTCAAACTTAGATTCAAGAAGTGCTGATGATTCCATGTTTTGTTGTTTTCATACATCGCCATTTTCAGAGAATCCTGTTTTTAAGGTGACAGCGACAAGTTTCAGAAGAGTTTAAAAGATTCTAGTACAAGAATATACACAGATAATAAAGTTTTAAGCAAAGAACACGGCGCTAGAGCTGAAAATCATTTGTGCGAAGATAAAGCAACAGCGTATAAACTGATGAGAAAAAGCTAGGTGCGACCAACCCTGAGTCAACACGTGTGTGACGTTTGAATAAACAAAGTCACGAAACAACAGGTTTGTATCAAATCATGACAACCGAAAAGGCCGAAGATAAACGAACATATTGGCCATTTCTTTCGGGTAAAAGTGGACGCATAGAAAAACAGATCCACAGAAACAAGACCTTACTTATCACTTACCCATCCATACTGTTAAACTTCAGAATATGCAGAAAGAAGAGAAGTATTAGTAGGCACAACGAACAGCGGTGAGGATCTCACTGCAAATGGCGGTAAAACAACACGAGGTATGGGATCTCGCATGAACGAGATAGGGGCATTTAAACAAATTGATTTCAAAGAAAAGAGACAGGGTCTATTAATTTTATGGTATTAACGATATATATAAGAAGATAATCTAGGAACAAGAGTTGTCAATGGAATATATTTTCAAAAATTGAAATAATGCTGTACTCGTTTATGCGATATGGCTATATTTAGATCAAAGGTCCCGGATGTATAGCAGAAGTACTTCCTGGTTTCACACGTGTGTGTTGTTTACAGGCACATTATGAATTCGCACAGCATTCATTGTTTGCTCAATATTTTCTTAATGCATACGTTAGTTATAGTGGAAGTCAATGGACAAAAAACTAAAGTGATTCATCAAACGCCTGCTTTCAAAAAACATGAGATGTTCAATGACATATTCCCTCTTACTATAAGTAACTTTTCTGAGAACGTTCTCCGAAGCAAGGAAGCATGGATTATTATATTCCATGATGGCACTATGTTGAAAACGTGGAAAAGTATGACAGCGTCAGTCAGAGGTGTTGTCTGGGTCGGAATGGTAGATATAAGGCAGGAAAAACAGATGTTGCAAGATTTGCTCGTATGTAAAGACATACCTTATCATTCCATAATTGACCCGTGACAAATTAATAAGTTTATTCGAAGGTTTATTGAAAAGTACATTCTCTGGCTGTGCCAATTTGCAGTGGCACTATTTTGCAATTTTCCTTCAACATTTAATATTAATGATTATTTTTAATAAATTACCCTAAATATCTGAACATTCCTAAGAGCAATTATATATATAATAGTAACATAATATTATTTGGGAGAATCTACCTGAGTTGATTTAAGTTTTTTTTTTTTTTTACTTCAATTTCAAATGTGTCAGATACAGAGGAGCTTTAATTTAGACTTCTTAGTTATTTTGTGAGAGATATAGTTGCTTAAAATATAGTAAATATACATAGATTTATGAATCCAAATTGTGAGACAAAGGTAAATTTTGACTGTAATGACTGTGCATTTTGCAGTAAGCTCTCTGTTGGACAATTCATCAGCTTGGGTTTAAGTGTTTCTGAAATGATGATCTAAAAGATTAAACTTAAAACTGTGTCTTAGAGATCAGACCACTGATAACATTGCCCTCAGACCACAGCTACTTTGTAGAGCATACTGTATGCTATCATGGTTAGATCAATGACGAACGAGTCCTAAAAACCCACTGTGAAATAATTGTTACAGAATAAGTGTGATGCTTAAGTGCAAAAGTACAAACTTTTTTATTTAATATTAATAATGTGTCAGGTGTTAAAACAGGATCATTGCATTAATATTTAGGTAAGACTGTCTAACTTAATATGCTTTAGAGGTGCTTTATGTTATTACTAGTACAAATATTAATCTATGGGAAAATAACATTTTATTTTTGCTTCTTTTAAGACTCAAAAAGTGTTAAAGTGTCATTTTAAATATCATTCCTAAAATGTATTAAAGGATTTTTATTTATTGTCACTATTATAATAAGGATTGTGTAGTAAAAGGTATCCTTTTCTTTCAGAATATTGATGAAAACAATGTGCCCAATGCCAGAATATATCCATTTGGGAGCAAGAATAAAAAGTTGATGAAGCATATTGATGTTGATAGCCCAAATGAAGCTAAGCTGAAGGCTCTGCAGTCGCTGCCTGATAAAACACAGAGAATATTCAAGTCTGACATTCATGGCTTTGTCCTAGATAGTTACATGTCTCATCCATCCAGATTCCCTACTATATTGATAACTGGTATGTGTGTTTACCACTTTTTTTCTGTATGGGGCATGCTAAAAATCTTTAATCTCTAAATAATTTCACTTTCTGCCCTTGGCATTCTTATTCTGCTCCTTTTGGTTATGCCATACAGCTGATCATCTACAAATCAACTTTTATAATGAAGATGCCTTCGGTGACATTTCATTCTTAAGGTTAACTACTATAAGAATAGACAATTTCCTAGAATATGAAGGGAAAAGTGCCATAACTACCCTGATTAGTCTCTTATATCTTGACTAATCAAATTTGCATCACATGGAATGTAAAAGCCTATTTTTGATTGATTTCTTGTGAAATTTTCATCATTTCCAAAGAAAGAGAAAACAATGTTAACCAGAGTGCATTGTGACTTACAAGTTACACAAGACTATCTTTAATAGGGGTAATTGCTTGTCTCAAAAGTGCAACTATGCTATTGGATAGAAATTGAAGATTTTAATTTTATATATTACCAGTATATGTATCTTAGATGAAGTCTTAAAATGTCTTCATTTGATTTACCTTTATTTGAAAGAAATTGCTTTTGATTTTGATTAGTTGTATGAATGTTTCTATTTTTCTACAGGTCAGACAGATGTCATTCCTGAGTAATAGATTTTCCTTAGACTCTCTTGGGAATCAAACTCACCACATTTACAATTTTCTGCAAATTTGACATTCCACTGCATATTTGCATAATGTAATGTACATGTATATCAAATTAGAGCTCATCATAAAAGCAACATCAGGAACTAAAGCAGGACATCTGAGTAAATGAAAGGCAATTGTTGACTATTACCCTGTTTCATAACAGTTCTATGATTTTTTTTTTTTTTTTTTTTTTGGTTGGCACATGTAATACAGTTGATACAGGGATTTTCTTAGAAATGTCTGTAGTTATTTAGGTAATGGCTAGACCTTTGCCACGCACATGTAAGTCTGCTCAAATCATTGCACCAACAAATAATTATCCATCCAAGTGGATGTCTTTATAATTTGACATAGTACCTTATATTATTGCATGCCCTCTAATAACCCAAGTATCCAATATATGAACCTATTTAATGGCAAAATGGCACTATTCAAAAGCAATTCTAAGTGATGCTGCATAGAAGAACTTCAAAATGTCTGTTGCCAAAATCAAATAGAAAAACAAAAAATAAAATGTTGAAAGGACAGTTGATAAGTCCAGTGAATAAATTCAGATGGTAGCTTCAGTGTTCCACTTGCTTCGAATTCAAAACTCAAAGGTACCTAGCTGAGAACATATTTAAAAACAATTTGGTCAAATTAAGTGATCACTTGCATGCATTTCTTGCATTTTACCTTTGCATAAAAATTTAGAGCAGGGTTAACTTTGTATCAGTTTTCTTGTTTAAAAAGATGTAAGTTGTCTTTTAAATACAATTTCTTATTTAAAAAGATGTAAACTGTCTTTAAAATATAACACAGGCTATATGAAAATGAAAAGGGCAGTACATTTTACATTCCCATATGAAATCAAAGGATAATGTGCAGATTTCATAAGAATGCACAATGCATGCTAAGAAGGTATTATAGTCAGATGGAGGAGCTGCATCAAGACACAAGTCAGTGACAAGAAGACCAAGGTACGTCTTGAACAATACTAAAATGTTTAACTGAATGATAGGAAAATTTTATTTTCAGATGAAACAGCCACCCCAGCATTATTTAAAGCCTTAGCCTGGCGATTTGAAAAGTATTATAACTTTGGAGTTATGAAGAATCCAGAAGCAGAGGATTTGAAGGCTCTGGGAGTAAGCGGCTATTTCTTAGACACACCCTGTCTGTTGGTGCTTGTTGCTGATGCACAGAAACATGGGAAGCAGTTGAATGAATATGAGAACTTACAGTTTAGTGGAGTTCCTTACAATAAAGATACTATGGGAGAATTTAATTTCCCCAATTTGATGAAATTTCTGTTTGCAATTAACTATCAGTTTCGACATGCTTTACCTGGAGACAACCATAGTGACAATAAGATAGTGGCAGAAATGCTGGATATAATTGAAATTGAAAAGAAAAGATTTGAAATTATGGATGATCAGGTGCTAAGTAGAGAAGAATTGTAGTGATACTTGGAACCCAGCCATGTACATGTCTTCCATATAAATTAATATCAAGAATGTTTTTCATATATGTGGATGGTATGTTTTATAATAATATTTTCAGTCTTGCCATCAGAATTTGGTCCCGATCTCACTGAAATATAAAAGCTGAGCTGTCAAATTTAAGGGGAGCTTTTTGCCATAGAAAAAAATTAATGGTTTTTATGAACTGAGGAAAAAATTTGCCAAGGAAAAATAATTTGTATTTTGTTAGGTTTTAACATAAACACTGGGAGTTTTAGCAAATCAGGGATTTTACCAAGTGTGTGGCTTTGTAGTATTCACTGCTGGTATAATCATCTCTCAGACTTATATTTGTAGGTATGTTAATTATACATCTCAGATGTGCTTTATATTGGTAATACCAATCCCCAAATGTGTAATTTATATGAAATTGTACTTAATTGGCAACTTTGACTAAAATGATGGTGTCATGTTTACCTATAGGTTAAACGAGATTGGTTTAGTCATTTTATGTTCCAGTTAAAAAAAATTGCATTTACCCAATTTGTGCTATGTGGCATGTGCTGTATTTTTTGTCAAGTTTTTAGTTTTGTTATATAACTAGCTGTGATGTGCTGGCAAACTGCCATCAACCCTTTTCAGTTTTGACCTTTCAGAAATATGGTCCTTTGGGATATCAAGACTGTCACTTTGTATGTGAAAATTATTAATAATCAAGTCAAGTGATTAAATCACAGCAATCAAAGAAACTATTCTCATTTGATTAATCCATATGTAATAATTTTTTTTCATTATTTATTATATTTAGAGTAGATTTCTAAAAAATTAGAACAGTCTGTTATAAAGTTCTTGCAGTCCGTCCACATAAATGTGCATTTTGTATGTAAACAACATTTGCTTTATGCTATTTTCTAATGAGCTGTATTTTCAAAATATTTTTCATGTTTTTATAAATATTTTATTTATAATGTTCGTGGTTAATTGCAAATCTGTGTTACAGAAGCTATCAGATAGCCTTTAAGAAACAATTGTCAGCTGTATATAGCTTATACATATTTGCTTATTTTTGTAATCTCTTTACATCAAGATTGTTGTTTGTTAATTAAATTGTTTTTGTAGTGCATTAAAGAAGACATAAGATTTAAGTCTCTTTTTTAATTTGAACATTGCTGAAATACATTACTGTGGCACTAATACCCTACTGATAACTCACAGGAATCAAAGAAGAAAAAAGCAAAGCAAGTTATAAATGAATCTGGAGTAAATAATTGAAATATGATACCCCTCATCATGATGAAACCATATGGTGAAGGTTTCATTAATGGCACAGCCAGATGGTTAAGTTAAGAGTAGATCTACTGTACTGCAATATGGTCAGTGATTAAAAAAATCGTCTGACTCACTGACATGAAAATCTGATCCCTGGGGCAATCATGCGGTATAAAAAATGAACATTTGACCTTACCAATGTTCTTGTTATACTAAAGATAACAGTTTTGTTGAGGGTTTTTGGTGACACTTTGTGGAAAATCACAATTTGACTCTTACACAATACTGAAGTTTTAAGTCATGAAATTGACAAATGCATTTTAACACACAGTAGTTCTTAAAACAATGTGCAATATAAGATTTTTTTAATACACATTCTATATATATTTCGACTTTTAACTTATGCCATCCTCCATAAATAGATGTCAAAATAGATGTTTTTGTCCAACTCAGAACTGAGCACATCCTTGGCAAATGATATTTCAATGTGTCAGTTTGGCCATGAGCAGTTGCTCCCTTCCACTGCGTTAGTTGAGAATGTTAGTGTAACAATATGCAGATGCTTCTCTCGAAGTATATTTGAAAGCATTTGAGATGAAAAATAATATTATATTTTATAAACTAGCTGATACCTTTCATGTCAATCATTAAACCATGATAAGAGATTAGTATACATGATTTATATAATATCTTTATATACTATATCATGTCTAAAAGCCTGATTGTCACACTTGCCCGGAGACTTGTGTCTTTAACAAAAATGTTCTGGTACGACTGGGCTCTAGAGAAAATATTTATTTTAAAGTATTGAACATCAATAAAAACAGTTAACAGTATTTGGTGTAATTAATAAAAGATGCTTAATATTTTATTTGTTTTGTGACATGCTTTTTCAACCGAAATCTGGTAAAAAGCAATAAAAATAACCAACCCCCCTACTCTGCCTTCAGGTGCAAAAAGAATTATCAGCAATCATTTTATATTAATACATATTTATAATAATAATAATTAAGAATTAAATAAAACTAGACAGCAAAGCTGACAAATGTTCAGACATTACTCAGAAAAGAAAAAACAGCATAATCTCTCTTACCCTCCTACATTATGTACTACAGATAACATGGACACTGAAAAATTAGCAAGTGATTCAGTTTCATGGGACATAAAAGCCACTGAAAATGCTGATGTGTGAAAATTTAGTTATATAAACAAACTAAAAAAAAAAAAAGAGTACTTAACATAAATGTAAAGTTATCGTGCCGATTTTACACAGCAACCTGCCTCTTTACCAAATAAAGCCACTCAGTAAATTAAATGTAAAACTAAAATATAGTTTGGCAGTTATGGGGCAAATGTCGCGACAATTGTGCAAAAAAAAAAACAATAATTACCGTAAATATAAACCGATCGTGTCAAATTTCAAATGCATCTGGCTTCTTTGCCAAACAAAGCCATCCACTAAATCTTAAGTAAAACAAAAATAAGTTTTGGAAGCTATGGGGAGAACATCGCCAATTTTGAGCAAAAAAAAACAAACAATAATTACTGTAAGTGTAAACCAATCATTCTGATTTTAGATAGCAACCTGTTTCTTAACCAGACAAAGTCACTCAGTAATTTAAAGTACAACTAAAATATAGTTTGGCAGTTATGGGGCTAACATCATGTGTCAGACAGCCACAGCGATGTCGACGACACGGACAGACCAATCAGAATGTATACAGACACTAACAGTGTCTGCATATAAAAATTGGGACTGAGTGGGAATCGAACTCACTCTGCCATGTAAGGACATTACAACTGGGCCAGCAAATCCTGCTATCTGATGTAGTGTTATTGACAATATAATATGTGATACCTATCGCACATGCCGAAGCTTTAATGAAATTTGCCAAAGGCTAGAAATTGGATTCAAAATATACTTTTAACAGTTGTAATCATATTCAAACATATCTTCCCACTGCCCTAAGGTATTGCTAACCGTATCAGTTGTCAACAGAACGTTGTATTTTGGGCGAAAAACATCCAAAGGAGACTTTGGCTGTCTGCTGTTATTATATAGATATGCGTGACTTGCATCTGTTTATAAGCAAGAAACAAAATACATTAAATCCAAGTACTTTGTTTTCATTTGGCTGTAATACAAATAAGTGGTCTTGTCAATCTCAAGATTTTGCTGTAGAAATATCATACAGATATAATGTACACATTTATGTACTGAAAACAAGTCTTCAGCCTGTTGTGCATTTAGCTAGGGAAAGTTTGAAAAATTTTACCTTTGAGAATATGAATAGTATAATCAGGGCACCAGTATAAGTAAAAATGCTAATTTCAATCACCAACAATTAGTTGTTGCAGCTGCAAAAAAAAGGTATTTTTTTTCCATTATGTCATACACCACCATCAGACTATTTATAGCAAACATTACACTAAAGGAAAATTGGATAGTATAATGGAAGAATTCCCCACTGTTGTTTCCTATCATTACTTGACTTGGGTCCAAATTAAACTTCTGGGGTCATTATTACAAAACAATGCCTTGTCTTCAGCTATTTTTTTCTTTCCTGTGGAAGTGCCTGGAACATAGACTGGGTCTGGGTGTAAATAGCAATTGGTTCAGGGGATAACTCTGTAACTGCTGCAGATGAAATCACCAATTTGAAATTTATGCAGTTGTCAAAAAAAAACCAAGAACAGTCAAGTGTGACAGATTTATGACCTTTGTTCTTTTAAACCAATGTAAAGCAGTCTTGTTTACAAACGTCCTGTGAAAATTAGTGTGATTTAACATCATTAGTGATAAAATTTGATTAAAAGCCCCTATTTGTCAAGTAGTACACAAAATCATGAAATCGAAAATAACACTTTTACTTCCAAATCACTGATATGTCATCAGCAAAATATATATAAGTTATAATCTATCTACAGACAAATAAAATCCTTGGACATTTTGTGATAATATTATAACAATCAGTATTATTTATTTTTTAGCCCGAATTGGTTAATGGGGTATATGTCCCAAGTGTTGCAATATTTCTCCTTCATAAGTTATACAGGTGATATAATGCTTCAGGGGACTGTCCGTAATAAAAATGGAAGAATGGGTTACTGAAGAAAGTACTGTTTATTAACCTACGGAATAATTTACTACCTACCGAAATACCTTGTGAAACATGAAGTCAAAAAAGCCCACAGACAACCTGCTGTTAAAAATTGTGGATGCCTTTTGTGGCTTATGCTCCTACTGCTATGCAAATACGGCAAATTGCTATCAAGTCACTGAATAAGTTCTTTGCCTGCTTACCACTGAGCCACTGGAAATCAAATACATTCCAGTTCAACAAACTGTATTGGATAAAAATAGAACCAACTAGAGATCACAATTCAAAGCAATATAATTAGAGAATTAGCATCTGATCATTTTGAAAACCAGTCCTTTAAAACTGTCAAGTTTCACATTTGGCTTTATTTTACACAGGAAATATTGAATTGCAAAGCAAATATTGAAAGTGTTTCACCACATACTATTTACATTATAACATTTTTCAATTTGACCAACACGTGCTTTGAAAATTAGCACAGCAACACAGCAAAGTATAACAATCATGTAACTTGTACATAAAGCTGACACATTTTACAATCACCCTAAATACTATCAATTTCCAATTATGTTTTTTGCTTACAATTTGTCCTGTTTAAGGTCCTTATTTTTATATTGTCATTCTGAAACAGTCCACGCTCCACCACTTTACTTATAATATTCATGAGAAAATTCTGTTTAGTATTTTGAGGTACCATTCAACATGCCATTCATATAACAGCTGTTCAACTGTCCAAGACAAAATATTGTTCATGATGCTTCACTACTGCTTGAGTTAGCTCTACTACTATTGTCACCACTAATGCCTTGGTCAGTGGTGCTTGAGTCAACCACATTTGTCTTGTTTCTCCTTCTTCCAAATATGGATGGCATTGAGTACCAGCTTCTCAAAACTGTGGCTTTGGCAATATCATACACAGCTGAGACAGAGTCAGGTGCTGGGCGCACATCCAAAGTGGTAAACTGATAAGTGACTGGATCTACTTCATGTCCTTCATCATAATAGTCTATGATGTACCTCACCTCCTTGCCACAGCGGTCTACAATCCAGTCATGGCGGTCAAAAGGAAGGTCATATCTGAAAACAACATATACAAATCTGTCACTGCAATAATTTGTAACTATACTCAAAGTTACTTTGGTCAAACTTTGGTCTCACGTTATCTTAATTATTGAAGGTGGTATTGTTCTTTGAGTAGCAGTTAGTGCACTGGATACTGAACACTTCACGAAACATGAAGAAGTGAAATCATTTCTCTTACTGAACATCCAGTTCTTAGTTGTCTCCTTCCTGCTCTTTCCAAAAACCTACCAAACTTGTGCTGTCCACTGTCCAAATGATATAACTTTCCACATTTGCATCAATACCCAATTTTCAGGTGAAAAATCATTAATTTGGCTTCATATAAAAAGGAAGAGTAAACCCATTTAAGAAATTTACTATATAGTTACCCTCTCCAATGCCTTATCTTTGCTCTCCAAGAAAAGTCCTTGGCTTTACCTCCAAAGCTTTTCAATTTTGGGTCACAGCATTCCCTGAAAAGTTTCATTTACAATTTTTACTAAAATTTCAATCAATATGCAGCATTATGATCACTTCATCTCTTTCATAATATCAACATAAAATAAACCCCATTCTGTTTTCATAATCCTTGATAGATCATTCCCAAAAATAATAGATCTAGTCTTTTCAGTCAACCTACTTTGCATGCCAGGCCTCCCATTTCAGGACCTCCAACCAGGCTTGCTCATTGTTGGCATTGTGAATTCTAATTATACCATTCATGTCTTCCTCACTGATATCATCTTTTTTCCATCTCCACCCTAAATATATCAGGAAATTGAACAGATTTATTTGCATTTATTTTGTTGAAGCTTCAGAGTCTTTACTTTATATCTATGAATAAAACCAATGGAATGTTATCATGAAAACTTTACAAGCCACATTATCAGTAAAAGTGCAGTTGAAAGATCTACAAATCTCATATCTATTATACTCAAGACTATCCTCTATCAGTTGTGATATTTTATTAGTTTTCATACATTTCCCTTTGTCCACTGCTTTTCTTACCTTTTCTTAGCATAGCATTCCAGAACATCTGAGGAGATGGATAAACCCAGTATTCATTTTCTGTTCCACCCTTTGGTATGGAAGACACTACTCTGTCAGTGCTTAGCGGAAAAGGTTGGTCTGGAGACGGCCTTTGGTTCGGAGGAGGCATCTAGAAAGCATTATTTTTGTTTATTATACAAAACTGGAATAAAATCTGAGGAGTTATTATGCCACTTATTAATGTGGGTTGAAAATTAAAACAATGTATGACAGAACCGACATTCAAACATGCTTCAAATAGTGAATCCCTACAAGATTATCTTTTATTCAGTTGTACATTTTTGCAAGTAACCATCCTGAAACTGGCAAGAGTATTCAAATCCATACATGATTTAGGAGACTACCATTATCAGACATGCTGAAAACTTTTCAGAACTGCCGGACATTCGGACCGGCAGTGATGAAAAATTTGCCGGACCGAACGGACTTTTGCCGGACCGAAAAATTTCCATCAAATATGGATACAATTCGTTTGCATAGTAGTACACAGAAGTAACTCTTGTAAATACATATTCAGTAATACTATCAATAATTTGGGCATGTTGTATATTTTAAAAACAAAAACTGACACTTAGAAGTTGGGAAGCACTGCTTTATTGTTGTTCTCATTTCAAAAGTTGCAGAGTTCAAACAGGCCTTACGAAAAGTTTGAATTTTTTTTTCCTTTGAAAGTCCTTGAATTTCACACTTTATCATTTAATTCAATAGAACAGCGTGTATGGTTTCATTTTTCAAGACTTGCCATCTTGGCATGTGTCTCACTGCTGCCAGCCTGGCACTCACCACGCAATGCCTTCCAGCTCTCACCACTATTTCCAAGTGCCATAAATACATGTATTATAGTATGTTTTAATGAAATATGGTAAAAAAGAGCAAGGAATTCATCATATGTTTCACATCTATGTCATAAATTGAGATTAATTATGACTTTTATCATGATCAATTTCTCAAAAACTTAATGTTGAGTCATTTCAATTTGAAATGAATTTGCTTAGAAACTGAATGAAAAAGAACTTATTTCCACTGCTCAACAATAGCAATATTTGCTGTTGATCAATTTCTCCTTTTCTTAAAAATAATTTGCAAATATTTTCATGCTACACAAACAGTACATATAAGATATTGTAGTCCGAATGGGAGTGCTAGTGCATAAAACATTCTAGCCACTGCACTGTATCAGTCTCCTCTGCATGGAAACGAACCGCTTCCTCATCAGGACTGGACCATACCATAATCTAAAATAATAAAAAATATTAATGATGTGAAAACTGTAACTGGTACTGGTAACTGGTATCGCGTTAATGCTGACTGGATATTTAAAATCTGTAAAACAATATTTTCATACACCATGGATCAAATTTCTATGGTAGGTTCGAGCAAGCGACCGAACTGCCATACTATCGGCGATATGAGAAAGGCACTACCGCATATTAACCGAATACAAACGAAAGTTCCCATAAGTTAAATGACCTTTACAATCACCAATAATTACGCATAAGATTCAGTCCTATAATTCTGAAATCGTTTTTACTGAGTGAATCGGGTGACCTCATTTCCATGCACTATCGACGTTTTAACCCAAAAATAACAACTAACAGTGTCTACGTACCTTGAAGGTCGAGCGTCACTATCTTGGCTTTCTATAAGAACAAACTGTTCTTGAAAAAGGCGTCAGGAGTCCAAGTTTAGCAGTAAACATTTGTCCTGACAAGTTTACATGTGCTTGGCAGCGTGGACCGCCCTCGTGATAGATGTCTGTATGTCGCAACTAATAGACCAATGACAGCGCGCGTAATATCGAGAGCAGGGGGATTCCTCATGGGGAATTACCCATTCGTTTGAGACGGATACTACGATTGGCTAGCCTACTTTGTACGTGAATGTGACAAATGTGATCCTTTTTTACGTGTCGCTCGATTAGTAAATGGTAGAAAAAATGATGTGGCTTTTTAAATAATTTTATTCTTGAAGTACATTGGATGATGACTGTAAATTCAAAATGGCGGCTCTTAAAATTCTTGTCGGTCCTTTGGACCGACTAAGTACAATTTTTTACCGGTCCAGACAAATTTTGCCGGTCATGACCGATCGGACCGACAGTTTCAGCATGTCTGCCATTATAATTACAATCTTTTGGCCTTTACTTAAGTTTAAAATCATCCAATACCTACCATGTTTGTGGGGTCAATATCACCCATGCCTGATGGCAATGGGCCTTCGTTTTCCCTGTTCATTGGGCACTCACTGGGGTAATACACTGGCTCTGCACTTCTCTGTCCATGCTGTACTGGACACTCACTGGAACTGGACATTGGTGGGTGACCAGGTGGTGGTAGCATGGCACTGTTGTTATTGTTATTTGTGTTGACTTTGTTATGCATTGGGCATCCCTCTGGTGGTCTCTGGACAGAGGGCTGGCTAGCTGGCACAGCTGGAGACTTTTTGCCAGTTAACTGGTCAGTGACAGCAGAACTTGCTTCAGTTGATGTAGCTGCTCCCATTTTCCTATGCAGTGGTGAACACTATAGAGGGCAATCTAAATTAGACAATATCAGTGTTAAAAGCTTACACAGGTATTGGTCTATTCTCAATTTTGGAATACTATAAAATGTATCATTGTAGTATATCCAAAAAGAGGAATTATATAATAGGGTTCTCAATACCTCGTCCAGATAAGTTAATAAAACAGTTTTAAATACATAAATAGCATATATAAATATAAACACCGTATCTCAGTTTGCTGTAAGCTTCTGATTTTAAATACAAAGCACATGCTGAGCATTTAAAGGATATAACCTGCATAAAAAGTTCAATATTGATGTGGGTATCTAAAACCAATTTTCCTCCATATGGCACATTTGTGTTCTACATTATTTCGTTTTATTTTTTTTTCTCACAAATGGCACAAAATTATTTCAAGATTCAAGGCCATAGCAAGCCATTGAAGATGGCACATATTTGGAAAACAAGGAAACCGGTTATGTCTAGATAGGGCCAACGGTAAAAAAGTGAAAATAAATTCTCAAGTAATATAGCAATTCTCACCTCAAAAACAGTTTGTAATATGACTTGTCCAAATAAAGGGGAAGTAAATGTATTTCACTATTCACAATCTCTCCTTAGTTATCATCATTACACATCAACACATATTCCCCTGCTAACATACCTTCCATATTTCAAAGTTATCATCTGAATAATAGAGTTCATATACTAGTATTAATATTATATAACACTGGCAATGTGCGTGAATCTAAAGTAAAATAAATATGGTTTGTTAAGGTGAACAACAGATGTGTCAGATGTCTAACAGCAACCAAGATGACACGACAGACACAGTGATCAGAATATATGCAGACACATGCACTGTCTGCATCTGAAATTAGTTACAAATAGGAGACTATACCCCCCCCCCCCCCCTCCAGATTCACTTTAAAAAATGGGGGAATAGTTCTTTCAAAAAAACTAACATGTTGACACGATGTTAGGAAACTACATGTTAGAACTTGACACGATGTTAGGAATTCTACACTTTTCAAAATACGTAACTTATACTACTTCTAGTTATTCCACCTCACTGAAACACAGACGAGTTGTGTGACACACACACACACACACACACACACACAGAGAGAGAGAGAGAGAAAGAACTACAACTTCTTGCAGAGTGAGAGAGAGTTAACGCTATTGATAACACCAAAATTCTTTTACTTACAACAATGTCAAATAACTTACCACTTTCGTTCTAAATATCTAAAAACATATCATTTTATGTAAGACTGGTTACATCAGCGGCATGAACGCATGAGTCCAATGTGGTTCGTCTTGTCTAAGTTCCTTCCGATCGCGTGTTACTTTGCGAGATCAAAGATTAAGCTTTTTCATTGGACGAATGAGCAGTAGTCTCGAGGAATAGGGCGCTAAAAATGAAGCCAAAGAACAAGAAGGAAAATACTTTTTCTGGAACTGATGAAAGCCATAACTCAAGAAATGCAACAAAGAGGTAGTATTTTATATACATAATATGAGCTATTAATTTTAACAAATTGAAATGCCAAGGATCTATGCCTGGTAAAATTTGAGACCAATTTTTGGACAGTCTTTCCCGGCAATTTTTATGTTCGTTGAAATTTAATGTGAATTATTATTATTTCATTTTATCTATTCAGGATATAATTAATAATTATGTGCCTTACATTTGCTTATTTTGTTATTTTCTTCATATTTTGTTTTATCCCTAAGCGTGATTATTTAAAACAGAAACAAAAATTGGACCATATTTACATTTGTTGGTAAAATGTAGATTTGTTGTGTAGACTACACTAGCAGTTTTGAGTAGGTAAACGTAATTAATATTATGAAACGATCTTGATATGATCTTGAGAAGATTTCAAAGGTGCAGGCCTCCACCAAAGAAAGAAAGCAATAATTTTATTTTAGGGAGAAACATAACCCCTTTCATTGGCAGAGATAATTCTGAAAGCATATTTTTACTTAAAATTTATTAATAACTTTTATTGTATTTCATTTGCAGAAAAAGAAAATCATTAAGTGAACTGGACTCTAGCCTCCAGAATACAAAGCTAACATGGGACATGGATCCCAAGAGGAAGAGCCAAATCTATGAAGATTGTGGTATAAATGAGTTAGAGGAAGACAGCAGGGATGCCTTCCCTGAGCCCACTCCTAAGATACTCATGGCAATATCTTCAAACCCGCCTGGGGTAAGAATACTTGGCTGTAATCCTATATTTATAAATATATATATTATGGCGCTTAACCTGGTATTGCCAGCCCATCAAAACAACCCAAAGGGTGATTGATCCGATTATCCAGTGCATGCAGAAACAACTTTTAACACCACCATTGGCCATTATATAAGTTACCATCCCAGTTCTGTGATAGCATTTGCCAATGAGTGTCAGAAGTAAGATCTTCCTAGCAACTTGTTAACTGTTGATCTAAAGAAATATGGTCCTCTGGGCTAGTGAACCTGTTGACTATTGGTAAACATGCAGTTTTTCATCAATGTTTTCTCAGCAAAATCAAGTGCTCAGTGGATCAAACCCTGTAAATAAGTGTCTTAATTTTTCATAGGCAAAAATATACTCATATGAGCTTTAATACGGAATAAATATTAGACTTTAAACAATGAAATAAATAGCAAATCTTGTATCTCTGTGCAAGTAATGTAAATGCTGACATGGAACTGATGTTTGATTATGTAGGCTCCAAAGGCAACAGCCAGATACACAGAATCAGATGATAGTAATGAAGCCCCACATCTTCACCCTTGGATTAAGAACCCAACCCCACACAGGCCGCTAAATGAGGAGAATGAAAATCCTCTGAAGAAAAGAAGAAAGGTTTGCGAAGACAGAGGCAGAAATGGTAAGACATTTCTTAGCTGTGTCTGAATCTTAAAAAGTATCTGCACCATATTATAAAAAGAAATCTGAACAACTTTTGATTAAGATTATAAAGACTGTATTATTGATTTTCTTTTTGAGTGTACTGAATGTAAAAGATACAAAATGTCAGTTTTACCTACCTACTAAACATACTTCCTTACATTCTCATACAACAGCTGTGAAGTGCACCCCCAAGCAAGTATTCTGTTAAATTTTTATGGTATTTTGTTTTATTCTAGAGATTAATGGTTTATATACTCTTTCAGAATTATTTGTCAAGCTCTCAGATGAAATCATACTAAACATCTTCACATGGCTGCCCAAGTGCATGCTGGTTAAGTGTGCCAGAGTTTGCAAAAGATGGAAAGGCTTGTGGTAAGAAGATAAACTGGATCTTGGATTTTTGGATCTAAGTTTTGCTTGTTTTTTTTTTCTTTCCTTCTTTCAAAGCCATAGACTGATAGGAATAAACTTGCTGTTAAATGGTTCTGATATTTACATTTCAGTTTTGATGAGTCATTATGGAAAAGGCTGGATATGGCCAGTAAAGTTTTGAAACCTGGTGTGCTGGGCAGAATACTGAACAGAGGTGTGCGGGTGCTAAGGCTTGCAAAGGCAGAGGTAAGGAGTTTTGGGTTACTAAAACATTGTCACTGTAATTCAGTGTGCCAATATGTGGTACTGTGAATAAAGTTAGCTTTTGATTGGGTTATTATTTGATCGGGATATTATTACTGTCTTTGGTAGCCTAACACAATTGTGAACATTTTGATGGAAATTCATCCGTGTAGTCTTTTGATTATGTTATACGCATAAACTTTTTTTTTTCACTTACTTGAGCTGTACCTAAACAAAGCTTAGTAGCATAGGAACACACTGAGGTAGTGATCGAAAGCTTTGTCTAAGAACAGCTCAAGTAAGTGTAGAAATTAAAAAGTTTAAGCATGTAGCATAATCTGTTAACAAACTTACATTCATAAGCCATAGTGACTTGACATTAAAAATATGATTCCAATCAGTTTCGTGTAATCCCATGTGCTGCAGAGCTCCTAACAGGTACTGTTTTGTTTTAGGTCAATTCACCACTGTTTATTAACAAGCCAGTTGATTTTCCTGATTTGGGGTAAATATTAAGGGATACTTATTTCGTGCACTTCTGTATAGAGGTGAAAACATCTGTTGTGTCATTAAAACATTCACTTTTGTGTTCAACCTATCACATGATTTTCCATATTTCATTCTTTCAAATTGTAATTTATTACAAAAAGATAAATGCTTTAAAAATGTTTTCACATTACACTTATACTAATCTTACATACTTAATATCTTGGCATTTTATCTCCAGGCTAACAAGAGTGCAATATTTAGATCTGTCTATGACTGTAGTTAGTGAAGCAGGTCTGGAGGAACTGTTGGGAAGATGCAAGTCACTGCGAAAACTTAGTCTAGAACACTGTGCCTTGAATGACAAAATATGTGGGTAAGGAGTTAAATTAGCTCAACTTGGCCTTAATATTTAAAAGATTGTGCCATGAACATATGTCATGCTATTTCCCATTCAACTATTCTTACATATTCTTGTTATATTTTAACTCTACTTCAACATAAAGGACATTGAATGGATTATAATTTTTGCACATTTTATAAGAATATAGAGCAAACTGATGACAATTTTTGATAAGCTGCATTCTAAAGCAGACAATAAAAAACTCATTTAATGTTTCTTCTTCACATTGCAGATACATCAGTGAAAACAAGTTGCTTGAAGTTCTTAACCTCAGTATGTGCCAAGGAATTACAAAGGATGGGTTAAAAGCAATAGGAAGACAATGTCAAAGGTAAGAAAATAAAATGTGTAGAACTCTTCTTTGTGGTGGTGCTAAGGCCACACTTTTTTATTTTTATGGATGACATCCTCTGGGGACCCCAAAGTCGGTGCGAGCGGGCGAAAAAAAAAAAACAGTCAAAAAAAAAAAAAACTGCTTAAGAAAAGTTATGTTTACAGTACACAGCGGGAAACACTAATTTACCACAGAAACACGTATCAAACTAACAACATGTCNCCCTTACCGTCTAGGAGGAGAAGCGGTAACGGTAACACGGCGGCGGAGCCGCAGGAGCCGGCGGAACGGACCGGACGGGACTAAAACCATGTGTACCGCCAGCGCTAACGCTGGTGGTACAATTACCGTAAATGTAAACCGATCATGTCAAATTTCAAAAGCATCTGGGTTCTTTGCCAAACAAAGCCACCCAGTAAATCTAAAGTAAAACAAAAATATGGTTTGGAAGCTATGGGGAGAACATCGCCAATTTTGAGCAAAAAAAAAAAAAAAACGGAATAATTACTGTAAGTGTAAACCAATCATGCCGATTTTAGATAGCAACCTGTTTGCAAAGTCACTCAGTAATTTTAAGTAAAACTAAAATATAGTTTGGCAGTTATGGGGCTAACATCATGTGTCAGACAGTGATAGCGATGTCGACGACACGGACAGACAGACCAATCAGAATGTATACAGACACTAACAGTGTCTGCGTATAAAAATTGGGACTGAGTGGTAATGGAACTCACTCTGTGGTGTTAGGCAGCTAAGGATGTTACCACTGGGCCAGCAAATCCTGCTATCTGATGTAGTGTTATTGACAATATAATATATGATACCTATCACACATGCCGAATTGCCAAAGGCTAGAAAATGGCTTCAAAATATACTTTTAACAGTTGTAATGGGGCTATACGCGGAGCCGTTTGTCCTAAAGAGGGCGCTGGGGTAATAGTGGTTATTGAAGATAGCCTCGTTTTCGCGTCCGTGTAGAAATGGCTTTAGAGAATGGGAAGCAAACAGTGGCGAAGTTAAAACTTCAACTAGTTGAAAGAGGAGCCTCCACTAGAGGAAAGAAACAGGATTTGGTAGAAAGGTTTGTGTATTTACTTATAAATGTGTCAATTGTATCATTAATATTGAAGGTTTCGCGCTCGAATCTTCCCGTAGAATATGGGTTTCTGTGTGAGCTCCCTGTCAAAAGCCAGGTGTAAGCGGCGGCTAGTTCCGCACTATTTATATGCCTAATTTATTACTATATTTCAAGATAATGATATTGTCATTGCGTATTTCCATATTCCGAGAATATAATGAAGGCATTTATGTTTAAAATATGTTTATTGTAGGCACTCCTTGTCGATAAAGAACCGTTCGTTTCGGTAATCAAATTTCGTGAACCATACCGACATTTAACACGACTTGTGTCAATACAAATTTGTAAAGGAGAGACAAGGGTTGATGCGTGTTTTATGTCAATGACAGTTGACATAAGTGACATAACTAAGTGTAGATGAGGTAGACAAAACAGTGTTTGCCAAGAATGTTAGCATCGTTTTGTTAGCATCATTGTTTTTTTCACTCCCTCATAATTGCATTGATGTTGGTAGGCCACAGAGAAGGAAGTGTCAGAACTTGAGAACAGAACTAGAGGCCAAAGTAAAAGTCGAGTGTGGCATGAAGAAAGGTCATGGAGAATAACAGCATCGTGGTAGGTGTGCAAACGAAAATAAGTTTGCTTGTTTTTTACTTGTTCAAATGGCTTGTATCAATATCGTGTCCTAGCTTGAGCTACTATATATAGGCCTACCTGTATTTGCATTATAATACATAAATACAAGTTGTGAGATGATATATCATGGTTTGAAGGTCAACATTTAATGCTATGAATGTACAATTTCATTTTGCATTTGGGATACAAATTGAAAAGAACAGTAAAAAAACCTATCTCACTAATTTAATTTTATCATTTTTAGGTTTGGTGATATTTTGAACGCAACCGAAACACAAGACAAATTATGCCAGTCACTGTTGTTTACCCATGAAATCAAGACTCCATATTTCTTAAATATATATATGTATTTTAATAAGATTGATTTTTAGTGGTGTAAATTTTAAATGGTTTCCAATGAGAGTTTATGATTAAAATATTGTAGTCATTTTAATGATTTGAGTATACTAGCCATTATTGTAAGGCGCCTTGAGATAGAATGTAAGGCGCCATATAAGAATCTTATTATTATTATTATTATTATTATTATTATTAAAATTGACAGACATATAGTCGACAACAATGTCACGTTCTGGCCAAATGTTCATTTCACTGAGCTGGAAAAACAAAGTTGATCCATGTGCTTATTATTTCTGACACCTTTGTTACCGATAGCTTAAAACGGCTCGAGAGCTAAATAATCGTCAAAGGCTTGTCTCAGTTTCATAATGATCAAAAAACATTGGCCCTGGTGACAAACATTTAAAATTCAAGTGGTGAGCTGCTGGCCCAAGGCGGGCCATTGAAAAACAACATGAAATGTTCAATATGACTAAATCTAGTTTGATACTGGACAGCCTTTGCATTTTTCTGGTACAGCATGATGCTTTCTCTTGTGTATGATGGTGTAGTGATATCACACTGGGAAGCTGTACTTTCTTTTTGGCTCTCTCCAGCGCAGTCTTCATGTTTCTCTGCCACTGCTTCATTTGCTTGAGACTCGTCCTATACAGGATACAACAAAAAATAAATACATAAGTTTATGAATTACACAAAGAAAAATACTTTATTGTTAATTAACACATAAAATCTGTGTAGATGACAGAAATGACAGAGATCTGACTGCCTCTTGTCCCCTTTAGTCCGTCTATAGTATTTCTAGTATTAAGACAGATAATTATACAAATAAAAAGAAACATTTTATTTATAAATCTGTTATTATATCATGCGTTATATTTACCTCCACTTCATCGGATCTGATACTTTGCGAATTATTAAATGGAAATATGGATGGTATCGCTCCTGGCTTCAGTCTTTTTTTCTTATCTGCAAAAGGAGTGCACATAACGATTATTAATACAATAAAAATCAAGTTGTCCTAATTTGAAAACGTGACCTTTAAAAAACCTCATGTATTATCACATAAAAACGAAGAAATAACTGTAGTGGCTGGTCGGGGTTGACCCGGGCTCGGTAGCTTAGTCGGTAGAGTGTTTTCTCCCCCAAATCGCTACATAATGTAAGGTGAAGAATGTCTTAAAAATTAACATTCTAAGCACGTTAAACGACATAATTTCTTAAACTGCGATAACAAAGACATAATGAATAAGTTGACAAACTCATTATTAATACTAAAAGCGACAACAGCAAGTACAACTTACGTGGAAGTGTAATCTTCCTCACGAAAGTACTGTAGAGGAAAACAGACTTTGTCATGTGCCTTTGGTTTCCATAGTGTTTTTGATGTAGAATCAACCCTCCTGATGGCAACTCTCCACTGGCAACTCAGCTTTGTGTCTTTCGGAAAAGAATGACCTGCTGTTGACGATGTACATTCCGGAACACAACAGTATCCTGGCATTATTTGGGGCGATATTTACAGCGTCAGATTAAAAATGAAACTGCAAACACACGAGAAAGTACGCGCATGCGCAAAAGTACCCCAACTAAAACACGCGCGCCACCCAGTGGTGAAAAAAACTGATAGCCCCATTATATCCAAACATATCTTCCCACTGCCCTAAGGTATTGCTAACACATATCAGTTGTCAACAGAACATTGTACTTTGGGAGAAAAACATGAAAAGGAGACTTTAGATGTCTGCTGTTCTTATATAGATATGTGCCTTCTTTCTTGAACTAAATTTCATACTGAAACTTGCATTTGTTTATTAGCGAGAAACAAAATACATTAAATCCAATTACTTTCTTTTCATTTGGCTGTACATAATACAAATAAGTGGTCTTGTCAATCTCAAGATTTTCCTATAGAAATATCATGCATATATAATGTACACATTTATGTACTAAATAAAGTCTTCAGCCTGTTGTGCATATAGCTAGGGAAAGTTTGAAACGTTTTACCTTTTTGAATATGAATAGTATAATCAGGGCACCAGTATATTAAGTAAAAGTGCCAATTTTTTTTTGCATTATGACATGCACCATCAGACTCTGTTTTTCCTGTGGAAGTGCCTGGAATATAAACTGGGTGTAGATAGCAATTGGTTCAGGGGAAAACTGTAACCAGTGCAGATGAAATCACCAAATTTATGCAGTTACAAAGAAAAGAATGAAGAACAGTCAAGTGTGACAGACTTATGATCTTTTGAACCAATGTAAAGCAGTCTTGTTTACAAATGTCCTGTGAAAATTGGTGTAATTTAACATCATTAGTGATAAAATTTAATTAAAAGCCCCTATTTGTCAAGAACTACAAAAAATCAAGAAGTCAAAAATAACTTATATTCCATAATCACTGATATGTCATCAGCAAAATAAACAATTTATCTACAGACAAATAAAATCCTTAGACATTTTCTGCTAATATTATAACAATCAGTATTTTTTTTTAGCCCGACTCAGTTGATGGGGTATGTGTCCCAAGTGTTGCAAAATTTCTCCTTCGTAAGTTATATAAAAGGTAATATAATGCTGCTTGGGACTGTCCATAATAAAAACGGAATACTGGGTTACTAAAGAAAGTATTGTTTATTAACCCACAGAATACTTTACTACCAAAAAGCCCACAGACAACCTGCTATTAGAAATAGTGGATGCCTTTTGTGGCTTATGCTCCTAGAGCTATGCAAATAAGGCAAATTCTTATCAAGTCACTGAATAAGTTTTTTTGCCTGCTTAGCACTGAGCAACTGGAAATAAAATACATTCCGGTTCAACAAACTGCATTGGATAAAAATAGAACCAACTAGTGACCACATTTCAAAGCAATATAATTAGAGAATTAGCATTTGATCATTTTGAAAACTAGTCCTTCTAAAACTGTCAAGTTTCACGTTTGGCTTTATTTTACACAAGAAATATTGAACTGCAAAGCAAATATTGAAAGTGTTTCACCACATACTATTTACATCATAACATTTTACAATTTGACCAACACGTGCTTTGCAAATTAGCACAGCAACACAGCAAAGTATAGCAATTATATAACTTGTACATAAAGCTGACATATTTTACAATCACCTTAAACACCATCAATTTCCTATTATTGTCATACTGAAACAGTCCACGGTCCACCACTTTACTAATAATATTCATTAGAAAATTCTGTTTCGTATTTTGAGGTACCATTCAACATGCCATTCATATAACACACCTGTTCAACTGTCCAAGACAAAATATTGTTCATGATGCTTCACTACTGCGCGAGTTAGCTCTACTACTATTGTCACTACTAATGGCTTGGTCGGTGGTGCTTGAGTCAACCACATTTGTCTTGTTTCTCCTTCCAAATATGGATGGCATTGAATACCAGCTTCTCAAAAAAGTGGCTTTGGCAATATCATACACAGCTGAGACAGAGTCAGGTGCTGGACGCACATCCAAAGTGGTAAACTGATAAGTGACTGGATCTACTTCATGTCCTTCATCATAATAGTCTATGATGTACCTCACCTCCTTGCCACAGCGGTCTACAATCCAGTCATGGCGGTCAAAAGGAAGATCATATCTGAAAACAACATATACAAATCTGTCACTGCAATAATTGGTAACTATATTCAAAATTACTTTGGTCAAACTTTGGTCTCACATTATCTTAATTATTGAAGGTGGTATTGTTCTTTGAGTGACAGTTAGTGCAGAGGATAATGAACACTTCACAAAACATGAAGAAGTGAAATCATTTCTCTTCCTGAACATCCAGTTCATAGTTGTCTCCTTCCTCATCTTTCCGAAAACCTACCAAACTTGTGCTGTCCACTGTCCAAATGATATAACTTTCCACATTTGCAACAATACCCAATTTTCAGGAGAAAAATCATTAATTTGGCTTCATATAAAAAGGAAGAGTAAACCCATAAAAGAAATTTACTATATACTTACCCTCTCCAATGCCTTATCTTCGCTCTCCAGGAAAAGTCCTTGGCTTTACCTCCAAAGCTTTTTAATTTTGGGTCACAGCATTCCCTGAAAGGTTTCATTTACAATTTTTACTAAAATTTCAATCAATGTGCAGCATTATGATCACTTCATCACTTTCATAATATCAACATAAAATAAACCCCATTCTGTTTTCATAATCCTTAATAGATCATTTTCCAAAGATGCTTTCTTTCAAAAAAAACTTTCCCAAAAATAATAGATCTAGTCTTTTCAGTCAACCTACTTCGCATGCCAGGCCTCCCATTTCAGGACCTCCAACCAGGCTTGTTCATTGTTGGCATTGTGAATTCTAATTATACCATTCATGTCTTCCTCACTGATATCATCTTTTTTCCATCTCCACCCTAAATATATCAGGAAATTGAACAGATTTATTTGCATTTATTTTGTTGAAGCTTCAGAGTCTTTACTTTATATCTATGAATAAAACCAATGAAATGTAATCATGAAAACTTTACAAGCCACATTATCAGTAAAAGTGCAGTTGAAAGATCTACAAATCTCATATCTATTATACTCAAGACTATCATCTATCAGTTATGATATTTTACTAGTTTTCATACATTTCCCTTTGTCTTTAACACTGCTTTTCTTACCTTTTCTTAGCATAGCATTCCAGAACATCTGAGGAGATGGATAAACCCAGTATTCATTTTCTGTTCCACCCTTTGGTATGGAAGACACTACTCTGTCAGTGCTTAGCGGAAAAGGTTGGTCTGGAGACGGCCTTTGGTTCGGAGGAGGCATCTAGAAAGCATTATTTTTGTTTATTATACAAAACTGGAATAAAATCTAAGCAGTTATTATGCCACGTGGGTTGAAAATTAAAACAATGTATGACAGAACCGACATTCAAACAAGCTTCAAATAGTGAATCCCTACAAGATTATCTTTTATTCAGTTGTACATTTTTGCAAGTAACCATCCTGAAACTGGCAAGAGTATTCAAAACCATACATGATTTAGGAGACTACCATTATAATTACAATCTTTTGGCCTTTACTTAAGTTCAAAATCATCCAATACCTACCATGTTTGTGGGGTCAATATCACCCATGCCTGATGGCAATGGGCCTTCGTTTTCCCTGTTCATTGGGCACTCACTGGGGTAATACACTGGCTCTGGGCTTCTCTGTCCATGTTGTACTGGACACTCACTGGAACTGGACATTGGTGGGTGACCAGGTGGTGGTAGCATGGCACTGTTGTTGTTGTTATTTGTGTTGACTTTGTTATGCATTGGGCATCCCTCTGGTGGTCCCTGGACAGAGGGCTGGCTAGCTGGCACAGCTGGAGACTTTTTGCCTGTTAACTGGTCAGTGACAGCAGAACTTGCTTCAGTTGATGTAGCTGCTCCCATTTTTCTATGCAGTGGTGAACACTATAGAGGGCAATCTAAATTAGACAATATCAGTGTTAAAAGCTTACACAGGTATCAGTCTATTCTCAGTTTTGGAATACTATAAAATGTATCATTGTAGTATATCCAAAAAGAGGAATTATTATATAATAGTTAGGGTTCTCAATACCTCATCCAGATAAGTTAATAAAACAGTTTTAAATACATAAATAGCATATATAAATACAAACACCGTATCTCAGTTTGCTGTAAGCTTCTGATTTTAAATACAAAGCACATGCTGAGCATTTAAAGGATATAACCTGCATAAAAAGTTCAATATTGATGTGGGTATCTAAAACCAATTTTCCTCCATATGGCACATTTGTGTTCTACATTATTTCGTTGTTTTTTTTGTTTTTTGTTTTTTTTTTGTTTGTTTTTTCTCACAAATGGCACAAATTATTTCAAGATTCAAGGTCATAGCAAGCCATTGAAGGTGGCACATATTTGGAAGACAAGGAAACAGGTTATGTCTAGATAGGGCCAACGGTAAAAAAGTGAAAATAAATTCTCGAGTAATATAGCAATTCTCACCTCAAAAACAGTTTGTAATATAACTTGTCCAAATAAAGGGGAAGTAAATGTATTTCACTATTCACAATCTCTCCTTAGTTATCATCATTACACATCAACACACATTCCCGTGCTAACATACCTTCCATATTTCAAAGTTATCATCTTAATAATTCAGATTCAGATTCTTTATTGACGAACACCTTCACATAAAGGTACAATCAATTACAATACTAGTAACTATAACATAGAACAGACAAATAAATAGATAAATAAATATATATATATAGATTAGCATATGGTTGACATCAATGACTATACAAATGGATACGTATGTCGCATTTCATAATCAATTTACCAGGTTTGATCTAAACGCCCAGTCTCTGCTGACAGCGCATAACGGGTATCATGATCTGGTTTGGACATGCGCAGAAAGACTTACTCTCTTCTCCATGCATTTCTGTACAAATATGAGGAGGGGCGTAATCACATCCATTTCTTTTGTACTCATGATGTGTATAAACATATCCGGGGGAGAAAGGGCATTCGTATTACAGAGGAAACTTATATTTTCGAAGAAGGTTGCCCGTAATTCTTTATAGGCCTTCATCTTCAACCTCTCTGGAATTACAGATTTGACATAATCTTAGATGGGGCGGGGTTGGGGGTTTACTGTACCTCCCCTTCTCGATATGGAACGAGTGAGCGCTGATTCTTAGTTTACAAAACATAGCCCTCCGCGCTTTATCATGAATAATAGAGTTCATATACTAGTATTATATAACACTGGCAATGTGCGTGAATCTAAAGTAAAATAAATATGGTTTGTTAAGGTGAACAACAGATGTGTCAGATGTCTAACAGCAACCAAGATGACACGACACAGTGATCAGAATATATGCAGACACATGCACTGTATGTATATAAAATTAGTTACAAATAGGAGACTCTACTCCCCCCCCCCCCCCCCCCCCCTCCCGATCCACTTAAAAAAAATGGGGGAATACAATGTAGTTCTTTCAAAAAAAAAACTAACATGTTGACACGATGTTAGGAAACTACATGTTAGAACTTGACACGATGTTAGGAATTCTACACTTTTCAAAATACCTAACTTATACTACTTCTAGTTATTCCACCTCACTGAAACACAGACGAGTTGTGCGACACACACACACAGAGAGAGAGAGAGAGAGAGAGAGAGAGAACTACAACTTTTTGCAGAGTGAGAGAGAGTTAACGCTATTGATAACACCAAAATCCTTTTACTTATAACAATGTCAAATAACTTACCACTTTCGTTCTAAATATCTAAAAACATATTATTTTATGTAAGACTGGTTACATCAGCGGCATGAACGCGTGAGTCCAATGTGGTTCGTCTTGTCTAAGTTCCTTCTGATCGCGTGTTACTTTGCGAGATCAAAGATTAAGCTTTTTCATTGGACGAATGAGCAGTAGTCTCGAGGAATAGGGCGCTAAAAATGAAGCCAAAGAACAAGAAGGAAAGTACTTTTTCTGGAACTGATGAAAGCCATAACTCAAGAAATGCAACAAATAGGTAGTATTTTATATACATAATATGAGCTATTAATTTTAACAAATTGAAATGCCAAGGATCTATGCCTGGTAAAATTTGAGACCAATTTTTGGAAAGTCTTTCCCGGCAATTTTTATGTTCGTTGAAATTTATTGTGAATTATTATTTCATTTTATCTATTCAGGATATAATTAATAATTATGTGCCTTACATTTGCTTATTTTGTTATTTTCTTCATATTTCGTTTTATCCCTAAGCGTGATTATTTAAAACAGAAACAAAAATTGGACCATATTTACATTTGTTGGTAAAATGTAGATTTGTTGTGTAGACTACATTAGCAGTTTTGAGTGGATAAACGTTAATATTATGAAACGATCTTGATATGATCTTGATGTAACAGACGGACTCTCTTGTGGTTTAAACTATATTTTTTGGTATAACTAAAATTTTCATCCCTGATCTCATTCAAGGGTGTTTTAGAAAAGAGTGCTGGCTACACCAATAGGTGACTTGGTCTGAAAACACATACAGACAGACGAACAGCAACTCCAGCACTCTTTCTAAAACACCCTTGAATGAGATCAGGGGTGAAAATTTTAGTTATACCAATAAATATAGTTTAAACCACAAATGGTGCCGCGAGCCGGGAAGACAGAACAAAGGAACATAGACAAAGGAACATAGACAAAACACCAATTAGGGGGCGTCAGAATCACAGCAAGTCACAAAACAAGACAACTCGAGACGAGTGCATATTTATACATAGTTACATTGAGAAGATTCCAAAGGTGCAGGCCTCCACCAAAGAAAGAAAGCAATGAATTTATTTTAGGGGGAAACATAACCCCTTTCATTGGCAGAGATAATTCTGAAAGCATATTTTTACTTAAAATTTATTAATAACTTTTATTGTATTTCATTTCCAGAAAAAGAAAATCATTAAGTGAACTGGACTCTAGCCTCCAGAATACAAAGCTAACATGGGACATGGATCCCAAGAGGAAAAGCCAAATCTATGAAGATTGTGGTATAAATGAGTTAGAGGAAAACAGCAGGGATGCCTTCCCTGAGCCCACTCCTAAGATACTCATGGCAATATCTTCAAACCCGCCTGGGGTAAGAATACTTGGCTGTAATCCTATATTTATAAATATATATATTATGGCACTTAACCTGGTATTGCCAGCCCATCAAAACAACCCAAAGGAAGATTGGTCTGATTATCCAGTGCATGCAGAAACAACTTTTAACACCACCATTGGCCATTATATAAGTAACCATCCCTGTTCTGTGATAGCATTTGCCAATGAGCGTCAGAAGTAAGATCTTCCTAGCAACTTGTTAACTGTTGATCTAAAGAAATATGGTCCTCTGGGCTAGTGAACCTGTTGACTATTGGTAAACATGCAGTTTTTGAGCAATGTTTTCTCAGCAAAATCAAGTGCTCAGTGGATCAAACCCTGTAAATAAGTGTCTTAATTTTTCATAGGCAAAAATATACTCATATGAGCTTTAATACGGAATAAATATTAGACTTTAAACAATGAAATAAATAGCAAATCTTGTATCTCTGTGCAAATGGGTAAATGCCGACATGGAACTGATGTTTGATTATGTAGGCTCCGAAGGCAACAGCCAGATACACAGAATCAGATGATAGTAATGAAGCCCCAAATGTTCACCCTTGGATTAAGAACCCAACCCCACACAGGCCGCTAAATGAGGAGAATGAAAATCCTCTGAAGAAAAGAAGAAAGGTTTGCGAAGACAGAGGCAGAAATGGTAAGACATTTCTTAGCTGTGTCTGTATCTTAAAAAGTATCCGCACCATATTATAAAAAGAAATCTGAGCAACTTTTAATTAAGATTATAAAGACTGTATTATTGATTTTCTTTTTGAATGTACTGAATGTAAAAGATACAAAATGTCAGTTTTACCTACCTACTAAACATACTTCCTTACATTCTCATACAACAGTTTTGAAGTGCACCCCCTTGGTGCAAGTATTCTGTTAAATTTTTATGGTATTCTGTTTTATTCTAGAGATTAATGGTTTATATGCTCTTTCAGAATTATTTGTCAAGCTCTCAGATGAAATCATACTAAACATCTTCACATGGCTGCCCAAGTGTATGCTGGTTAAGTGTGCCAGAGTTTGCAGAAGATGGAAAGGCTTGTGGTAAGAAGATAAACTGGATCTTGGATTTTTAGATCTAAGTTTTGCTTGATTTTTTTTCTTTCCTTCTTTCAAAGCCATAGACTGATAGGAATAAACTTGCTGTTAAATGGTTCTGATATTTACATTTCAGTTTTGATGAGTCATTATGGAAAAGGCTGGATATGGCCAGTAAAGTTTTGAAACCTGGTGTGCTAGGCAGAATACTGAACAGAGGTGTGCGGGTGCTAAGGCTTGCAAAGGCAGAGGTAAGGAGTTTTGGGTTACTAAAACATTGTCACTATAATTCAGTGTGCCAATATGTGGCACTGTGAAAACAGCTAGCTTTTGATTGGATTAAATAAATCCGGATATTTTTACTGTCTTCGGTTGCCTAACACAATTGTGGACATTTTGATGGAAATTCATCCATGTAGTCTTTTGATTATGTTATACGCATAAACTTCTGTTTCTTCACTTACTTGAGCTGTACCTAAACAAAGCTTAGTAGTATAGGAACACACTGAGGTAGGACACAGTAGTGATCGAAAGCTTTGTTTTAGTACAGCTCAAGTAAGTGTAGCAATTGAAAAGTCTAAGCATGTAGCATAATGATCTGCTAACATACTTACATAATTACATTCATAAGTCATAGTGACTGCACATTAAAAATATGATTTCAATCAATTTTGTGTAATCCCATGTGCTGCAGAGCTCCTAACAGGTACTGTTTTGTTTTAGGTCAATTCACCACTGTTTATTAACAAGCCAGTTGATTTTCCTGATTTGGGGTAAATATTAAGGGATACTTATTTCGTGAACTTCTGTATAGAGGTTGTGTCATTAAAACATCTGTTGTGTCATTAAAACATTCACTTTTGTGATCAACCTATCGCATGATTTTCCATATTCCCTTCTTTCAAATTGTAATTTATTACAAAATGATAAATGCTCACAAATGTTTTCACATTACACTTATACTGATCTTACATACCTAATATCTTGGCATTTTATCTCCAGGGTAACAAAAGTGCAATATTTAGACCTGTCTATGACTGTAGTTAGTGAAGCAGGTCTGGAGGAACTGTTAGGAAGATGCAAGTCACTGCGAAAACTTAGTCTAGAGCACTGTGCCTTGAATGACAAAATATGTGGGTAAGGAGTTAAATTAGCTCAACTTGGCCTTAACATTTAAAAGATTATGCCATGAACATATGTCATGCTATTTCCCATTCAACTATTCTTACATATTCTTGTTATATTTAAAGGGGGCGCCACTTTACTGTGCTGACCTGGCTGTTTGTGGCTCTTAGATTTTTCAGCAATTTCTCTGTGTGAAATAAACTTATGTTTTAGTTTTTGTGGACTGAAGCTTTCTAAAGTGTCCAGGACTGCTGTGTATCAGCCTGCCTTCAACTTGTCAAGGATTTGATGAACATTTTGTGACATTTTATATCTACTGAACCTCACATAGTCAGACATATGCTGCAATTTCTGATGCTGAGAGCATTTATGCTGTATATTTGCTCAACACTGCTCATTCCTGACTTGCCTGTGACAATGTGCCTTGGGGAAAGCAGAATTAATGACACCATCAAGCACAAATATGGAAGGGATCACCTACTTTGTATCCATGCCCAGAGGAAATATATCCTACCTGAACATCTCTGGACACTAATTACAGACCTGAACATCAACAGAAAAATTAGAGGCCAACGAGGTGGAATCAGTCGTAGGAAGCCTAATAAAGTAATTTACTCACCCAACAAAGAATCTCAGATAATACCAAAAACTGGTCTTACTCACAGCCAAACAGGAGCACAATCTAAAAACTTAATAAATGTGCCTTTGCTTGACAAAAACAGTGTACCATTAGTAAAGCTAGCCCTCATGAACTGCCGATCAGTGCGCAATAAGGAAGCTATTATACGGGATTACATCAACGAAAATAACACTGACATTGTTTGCATGGTCGAAACGTGGATATCTCCAGACATTCAACAGTCAGTAGAAGCAAGTTTGATTCCAACGGGTTACCAGTGTATCCAAATACCACGGACTGATCGACGAGGAGGGGGTGTGGCACTCATGGCAAAGAATGTTTTCGCAATAAAACAGCTCCCTAAAGTAGTAGAAACCAGCTCTTTGAATATATTGAAGTATTGGCGAGAGCTATTTCAGAGACACTTCGCATCCTTATCATATACAGAATACCACCTTCAAAGGCAAACAGAATACGCAAATCTTCCTTTTTAACTGAATTTAGTGAGCTTCTTGTATATTTGGGGCCACTGAAGGGAAAATTGTTAATCGCTGGGGATATGAATTTACATTGGGAAAAGGCCGAAAACACTGAAACTAAGCAATTCACAGCTCTTTTAACCTCATTTGGATTAGTCCAGCATGTCACAGGTCCCACGCATGTGCGTGGCCACACCTTGGATTTAGTCCTATCTAGGGAGGATGATGCCCTAGTTAATAACTGTGTAGTGAGCCATCTAATTTCTGATCATCACATCATTCAAGCTGATCTTCAGTGTGGCAAACCCCACCCGAAAAAAGGCAAAGTGTCATACAGAAAAATAAAAGACATTGACATCAGCGAACTCCATAACTTAGTGTCTTCCAAAATTAAGGAACTGAACTTCTTGAACTGTGATCCGAATGAATGTGTCATGTACTACGACCAAATTTTGTCCCAGTCACTGGACCAGTTGGCACCTTTGAAAGCAAAAACCCTGGTTCAGAGAGACCTTCAACCATGGATTAATGATGATATTCTTGCTGCAAAGAGGGATCGCAGACAGGCAGAAAATCTGTGGGGAAGAAGCAAATTAACCATTCACCACCAGCACTACAAGGAGGAGTGTCACCGTGTTAACCAACTTATCAAAAAAGCTAAGGAAACTTATTATTCAGAGATGATAGACGCGTGTGACGGTGACCAAAAAGCATTGTTTACAACTGTTAATAGTCTTATGGGTAAGAACAAACGCGTAGCGCACCCACCCTCAACGTCTTTGAAAGACCTAGCTGACAGCATGGGATCTTTCTACATTGCAAAAATCAGTAAAATATATGGTGAACTTGAATCATTAGAACAGACAGTTGCAACACCATTACATCCCCCGATCTCTTATCTTCTCCCGAAGCCTTCACTCTTACTTACTGCCTTTGAGGAAGCAACGGAAGACGAGGTGACAAAAATCATTTCTAGATCTAAGAAGACATCATGCCTCCTTGACCCTATACCGACAACACTGCTCTCCCAGATTCTCCCTGCAATCATTGTTCTCATAACTCACATTGTAAACATTTGCTTTAAAACCGGGAATTTTCCTGAATTGTTTAAGTCTGCAATTATCCGTCCACTACTGAAAAAGCCTAACCTAAATGCAGAACTCTTGCAAAATTATCGACCTGTATCTAACTTGTCATTTCTGTCTAAAGTGGTAGAGATCGCCACAAGATTGTTCAATCACTTAGATGTAAATAACTTGGTTGAGAAAATGCAGTCGGCATACAAGGTGAATCATAGCACCGAGTCAGCACTCCTTAGAATTAAAAATGATTTGCTATGTGCGGTCGACAGTCACTCCGCTGTGTTACTTGTTCTCTTGGACCTATCGGCCGCATTTGACACTGTTGATCATCAGGTACTGCTGTCATTTTTGGAAGAAACTGTTGGGATAAAAGATACAGCACTAAATCTTTTCCGTTCTTACCTCACAGGCAGATCACAACAAGTATGTGTGGACGGAGTTCTCTCTGAATTAGCTCAACTTGTCTTTGGTGTTCCACAAGGCAGTGTGTTAGGACCACTCATATTTTGTATTTATACTTTACCGCTTGGTGCAATCCTTCGTTTTCATGAGATTGGTTATCACATTTATGCTGATGACACTCAGCTTTACACATCCTGCAATATTAGAAACCCTGAATCATCAATTACTAAAATAGCCAACTGTATTTCTGATATAAGGGGGTGGATGATCAGAAACAAACTCAAGATCAACGACGAGAAAACTGAATTCCTAGTAATATCTCAACCACACAATAAGAACATTGCCCGCAGTCTTAGCATGTCAATAGGTGCCAGCGTGGTACAAGTCTCATCTCACGCCAAAAATCTGGGAGTTTATTTTGACAGTACATTGTTCATGAACAGGCAAATTTCTAACGTATCTAAAACATGTATGTTCAATATTAGAAACATTGGTTCCTTATGAAAACATTTAACCGACTCTACTACAGCAACAGTTATACATGCCCTGGTTACATCGAGACTTGATTTCTGCAACTCCCTTCTTTATGGATCTTCAGAGGAACAAATCAAACGGCTACAGCGTGTACAAAATATATATCTGCTCGCCTACTGACCCGCACTCCAAAAGACAACCACATTACTCCTGTTTTAATGACGTTGCACTGGCTCCCTGTCCGAGCACGCATTTTATTCAAACTTTTAACATTTGCACATGCAGCATTTTATAAACTTGCACCTTCTTATTTAAATGAGCTTGTTTTACACTACGTGCCATCAAGAAATCTCAGATCAGGTGATCACCTTCTTCTTAAGGCTGATAAGGCAAGATTAGTATCATACGGTGATAAAGCTTTTAAATTTGCAGCACCAAAAGAATGGAATATTTTACCCATCAGTCTTAGACAAATTGTGGACCCTGGACATTTTAAAAAGGAACTTAAAACCCACCTTTTTAAACAATATTATCTTTAAATTCTTGAAAAAACACTTCTTAAGAAGAACTGCTCTTAGTCATAGTTTTAAATTTCCCCTTTTTTTATCCATTTTATATATCCTTTCATCTTAAACCATTAACAATATTTTTCTTTTAATTTGGATTTTATAATTTTTGTAAAGTCTACTGAACACATGTTGGATTTTAGACTATAAATAAATATTATTATTATTATTATATTTTAACTCTACTTCAACATAAAGGACGTTGAACGGATTATAATTTTTGCACATTGTATAAGAATATACAGCAAACTGATGACAATTTTGATAAGCTGCATTCTAAAGCAGACAATAAAAAACTCATATTTAATGTTTCTTCTTCACATTGCAGATACATCAGTGAAAACAAGTTGCTCGAAGTTCTTAACCTCAGTATGTGCCAAGGAATTACAGAGGATGGGTTAAAAGCAATAGGAAGACAATGTCAGAGGTAAGAAAATAAAATGTGTAGAACTCTTCTTTGTGGTGGTCCTCATCAGTAATGAACAAAGCAATCCAATGCCAACATATTTGCTGTAGCCCATTTTACGCNTTTTTTTTTTGGAGAACGGACGAAAATCGGTGCGCGCGCAGGATGTCATCCATAAAATTAAAAAAGTGTGGCCTAATCAATAATGAACAAAGCAATCCAATGCCAACATATTTGCTGTAGCACATTTTACGAGAACTTTTCAAAAAAAAAAAAATTTTTTAACTTAGAGTCAATATTAATTGTATTTTTACTCTCCACAGGTTGGAAGCATTAAACATAGCCTGGATACAGCCTTCCAAGGAGGTGGTGGACACAGTGGTCACTTCACTGACCAGAGGTCTACTTAAGCTCAATTTCAGTGGATGCAGGGAGCTTTTATCAGATGAAAGTATGTTCCACTTTTGTTTTGCAGTAAAGGCACTGCGAAGCCAGTGCATCAGTTAGCAACAATCAGTTTTTAAAGAATATTCTTAAGTTTTGTACAAAACCAAGCCAGTGCATACTGTAAAGCAAGGGTGTTGTATATATATTATTTCGTTTTCAAGTATTATTCACTAGCAATTAATTCAGTATTTCTCCAATTCTGTTGCAGATGTTCTTCAGCTTGTGACAACCTGTCCACACTTGAGGGAGCTGGATCTCAGTGACAGCACCTTTCTGTCCCCAGCAGCAGTAGAGTGTGTGGCTGACAACCTGCGTGGCTTGGAATATGTGGCTTTCAGCCGCTGCTACCAGATACCACCCAACACATTTGTGTAAGTAGATTATGTAATACTGACATTAATTTGAACTTTAACTATATGTGTTAATATCAACTGTAAGTTGCATGTTCACAACTTGAAGCTTATTTTATAAAATATCTTTAACCAGTGGTATTGTGTATCAGTTGTATGAGCTTTTTTCTGTGTAATCATCTCTGAGATTTTTAATTTAATTCTGTTAAAACCTCTGGACCAGTCGGTTTATTGTTTTGCTCCCATGATAAATGCTTGGCGATTTTTTAAAAACCATGCTCATGTGTGAAATATGTTTGATTAAACAAATAATGTCATCTTCAGGTAAAATTTGCCTGACATTTAATACTAGGATTTCAAAAATTCATTTTTCACCTAATAATTAATACATTACAGTTGTTTAAACCACCTTGTGACCCTGCTGGCATTAGATGTATTTGGAATGATGAAAGAATCTTCTTTGGAAAATCTGAGAGAAAGTATGTCACAGATTGAAATCAACAAGTATCACTTTTCAAGCATAGCAAGACCTACCACAGGAATAAGGAGGACAAGTGTTTGGGGTCTCAGAGTTAGAGATCAGGTGGTGGCATGATCTATATTCAAATTCAAAGATTCTATAAATGTATATGCAAACATCTGCACATGTATAAAACAACTCATACAGCAACAAAGGTCTTGCTTAGTTTGTTGTTTGTGAAATTGTGATCTGTAAGTGCTTTGCACTTTCTTAATATGTTACTGGATGTTATATAATTTTGTACATGATAATTTCTTTTAAGCATGTAAAATATCTGGTATTCAGTTTTCATCAAAGCTATAAAATCTTTTTGTAATCTAATTTTTAAATTAATAGGTATTCCAAATGTTAATTTAATTTTAAAAGCTAAAGATTTATTATTTTATCACAACTGGTCTTTGCTTTATATATAACATATATAACTTAACTGCTTTGATTTCAAGTTTTCCGAAATGTGCACATTTTTGAGTTATTGTGTAATGCATATATTTTAAAGAAAAAACAAGCGAATTCACAGAACATTACACCTGTTTACCATTGGATTGGCCTTTATCTGAAATAAGGGGGACAAAGCTGAGCCTCAAGGATAAGTCTTGCTGAACATGTCAGTTGCTTGCAGAGCCATGTCAAAAGTCGTGTTTATCTTAATAAGTTTATTTACATGAAATCTTAACATGAATTTTAAAATCATTGGATATATATATTTGAGGTTTTACTGCAACTCGTAAAGTGTTACTTTATGTTCTAATTTGAAGAAATGGTTATAGAAGTCATTTAGACGGGGAATAAGCTTTTACTAACTTGTGAAGGTTATCCTTGTCAGTGACAATAAACTTTTCTTCTAATAACATTGTTCTTTTTACTCTTTGTTCAATCTTTCTTCAGAAAGTAAGGTTTCAGATCAAATATACATCTCTCTCTAATGAGAGCCTTAAGACAAGACAATATTTCATAATTTTATTTCTAATGTGTACAAACCACAATTGAAATAGTGAAATTAATTTACAATCAAGTTCTGGCATGGTCGTTAAGTAGTTACATCCAAGCAGGGCTGTAAGTCATGAAATTAAGGTATCCTGCATGTATTTAATGCTGTCCCAGTCATTTTTATCCTGCAGAGTTCATCTTTCCTAATTCAGACTTAAACAATAAAATGCTCAAAAAGTTAATCTGAAGTACAAGGGCGAGTCAATAAATAACCAGCCTAACCTATTTCGGGTTGAGATCTACTTCTTTTTCAATATAATTTCCCTCCAGGGCAATGCACTTGGACCAACGATGTTCAAGTGCAATCAGCCCAGAAGTGAAGAAGTCGGGATCCTTTCCATTGAACCACTCCTCAACTGTGGCCACGACTTGGCTGACAAGACCTGGCTTCATCTTCTAAAGATGTTCTACTGCGTTTAAACTCCCCAACCCAGAATTTTACTTGCGCATAAGATGGTGCAGAAGACCCATACATATCAACTAACTCGGCATGTATGTCCTTACCAGTTTTACCTTTTAAATGCAAGTACCGAATTCCAGCACGGTACTCCATTTTTGATGAAAAGCTTGCTTTTACATCACTAGCCATGTTTGACATTCAATATCTGACAAACAAATGACCATATTCATGTGTAGTTTTGTACCCAGGTACAATACATGTATTGAAACAATGCGTGAAAATCGTGGATGTCTCGGTTGATCGGAGATGTGTTAGGCTGGTTATATATTGGCTCACCCTCTTATATTTTCCAAGTTTTAGTACCTTGCATGTACATAAGGCATCTCACAAACCAAGGTCAATGTCTATCACAGGTTCTATGAGGTATAGGTCTTTGGCATGTCTAAACTAAGCCAAGTAAATCTTTCTACTCTGCTATATTTACTATTCGAATTATATTTTGCATAAAAAATACAATTAACGCTTCAATGTCCAAATCTGGTCAAGTTATCCCAATTCTGGGATTTAAATGTTTTCTCAATAATTTAATTTACCAGACAAAGTTAACTCAAAAAGACACTTGTGTATCTTTAATATAAGGCCAGCACCACCCAAGAGTATATTTTTGAATGCGACAAAATTTACTTTAAAATTCTCTATCCTTGTTTCTTGGAAAGGTTAACGAAGTCCTTATTTTCTCTTGTCATTTACTTATCCACCTTTCGTAAAGATGCTCATTTGGGCTCCATCACAGATCATGTTTTTCTGGCATATTATTTCTCAAAGCAAGTCATAACTTGAGTATGCAGCCCAAACTGAAACAAAGACATCACAGGTAAGTAGATAGCATCTTTTGACACTTAAACTACAAGTACTTGTTTAGTACAAATTTCTACACATTTTCATAAAATTCCCAATTATGAACAGAGTATTTAAATCCGGTTACAAGGAATGTCATGTAACTGAATGGTAAGAGAAAATGCTTACTATTTTGTCATTAAATTTAAAGAGAGCTAAATACAACCTTGGTGTTTTATCTGGGGATGTGGTCACTTCAGACTTACAAATGTACCACAAACGATGTGATATCAATACAGCTTTCATTCATTTCTTTTCCTCAATATATGAAAATGTACAGACCCAACACCATTAATGCAGTTTTAGCTTCTAAAAGCCTAACCCCTTCTTCCAAGAATGCTTTTGGCTCATCCACATTAATTTTAGCACTTTATTCTAATGTAATCATACCTTGAATACCACTGCAAGTAACACTCCCAAAATAAGAAATGGAATGAAAGGAGGACCACTTGATTTCTTCCCTTTACCACCAATAACCCAATTGATAAAATTCTTTTTTCTCTCAGTGTAGGGAGGATATCGCAGCCTGTAAGCAAAGCATTTTATGTTAAATGTAATGGGGGTAAGTTGTCAACATGTGTTCAGCAGCACACAAATGTTTGTTCCAAGTTCGATCTAACGTGTCATCCTATAGGTATTTCGGATTATGAAATTCTTTGTACAAAGACAATTGTAAATGAAATTTCAAATTTCATGTACAACCCTGTGATAACTAGTACCTGAAGTGACCACCATGGGAAAGAGGAAATGGGCAAGTAAAAAACACTGAATTGGGAAAACTCATCATATTTAACCTGATGGCATGTGTTAGTATTACAGGATATTTTTGTATATACCTTCAAAACAAGGAATATGCCCAACTTGGACCTCTGTTCACTGCCCACTGGGCATATTTTAAGTGTCCTTCACGGTATGGTGGATACCTCAGACTAGTATGAAGGGGAGAAAAGAGTTCGGTATTTCAAACTATTTCTAAAATAGTGACCCTTGAACATAACTGCTTTTAATATCAATTGATGGATATAAGAAGATATCAAACTTTAGTGTATCAAAGACAATTTTATTAGAGGAAATGTCTATGATAACATCTTAAAATCCACTGAACAAAATGACTATTCTATACATATATAATTCCTGTTCTATTCAAAGATGACAAGTAAAATTCACATTCCTTAAATATTTTCCCATTGTTTAAGTATTATGAGCCATATAACCCTTACAAGGAACGCTTACCACTTATACATTTCTTACTACTTACCCATTTACAGATTCCATATTCAGCGCCTTCATGAGGCATGAGCGTCTGTGAGAGAAGGTCTCAAATGAATGTTTTCCATGGTAACCACCCATACCACTGTGACCAACACCACCAAATGGCAGAGTATTTAGTCCAAATTGAACCATGACATCATTGATACAGGCACTGCCACTGCTTGTGCAATCCAGGATTCGTTTGGCAAGTTTCTTGTCATGAGAGAAGACATACAGCGCAAGGGGCTTTTCCCTGAAAGATAAGTAAAAAGTTGAAGATCATACAATAGTTAAATGTATTGTCGCAGTAAGAAAAAATATGGTCCAGTCATTTTTACAAAAATAATCTTGATTTCTGTCAAAAGCATTTGGGTCAAAACATAAAACAGTTTGGCAAATTTAGTATTCTAATTGCAAAAAAATCATAACTTTCTTTAGGAAACCTCTTTTACCTGAAACAGGTTACTATTTAAGGTGAAAATATTTGATATAAACAAAAAAATTCTTAATTATCCTTACCCCTCATTAATCATTTCCAAAGCCTCCTCAACACCATTAACTGTTATAATAGGTAGGATTGGACCAAATATCTAGAAAGTTTTAGTAAACTATTTACTTTCTACATCTTTATGTCAAGCAAAACTGAAACAGTGCTTGGAAATCAGAAGAGGAATCCCACATAAGCATTCCATTTAGCAACCTCAACACTAAAAATACTTTTTCCTAGTTATATTCTTTGAGTATCACCACTGTCTGAGTGTAATACAGGATACTTCTAAAGCTTTATCTGTTATTCATCAAAATATTTCATCAAACATAATGATTATATCTTTAATAAAAAAATAGCCATCAAGGTCTTATTGAAGACCACTATATTTTAGACAACTATATTTTATGCTACTATAGCTCACCTCCTCCTGCATGACAGCATCACCAGGTTTTACATCTACAAGTACCGTAGGTTCAATGAACAAATCCTGTTCATCAGTGGCTCCACCTAATGCAATTTGAGCCCCATTCAACATCTTCTTCAGGCGACTTTCAAAAGGGGGAAAAACAAAATTTTCAATTGAAATGCAGTTTCCTCTGGTCATCACCCATTTTTCAAGAAGGCAAACATTCATTCATGCATTTGAGTTCTAATAAATGATATATGGTAGTTTATGGGCCAGTATTGCTCGTGCATTAAAAATTACTCATTGATAAAGGTCTAAGACACAAACAGGCAAGCATCCCCTTCCCAGTTCATTTGTATACATACATTAGCTTCTATTATTATCTGAACCTAACCACTGTCAAAAATGTAACATTTCACAAATTTAAAGTATGAAAAAATTATCTTACTGAAAATGTCTGATATTCACAATCCTACAATAGTAGTCAGACTGCTTTGGGTTCTTTTCTTCAAAAAACTGCTGAATTGCTCTCTTCATGCTGTCAAGAAAGCGTGCCTAAAATATGATCATAAAAAAATCAATCAGAACATTTGCAGATCATGTTCTCATGATTTATGAAAAATGCATATCCAGTTCACACTGCGTAAAAAAGTTATTTCAAGAGAAATAGATGCACAGCTATCAATGAAATGATGCAAAACTATTCCCAGTTGATAACACATTTTTAAGTACAGAATTCTAAAATGTGAAATACTTGCATACAGAATCACCCCATTTCATTCTCACAAAACAAAAGGGTACAAAGGTGCATCTTGAGTTAACACAGTGTAAAAATAATCATGTAAAATTTTAGCAAAAATTTGGATCATTACATTGTTTGTAATTCAATTTCTTAGGTTTATTTTTAAATAGTCCAGTACGTATACTACAATCAATAAATCAAGACAAACCTGGACCTCCTCCGTACAAAGAATGTAGTCTGGGGCAATACATGATTGCCCTGCATTGACAAACTTCCCCCAGAGAATTCTCTTTGCTGCTACATCAAAATCACAGTTGCTGTCAATATACACAGGACTGAAAATTGAACAAAAGAAAAGTTGACTGCACTATCAAATGTAGCACATGGATGGTATTACGTTTTCAAGAGTTCAACTACTAAATGACTGATCTCTATATTTATTTCTCAGGCGGAGAGACCTAGATTTTCCTAAGACAGCATGGACAATCCACATATTGGTGCGACTGACCTAACTTTATCTGATGACAATACAAACTGTTCTCTATATAAAATATACATGAGATTAAGTGCAATTTAAGAGTGATTCTTATAGAAAGAGATACTGAAGCCAATTTAACTCAATCTTAAAAGACAATTATTAGAAGCTTTGAACGCAATTAAATTGAGACTGATTTTAACTTTAACTAGGGGATGAAGCCACAAATGAAATTACAACTGAAAACATCCTTTAAAACTTCATTACAGGTTTTTCTAATGAAAAAAATACATTAATTTACAGATTTAGGCAATATTGTTACAGCTGATTCATCTAACCAATATTTACCAAATGGTGACATAATATGATTTAAAATATAAAGTTTCTAAAATGTAATGTGGCCATGAAATAAACACTATGACATCACTCTGGTGTGGACACCCAATGCACGAGGAAAAACGGAAAAAAGGGCATATGGACCTGAAGTGCTTCCAAGACAATAAATTTCCCTTTCATAAATACTTTGACCAGAACCACAGGAAAAAAGAGGATCAGAGAGCCAGGGGCTGCCTCATTAGAGTACACCAGCTGAAAGCAGTTGATTAAAAGAGGGTGAATACTGCACCAAGGATTTTTAGCTGTAAAATAAGTTGTATTAAAAGAAATGCCCAGAAAAATTAATATATTTAAACATAAAGAATGAATAGCTGTCTTGCTTACATTTGTATGAAAATGCTCATACCAACCCTTAAAAGTAATGCAGTTCAGTAAGGTGCAGAAAAAAATCATTTTGTCCTCATGAAGTTGGAGAAAGAACAGCATCCTTAATTAATGCCAAGAGAATAGTGTAGAGCAAAAACTATGAATAACTCTGAAACTGGAACTTATGTTAGCAACTGACCAACGTAGCAGTCTCAATCTGAAACCTTTCACTAGGTAATGGCATGGATGGACTAGTGAAAGGTCTTGTGCTGGATAACTGGATGACTAAAAACATTCACTTGTTATAGTATTGAATGTTAAAGACCTCTGCTGCAATGCGCTTGCACTGGCTAGGCTAGTACTTATTTCATCTTGATCGGGTGAACTCAAAATGAGACTGACCATAATAAATAATTACATGCAGCATTGGTAGTAAAATGTAGTGGTAACTTCAAAATTCCCAACTTGACCTTGAGATATATGATATACCTTTTCCCTCCAAGTTCTAGTGTAACTGGTGTAAGGTTTTCTGCTGCAGCTTTCATCATGATCTTGCCAACCATTGTGTTCCCAGTGTAAAAGATGTAGTCAAACCTCTCCTTCAAAAGTGAAGATATCTCTGGTACTCCCCCTGTCACTACTTTTATGCAGTCCTGAACAAAGAAATAGATTTATAATATATAATTGCCATTTCATGAAAAATAACAATATAAGTTAATTTTAAATAAATCTAAATATATTCTAAATTTTATGACATATAAACATAGAGATGAAAGTTTAGAATATCAACACTCCTATACTCATATGTATTAGGGCTTTTGTATTTCAAAACTATGTGATGTAAGCTTGCCTAATTTAAGCAATATTATATGGCATTCAAATACAGATAAGTACATCTTGAAAATGTTGCCACTGTTGTATATTTATTTTAAAAAACAATATCTGTATTCAAACATTGGAAAAACAAATGCAACTTTCTTCAAATATATTAGTTGGACTACATACCGCCTACAACTTATTTTACTCAAGGTTTTTAATATTTTAAAATATTATTATTAGTTTGATTCATAATACATTTATGATAAAACATAGGTTCTGAACTTTATTGTGCTATATCTAAGGCAACAGCAAAATAATTATAATTTATTGTTTTAATTTCTAAATCAAAATGGAATAATGTAGCTTACGAATCTCTGTCGCTGAAATTCTCATTTCGTGTATTTTTATGTTGTCATTCTAGCTATTATAACTGCAGCTACAAGCTCCTCATTTGCCCAATTATACAATCCACGTATTGTTGGGAAGTGATCCAACAAGGCATTACTCAGGCGTAGTTAAGAAGGTCATGTTTTATCTTAGTGCAAAGGGCCTAAACAGTGAGAGTAAACCTGGCACACAGGTGCCAGGCATTGCAGTTTAAAACAGTTGTAGCAGAACAAATTTAAGTCCTGTTGGTGCAACGGGGTGCTGGTGCCCACCACACTTGCTTTGCTCTTCATAAATGGCAACAGAAAATTAGCACATTATGTACCTGATCTAAATATTGTGGAATGGTTCTTTCTAGAAATTCTGCTGTGGCTTCAGTCATTTCAGAAGGCTTGATAATAACACAGTTACCTGAAAAGGAAAATGTCTAGGCAAAAGTCTGAGTAAAAAATGTGCTGCCACCTTGGTGTTACCCCTAATGTGTGCTTGTATGTAATAATTATAAATAATTTATATCAAGCAAATACATAACTTGCTGCCATATCTTGTAGTACTTTTTCCTTAACACGAACTGCTTTTTAGTAAGTCATTTATAATTTTTTCTTTCTCATAATCCTTGTATCAATTGTGTTAGATGCAGCAACCACATGGAGTTCAATGTGTTTTTGTTACCTGCAGCCAGAGCTCCAATGAGGGGTGCCAATGCAAGCTGCACAGGATAGTTCCATGGGCTGACAATAAGTACCACACCATATGGTTCCCTCTTGATAAAACAATCATTTGACATGTTCAATAAATCCTTCTTCACCTAAATAAAGAATAGAGAACAAGTGTCAATTCACAAATGCCCTTGCTGGAGGAGATTCACCCAAAACCTAATATGTGTGAAAACTTTGAAAGACTGTAACATCTTCACTTCAAAATGTCTTGTTCTGCCAGTACATCACTTACCTTCTCTGGTTTTACCCAGCTGTCTAGGTTATTCAGTGCATAGTATCCCTCATTCTTTGTCAGGGTAACTTCATTCAGGATTGCTTCAAATTCAGACTGAAACAAAGAGAAAATAATAATTACATTGCCTTTTAAAGTAATAGTTATGTGTACATTTTCAAGCTTAATTTCAACATCATCATTAAAGTTATCATGTTATTCTAGATTGTTTTTAGGCTATAATCCTTGAACAGCATATTGTAAGACAACATTGTATCACATAAATAAAAAAATACAAATCAAGAGAAATCCAGAAAATTTTTTAAACTGATATTACTCTATGAATGTTTAAGTAATAACTAAATCACTTACCTTGCGCATATCTTTTTTGACAACCTGACAAATTTCATCTTTCTTATCTTCAATGAGTTGAATTACATTTTGTATCTGTTTCCGTCGCCATTCAACAGATTTTGTTTTTCCGGAATTAAATGTTTTTCTCACACTTGCAACAAGCTGTAAATGAATAACTGAATGACATAAGTTTTATCTCACTAAAAAACAATGCAACTACTAATGCAGTCAAAAGCTTTCCTAGCTATGAACAAACTAGCAAAATATGAAAAGACACTAAGTTATAACAGTTTATATGCAAGCAATGAGCCTGTAAAACAGAGATTTCATACATGTAACAGGCTCAGCAAATAATTACCAATCAATATCAATTACGGCATTGTCGATGTCTTCCTACTGATACTACAGCTTACTTCTGTAAGCTAAAATTATAAAGATATTCACAGTTAAAGATATATATGAAGTAAGTACAGATTCCCTATAAGGCACATAAACCACTACTATCAGTATCTTACACAACTCAAATTAAGTCCACATGCCAAAAAAATTAATCAAATTAATCTTTCAATCAATAAAATTTAAAAAATTAATACTGCACCCTCCTCAAATTTCTGGTTGTAAAGGGATAACAACTCTTCATTTTGGAGGGAAAGAGCCATAAAATGAATGTTCCTGGAAGAAAAGCCCATCTTCCCATATTTTCCAAAGGCTGTGGAATCCAACATTCAAAGTTCAAAGTTATTTGCTTTTTTTTGTATTTTTTTGTAATAATCTCTTAAGATTTCAGGATAAGTGCTATGACCACCGCTTTATTGGTGAAATAGAACTTTTTACATTTCTGTGTATTGTTTACAATGTATTTATTGTAGAATTTTGAATCTATACTGAACAGAAATATAAACGCACGAAAGAATATGTAGATTTATTTTCATATATGGAACTAGAGTATATAGCCAAAAATAACAGCATATTTTTCTCGACAAATAGACATCACTTTGAGAGCATTAGGGGAAGTTTGAATGCATAGTTCAAGAGTTAGGGCATCAAATACACCATGGGGGTCAACATCCTGAGTTCACAGACACCATTAACTTTGCGCAGAGCAGTACACCTGCGGTGCATGGACATCACTAAGTCGTCAATAGAGGCCTGAGGGATATTGTCCCATTCCTCCTGGAGTGCTACTCGCAGTTAGCGAACATTTTCGAGAGCTAGAACATGATGGCTAAAAACGCTGATCCAGAACATTCCACAGGTGTTTGATGGGCGACATGGTGCATGAGGATGGTTCCTAGTGCTACCAGTGTCTCTGAAGCGTGTTCCCAGACGGCTGACAGTGGAATGATGCACATTCAGGCATGCTGCAACTTCTGTTACCGACAAGCCAGCATTAAGCATGCCGATGGCATGCTCCCTCATGATTCCAGACATCTGTGGCATGTTGAAGTGACAGAAATGCACATTTTGGTGTGTCCTTTTATTGCCTCGATTGTAGAGAGTGTCTGTGTATTGGTCCTGCAGATTGACCTCCACTCCGTCATGCTCCATTGGTCTTATGGGTGTAAAAACTGAACCTTTGAGTATATTCACGGCGAGCGGCCAAGTGAAACCAGACCACTATACTTGATCAAATCAAATCCATCAGTTCACAAATAAACCATCAACCTGGGCATATTTCATGATTATCCATTTCAACTGACCATTTTAGTTTCGTTTGTTTATATTTTTGTTCAGTATAATATGAAGAGTTGTCTGCCAATGACAATGTATGGCATATTACTTCTGTGTACACAGTAGCATAATTATTCAAATGACCAAGGGTAATATATAGTACAAAAAGATAGCAGAAAATATGTTCAAATATCACTTTGAGAAATATAAAATGATACCCTTGATATTTCTTTAATTTATACTTTTTTAAACTATATGGTGGCATTTGGATGCATTTTTAGTGATAAAGACATGTCAACTCAGTTCAAATGCATCTTTATATTATCAAGCTAAATGATATGAATACATGGAATATCAATGATCTTCACAGCCTTAGTACACATGACATGGATAATGTCCTAGTTTTTGACCTCAAATTCAATAAAAGTAAACAAACTAAATAATGGACTCAGCTTTCAATTTGCAGTCACTCTTAGCTGCATCTGACTCAGCAGTCTACCTGTATGCTGTCTATCACAGTAAATGCTCAAATTAACAAAGACATGCATTGATATGACACAACAATTATGCAGTTCACCAAAGCATTTAAATCAAACAACAGTGTCATCTTTATAATAACAAGCTAAATAATATGAATAAATTTATCTATGACCTGTTGAGCCTTAGCATGCATGACAATATACTAAACATTACCTGCTGATATGATATGTAGAAGACATCGTAGTTTTTTTTGCCTCAAATTCAATAATTCTAAACTGAGGAAATAATTGTTTCAGTTTTCAATTCTCAGGCACTCTTAGCAAAGTCTGCCTCAGCAGTCTACTCAAGAGTGACATCTTTGTAATAAAAAGCTTAAGTCCTAGTTTTTGACCTCAAATTCAATAAATGTTAACAAAGTAAATATTTGCATCAGTTTTGGGTCTAACATGCAAGGTTCTTACCAGAGGTAAAGCCTCTTCTATACAATGGGGTAACTACTGTTTCCTAGTTAGCACTTTGAAAAATAATTAAGTAATTGTATTGGTACACAAACCAATTTGACAACATTTAACTCTATTTATTACAGCTATGCAGTAGTTTTAGCACTTATGCATGTCACTTGAAAGTGATGCCACATACAGGCAAAACAATTTCTAACACAGAGTGCTATGAGGCCTTACCTTAGCATATGAAAGGCAGATAACTGAGGCAAAATAAATAAGAGATCATTAACAAAAGCTTGTAACTTATATGCTTAATTGAATAAAGAATAAGTTTAAAATTGTTCTATTTGACAAGATTTTATATCTGAACTCATTGACATATTGATATAAAATTGTCATTCTCTTCTTCAACTTTCTGGTCAGTTTACTGTAAACTGTGGACTTTCGACCCTGTCCCTCCTAGCTGAGACTGCCTGCGCGGTCTACCGGTATGCTGTCTGGCACAGCAAATGCTCAAATTAACAAAGACATGCACTGATATGACACAACAGTTTATGCAGTTCACCAAAAACATTAGAATCAAAAAACAGTGTCATTACCGTCGAGTAATTAGGAGTTGCCATCACTCACGCTCCTAGCGCTCCTTGTTTGTTGTTCACTTTGACCTCTTTTATCAAGGTCAAGGTCAGTTAACCATAAAGAAAAGAAGGTGTATTTATAAACTTTTGTTGTTTATGCAGATAGTGAAGATATGATTTTTTAAACTTTGATTGATATTCATGATTCATAGTTTGTATTTTTAAAATATTGCTTGTTAATGCTAAAAGAATCGCAACCAGTTCTCCAATCTTTGTTGTGGGTTACGGGCACCTGTTTTAACAGAAACCCGTAAGGATAATAATCTTAAGAAATATATTTAAAAAATCAGTAGAATGCAAGTTCTAAACTAGTAAGGTGCGCATAAAATATATGGTTGTACATAACAAACTCTACCATTCTAAAAAAATGTATGGTTCTCACATTTTGTACATTTTATTTCCAACCCCCACTCCATGCTACTTTCGAGCCCCCTGCCGTCTGATACAGAGCAAGTCGTGTTATGGGCGTCAATTGCAATCACGTTTCATTTAAAGGATAAAGTTTAGTTGCAGCGGCTAAAATACACTATTATTGAGCTAACCCGGATGCCTTCATCCTGTACTCAGGCTGGGCAAGGTGGATCACTCGATGATAGACGTTTGGAAGTTGAATTTTATAACTGGACGATTCGATATCTCTTAAAATTTGTGACTGTCGCCTAAAATAAAATCACTCTCATTCAAACACCATGACGGAATACAAACTCGTAGTCGTTGGTGGTAAGTATGTTTATTTCTTCTCTAAATTCACTTGTGGGAAATTTCGTCTTGAAGTATGATGACTGCTCACCCAAAGGTTTGCAACATACTACTTCCAAAACCAACCCTATGTGATTCAAAAAATTAATAGATTGTGTTGCAGTTGTAACTCTTAAAAGTTAAATCAGCAAGGTCCATTACTCATTTGGAATAGTTTATCAGATAGTTGGCAAATTTCAAAACAACAGAATAGATGTGTACCTGTGTTCTTTTAACTTGGCCCTTCAGGACCTTGCCCTAGCTGCCTCTCGCACAATTTGAAAGACATTAACACAAGGGCTACTCATGTTATTTTGATTGCATCCTTTCCCTCAATAAATTTCCATCTTTTTATTTCCAATGAAGAACCACAAAGCATTTGCTCATTTTAAGACTGATGAATAAATTTGCAAGTCAGACAAATGTGAAATAGATGGAAGGGAAAAGCGTGTTTTGGTAGACTATGAAAAAAATTATTTGTAGCATTTTGAACTACTGAAAACAAGGAAAAATACAAGGTCAGCTATCAGCACTTGGAAATTGGGATGTATTCACTGGATCACACATATCCTAAACAAAACTTTGCTGATAAACATGGAAATGCTACTGGGGTAACAAGGATGGTAGGCTGGTGGAACCATAGTCCATTCCCCATTTCTGTGTACAGGCAGCATTCGTCCCATATACTAACTCCAATATCCCAACTCACCTTAACCTGTTGTAATCATATGACTAATCATATGGGACCCCATATTTTCAATCCAAGGACTACCATTTCTGCCACACCAGCTTACAGTTAAGTGTTTCAGGAGGAATTAAGACTACTCAACAGGGATGGAAAAGGGTTGATTTTCTCCTACTCTCTAAGTTTACTACCCCTGATACTGAAGGACTTGTGGGAAAATGTGGATCAATCCAGAGATTATATGAATAAACAATAACTTCTAAAAACAACAACTTCATTTTAAGTGCTAGAAAAGATAGCTATTTACTGATGTGTGGATAAAATTTTAGTCATAAGGTATGTACCTTGCTCTTTGAATTACATCATTGAATTTTAGTCTTTCTCACATTTCTTTTCTATTCAAAGAGTGTAGACATCCCCCAAAGCAATTCAATTTGCATTATTATTGATTAATTATTAAACAAATAATAGATATAGAATCAGGATTAGATTTTCCTCTTTTTAATTTAAAAAGAAAAATTAAAATGTTCAGATAGTGGGACTCTACCTTGCACTGCTTGGCCACCTCAACCCTGTGCCAATCAGGACATTTAAAACATACCTTTAAAATAAGACTGGGTTCCCACAGGTTTAGATTGATCCATCTGGATCGACCTAACTCCCTGGGGGTTCACGCTAAATTGTTGTCAGCCGTGCGCGCACGAAAGTTAATTACCCCCTTACAGCTTTTAGTAGGCAGGATAGACATTTAACCATCTAAGTTGAGACTCCCCAAGGGGATAGATCGATCTGAAATCTGTGGGAATGCAGTCTAAGTCAATATGCTTTTGTAGATTTGATGCAGCGCATGTGTTACAGGATGGGCAGAGGTAGTGGCTCACGTGTGACAGGACAAATAGAGGAGATAGGTGCAAACAAACCCTATCAAATTTTACTGAAATGAATAAGTAAAAGAGTGCATTCAGAACAGATGATCCGTGGACTAACTGATCCACCGACTAAATATGGCTGACTGATCTTAAAAGCAGGGCCGCTTAATCCTCTGATGGTCTCCCTGCCTCCACACATGGCATTTAAAAGATTAAATTTTAGCTCCGAGGTTAAATTGCAAGGCCCCTGCAGTGATGGTGGGTGTAGAAGCGGGAGGCCATCATGGAATTAATCAGCCCTGTTTTTAAATCAGTCAGCCATATTTAGTCCGTGGGTCTGTTAGTCCGCAGTTCAACTTGTTCTGATTGCCCTCTAAGTGGTAATCTGTATCACCCCCACAATCTTATCATTTCTTCCCTTGTCCATTTGTGACCTATCCTGAAAATTTCATCAAAATCCATCCATGAATGTGTGATGTTGTTAACAGAAAAACTAACTAACGCCATAAATGGTAAGCAAAACATTACTTCCTTGATGGAGGTATTAATAAGTGAAATTCAGCTCCAATAATAACAGCATCATTGATTGTATTATTATTAATTTCATGTGCTGTAGATGTTGTTCAAAATATATTTTTTGATACTTGGGGAATTTTATATCTTTGATAGGAAATATAATTGTTTCATTAGCCAGTAGGATCAAGGTGTTACATTTGAACTTAACAGCATAAACCAATTTGTATAACAATGGGCTTCAGTTGTAATCAAACAGAACCTGTACATGACATAGCTACTAGTATACACCATTTAATGAAACATTTCAAGTAATAATTACATGATTGGATTTTTTATTATATGATTTTTTCCAACACATTCCAAGTGATATGTTATGTTTGGTGTAATCATTGTAATCAGACACTGGCAGTAGCTTACTGCACATGTGCATGTTGATGCCAGTATTATTTCCTCTTGTACTTATAATAGGTTATCGGCTTGTCTGATTATCAGTTTTATCAAGCTGGAAGTCACATGTCGAGGGTGACATAAAGTCTACATTGGTTTAATGTGATAAAAAATTGTAAATATTATCTTCATCCACCATGTCAAATAACCGTGTGTCCTGGTAGACCAACCATAAATGAACCAGTTTGATAAGTTGGAAGAAGGTGATATTTACAGGGTACAGTTAGAAATCAGCACTAGTAGTTTAGATAAGGCATTTTAAGTAAGAAAGTCATGTTTTCAGGTATACCTCTTTTTATTTTTGGAAAAAAAAGAGACTTGCAGAAAGACAGGCCTTCGTGTCATTTATGGTCAGTTTATTGAGGAAGCTTACTTATTTGACAAACACATAACTATAATATTTCTATTTATGTCATTACAAAGCAAACATCACTAAATCAAAAAAGAAAGAAAAAGTTTGTACACCTTCAGCAGAGATAAATCATGAAACAAGTGTTTGTTGTTGTTTTATAAGGTAATTGTCATTGCATTCAAACAGCAGTAGACAAATACTAGTATTAAACTGTCAGTGCTTTTAAGTCGGTAACTCCTGTTTACTTTGGTGTACCTGAATATGTATCTTCCTACTTTAATGATGATAAACAGCTAATTCGTACCTTTTGCAGGTAAGTGTGGGTATCTGTTTGTCAGGTATAATTTAAGGTAAATATGGCTGTTTGCATTCAATCACCAAATATAAACCCATTTTTAGTCATACAGTTGATTTTTTTTTTAATTCAGCATATGATTGATTGTTATGATATTGTGTTTAACAACATAATATATAGTAAAGCAGTGCCACAGAGTTCCCATTCCAAACTCTAATATGCCTGCTCTTGGTCATCAAGTTTAATTTAGGAATATTTGATAATTTTCTTAGAGTCAGGTCCCTGAACAGTGGGTATTTGTGCAAAATCTTGTAGAACAAACCAACCTTTTCATACAAAATGCTGTTATCATATTTCTAATTAGTTTGTAGCCAGGCATTCACCGCATGTATCACTCTGTCTCTTACATCTTACCCTGAGAGAAAAATAATATTAAGACACACTTAGAAGTTGTGCTTTTTAACAAGGGTTTATTCAAATAAACAAGCACTTTGGCTTCTGATTCATCAATGACTGACATATACCCAGTGGAAGAGATCAAAGTGAACACACATTGACAAAAAGCCTGCTTTTGAATATACACGACTTATGAATACAACCCTGTTCTACCTTTCCCTACTTGGCAAATCCTCTGAAGAATTAACTGGCATGTCATATTATATTTTATGCTTGAATGGCCTTTATACCATAACAAAAATAGATTTTACCGTGATTTTGCTTGAACTTGATAAGAATAGTAGCATCATTTATTTATAAATCAAGTTGTAATTGATGGCTAATGCTAGCATTTGATAGTTATAAGTGGGGTTTATCAGACAACCACTGTTTAGGTATGCATAACATTGTATATTAAAGTTTTGGAAGTATTTCAAAGTGTTTGTTAATTCATTCATAGGTATCACTGCAAGTGATATGAAAATTGGTTGAGATATGTGTAGGATATGTGTGCAGCTAGGCATGGCAATTTTTCTTGAAAACAATGTCACTGATTAATCATTATTTACTTCAAAAACTTGTTAGAAAAATGAAAAAATAATTATTTAAACTACTTGGAGTTTTAAAAATGTGGAAATACCTTTAATATCAAATTGTCTCAGTCTCAAATGACAACAGTGGTAAAGATAAATTTATATTTATTTCAGAGATATTTTGTTCGATATTGGTGACCACAAACTTTCATGTTGTTACCATTTTTTGTGTGTTTTAAGGGAAAAGTAACATTGTATTATAAGTGCACCTTCAACCAGTTTCAGTTTTTAAGACTATGATCAAAAGGGTTTGGCACTTGTTGTTTTAAAAAAAGATCAAAGGAATAAGAAGGAGGAGAATGCATGGCTTGGTATAAAATGTTGAATAATCTTTGAGACTCCCTTCAAGAAACACCAAGTATGAGTGGTGTTCTTGCTTTTCTAGTATTTTTGACAACCATTTTTACCAATGCCCGGATTTAATGGCTTACTAGTAGTTTATTTTATAGCATCTTTATTAAACTGTTTTTTAATAAGGGATCATTAAAAATTTTTTAATAAAGTTTTCTCTCCACCAGCCATAATATTTTCAATTAAGATTTCATCAGATTGAACTTATTTAATAAATTCAAGGATATAGAATGTGTGCATGTCAACTAAATAAAAGTCAAAATAAAGACCCATACAGCTTAGAGCGCAGTATTAGCAGCTGGTACATAAAGCAGTGGCAATCAGAAAGAGAACTGGATTGCAATGTACATAAGAATAGATCTCAAATTAGCAAAGAAAAAAGTAGGCGAGTTGCATGTTGCCTCTTATTATTGTGCTTATGGCCTAGCTGATATGACTTTGAAGGTTCACAGCATCCTCGTGTTTGTAAAGATAGTGACTATGTGGTTTTGGTGAAGTATGGCTAGGTTGGTTTTTGGGACTGGATATGTATGTTTGTCTTTGCTTATATTAGGTGGGGAAAAAACTTGCCAATCTTTAAAAATATTTACTGTAATTCAAGGAAAATTCAAAGCACTGCCCTATGGTATGCCTGAGAGGCTGAAAAGCTGTATTTTCTGATACATCCCATGACATCCAATCCCAAGTGTTCACTGCCAGAAACCATATTAATATCATTCATGATATTGTTAAAATAAATTTATAGCAATTTTCATACAGTGTAAAATTTAAAAAGAACAAAGAAAGAGACATAACAGGTTCAAAAATGGTGCCTTAAATTCAGTTTTTGAAAATTGAACTGCCATACTTTGTTTGTTTGTTTGTTTGTTTGTTTGTTTGTTTGTGTAATTAGTAAGGGTCACATTTGAAAATAGATCTTATCTTATTATGTACAGACACAGTAAAGCTGTACATATTGTTGTCACCTGAGTCCATCTGTGTTTCTAGAACCAGACCTTGATCTGTGCACATTTCTTGTTACTGCAAACTGGAAAGCAATGTTGCCTTTTTGCATTCTCAGAGATTTCATATAGTCCTCTATATTGCCTAAGCAAGATCAGATTATTCCTTTTTTCCTTGTGGACACTTAATCACCCAAGTGGTGACTCTATTTAGGTTTCAGTTCAATGGTGTTCATAATTAATCAATGAGCATAAAATGTTTAGGCCTCATTTCAAACAGCAACTAGATATGCAGATGACTTGGTTGTTTTCGAGACTTAAAATTTATACAAAACTTCATTTAAAGAAAGGCCATCAAAAGGGTTTTCTTCATAGTATGCTTTGTATTTATAATTACTACTGAAGCTTTTCGAAATAAATCATTATATTATTAAAGAAATGATAAAATATTTTGTAATTTTATTTTCTTAATATGAAATAAAGCTTATCATTTCAAATTCTGATAAAAATCTTCCTTGCTAGTGTTATATGAGAGACCAGGTCTGGGAGTGCTGTGTAGTTTTAATACATGTGTTGATCCAGTGTTAATGTCACATTCAACTTTTCAGAAATTTATCAGTTTAAAAGCGCAAGTCGCATTGATGCAACATTACTGAACTAGCCCTAAGTTGCCTTCTAAGTGCTGTTGTTATTCAGGTTTTCCCCTTAAGTTCAGAGTGAATGAGTTCTGCTTTGAGGTTTGAGTATGCATCTTTAGGGAAATTGGTGATAGCTGTTGTGAGGAAGATGTCCCTATTGGCACACATTGGCGGCTTGTGTGCTTAATAAGTTTAAACATGCATTTGAAGTCAATTTTTTGCCACAAAAGCTGGCCAAATACCACCATATAGTTTGAAATAGTATAACTGAGAGGAATGCCAAAAGACGTTTCATATTACTAGAAAAAATGACATTTGAATGGATTTTTTTTTTGCTTGCTTTCTGTGAGCAGGGCAGATAACTAGGTCAGACATGTATGTCAAGTTTACGATCAAAAATTTGAAGGTGCAGTTTGAATCTCTTTTATAGTTGATTGAGTGATTAATTCGGTGTACCCTTTGGCATGTCGACTTTATTTGAGTCACATAAGAAACTAATAAAAGTGGTTTACATGCCTCACTGGGAATTCATGCTCCATTGATGCTTTGTTCAAGTGTACCTTTAAGTGTCAGATATTGGAAACGGTATTGCATTATGAAGTGAGATCCGAGTGCTTTTGACAAGTCTGAGCATGGCAGATCTGTTATTCATACTAGCATAGATATTATTTTTTATTTATTTTTTAGTACAAGTACATTTAACAATCTCTAGAACCTAAAGGTATAAACATTACCAAAACTACAATATTTAACACTTTTCAAAATAGGTTTATATCGATAGATATCGCTAATCAATAACTTTGGATAACTACGTGGCGGTTGGTTTAGGATGTTCTTTCTCTTTATAATTATTCCTGCATATTTTGCCATAAGGAATCACATTCTTCATTGTCCTAAAGGCGTGATTTTAAAAGAAATTACAAAAATAGTTTAATTGCAGTTTCTGTTAAGTTTTAGAAGTTCAGATGGCATTTTAGCAAGAAATGCATTTTATTTTCAACTGCTTATGAATATGTATGCAAATTTTTTTAGTGTTCTGGAGGCACCAATTTTGGTTTTTAATATCTACCCCTTTGTATTTTTAAATCATACACCCCTATTATAAATTTTGCTCTATTATACATGTCACATTTTGGCAGTTGTGCTATTGTGTACACTTCTCTTTCAAAATTTGTTCTGAATACTAGTATAATAGTTTATATATGCGGAGTATGATGATTTCCTCATGATTATTTTGAAAAACAGTCCTGATGCATGTGATGCATAGCTTTAAGACTGAAACGTTTTGTGGTATATCAGTGATACAATTGCCCATATGTGTTGGTAAAAAAAAAGAGAAAAATATTGACTGAAGCAAATTTATGGGGAAGACCATTGGTATTTTTTAAAAGAACAATTTGTGCATATAAAGATGTTTAGTCTTGGCTTGTGCAGTAGTGCCATCTAGTGCTAGATGTTATCCAGGCACTCCGAGATTAATTCAGCATTAGGCAGCTCGGTGAATATGATTCATGAGAGCAAAAGTGAACGAGTTGAGATACATAATCATATGTGTCTGTTAATATCTGCAGCAGATGCTAGGTGCTCGATATTAAGATTTTTGTACATGTACACATAGAGTTTGCTGATTTTTGCATTCAAAAAATGTGAACAAAAGAAAGATGGGCTAATCTAGGAAAAATATGAATAATGACTGGATGTCCTGATATCTAGAGATATGATTGATCATTCTGGGCAGGGCTCAGATTAAAACATTAACCAAGGCAAAACTTGACTGCTCTAAACTTTCGTATTGTGTCTTGTATAGTTGTGATTAATATATTTATGTATTACAACTTTTTAGATAATTGAAAATTAATTTATACACATTGGGAACTTATCAATGAGTTATCTGGCTCATGTCATATACATGGACATCTAAAGGCATAGTGAGTTGAGTAGGAGGTCAACTCGCAATAACAATTGACCACACCCTCTGCCTGTTGACCAGTCCTTGAGCATCAGAATTTGAGATCATGTAACATTATTTATTACTGATCATTACTTCAAATCTGAAAGATTGGGTAAAAGAAATAGAGTGCAGCCTTGTTGTTTGACAACAAAGTTGTTAAGTTTCTGGCTCAATTAAATGTTCCCTGCTTCCAAAATAATATTTCTTTTTCATTTTAGCTGGAGGTGTAGGGAAGAGTGCACTAACTATACAGCTGATACAGAACCAGTAAGTATCATTCCATGTGACATTTCATGTATAGTTATCATTTGAGTGAAATATAGTTACATAAAGTAAGTTTTGCATTCATATATATTTTCTGTGGTCTTGCTCTGTTTCAGTGGACCAAGTCTTTTAACTAAAGAAGTGCTGTGTGAGATAAATTTATGAACATTAAAGTAAAAAACAGCAACTGAACACCACTGTAATATAATGTGAATAAAATAAATTGAAATACTTTGTTTCAACCCTTGTCTAGAAACCCTGTCAATATGCTTGTAGTTACAAGTCCACAGGAAAGTAATTTCTCTTAATGGGCAATGGTATCTACTTGCAGACTGGGTACTTGATCTAAGTTCCAATATAAAGACACTATTTTATTTTATAACACCCTAGGCATGATCAATGGTTTAATACTTATATCCAGGTAATTTCTGGCAATAAAACCTGATGGCTCATTTCACCCTGCGCCTTGTTTCAGATTGTACTAAAGTACATAATTTTCATTTTTGCAATATTGATGTCTTCACCAATAACAGGCCATGTTACTTTCAATGCCAAGTGATTTATGGAAGCCCAAAAAATTAACTGATTTATTTTATCTATTGACTCATTTTATCTGCCAATAAGATGAGAAAATATTCATGGCATTAAGCAACTTAACCTACAGAGAAGGTTTGTCACAGATCATTAATCATTTTCATTCATTCTTATACATCTGTGCACAAAATTAAGCCTTTCCAGATTGTGATAGTATCAAACTGCATATTTTCTGTGCACTTTTTAGATTGATTGCCAGTAATAGTCACATTTTATAATTTTCATGCAAAAAATATGACATTCCCATCAACAGCCTTGATAACTAACTACGTGCAGGTTAATTACATTTGGGCACTCTAGGCCTCCAAGATTGAAATGGCCTGGCATGCCTGGATAAAATGTTTTCGGCATCACTAACATAATGCGTACTTGTCACCTTACCAAATGCTGTTTCCAAGTGTGTTCATCTGACATCAATTTTTTTTTTTAATGAAGTAAATCCATATGTTTCGTGTCAGTGACAGATTGCTGTTGCTTTGTGGCCCTGAAAGACGAATTGATAATTCAAGGTGACAGTATCAGTATGATACTCTGGCAGAGCATTAAATTTTTTGGAGTTTATATCATTTCAGTTATTAACCTCCTCAGTTGGCGCTACTTTTCTTAGACATTTTAAACAAAACGTAAAGGTACCACTCTCCTAAACAAAAAGTGCAGTTGCTTTTAAAAAGCTGGAAGAAGACATTTGTGTTGAATTACATATTGACTTTGACAAATGCATGATGTACAGGCACTTCAACGATAATTGTTCGATGAGTATATACAAAGAAGATGCATTGATCATTTGGGTGGAATGTAATAATTCTGCTGCAGCTAACTACATAATTGATGCTGTAAACTACAGATAAGACTGTTTTGTGTTTGAATGAGGTACAAAGTAGGATGAGATGTGATGGGCAATTATTGAGATCTTCTTTTGAATTAAATGAAATTATGGTGTTATTTATGGTGAATTGATTGGTTTGATGTTACAAATACAATAATCATATAAACATTGAAATCATTCGGGAGAAGGTTTGGCCTGCATTTCTGGGATGTTTTAAGTCGCGATCAATTTAGTTGCATATAGATTATTTCTAGTTTTTAGTTGGTTATTGTCTGTCCTTATTTTAGATATCATCACATTTTTAATCCATTATCAATAGACTGTGTGAACAAGACAGTAATGAATTGAATGCCAAACTCATTTTCTGTTTTCCTATTTCAGCTTTGTGGAGGAATATGACCCTACAATAGGTAAGTATTGTGTGTTTGGTCGTATTTAGCACCCACCACCTGTCATAAATAAACATTTGCAGTGTAATCAATATAGGACTGTTTTAGTAAATGTATAGTACTTAAAGACCATGATGAATTAAAACAGTCTTGTTGGGAAAATGTCATGGATGAGATTCATAATAGATGATAGTTATGATTATGGACCTCAATTTAGATGACTAATTAGATAATTTCTTCATCCATATTGATACCCCTTTCCTAACTGAAATCCTTTTCCTATAAAGAGGATGCAGAATTTGATGATCAATTTAGTTTTCTATGCTAAAATGCCATGAGACATTAAATGTATAGGCAGCAAATATTACTGTGTGAAATATTCTATGAAAGGTAAGGAAGGCAAGGATGGCATTGATGGCACTTTGATGATTTTTTTAAACTCGATGCCAACATCACCCTACTCATGTAATTAAAATACTGTAAAGTAATCCCAACCCAGAACTTATATTACTCTCTTTTACCATTTTACATTTTTGTGAATGTTCTGGAATCTGGATAAATATCTTCCAACTAGAACAAAGTTTGAATGTTTTAAATAAGTGACATTTAAGTTTGGATGAATAATTTTGAAGTCATAATAAACCCACCCTTCCCCATCACCAGACCTCATAAACAATAATTGCCGTTTCCGAGCACGATACTCAGATTCCTTAACGCAAACACCAATATTAACAAGCCCCACCTCAGATTAACAAGCACAACATAAAGTTACCGAGCACAAACTTAGCGTTTCTAAGCACTATCAATTTGTCCAGCTTCCATCAGGGCCCCCAGGTGCTTACATACGGGTTCTTTTTATCAACTCAGGACTATTTTCAAGATGGCGGAAGATACAAGCGACATAACGGTGGAACTTTCAGAGATTTAATTTGAGTAAAATAAATGATGAATATATAAAAAAATCTCAAAACAAACCAAACTACTGCATTAGTATATTCCACTATCCATACCGCATATTCATACAGCAGCAGTGCGTTCTCGACAACCTTCGGCTCATATGAAACATACCTAACGGGTAGATAAGCGGATCAACGGCTAGTGCTTAGAAATGCTAAGTTAGTGCTCGTTAACTTAATGTTGTGCTTGAGGTGGGGCTCGTTAATATCGGCGTTTGCGCTCGGGAATCTAAGGCTCGTGCTAGGAAATGCCTAATCCGTTTATGAGGCCTGCATCACCCAGTCTTTAAGTAACAACATATTGGTAAGATACAAAAAACACAAAAGAACTGATGAACATTATAAACCCACCCTTCCCCTATCACCCAGTCTTTAAGTAACAACGCATTGGTAAGATAGAAAAACCACAAAAAGAACAGATGAATTCAGTCAGCTTCTGTACCTGAAGGTATGAAAATACAGACATATGAGATTGGCTACATTTCTGTGCATTCAGTTTTCCTGCATATAAGATGTTTTGCTTTCTGTATATCATTTATTTGGAATGTCTGTCCTAAATTTGTACTTTTAAATTATGGTTTTGAAAAAGTTCAGAATGTTTTTTGAAGAGGGAGAAAAGATCACACTAGGGTCTTGCTTGCTACATCTGTCTTCCAGTAAAAATAACCAGTCAATAGATTTTCAAAAAAAAAAAAAAACTAAAAGACTTCAAGCATATTATTCAGAATATTTATAGCATATCTTGCATCAAGCTGTAATTGAGATTGAGTTGAACAATTTCCATACCCATCTGTCATTCTCCCACAAGATTTCATCTGTATATAAGTGATTAGATTCTAGTTGATTTTAGTAAGGTTTCCAATATATCCTTATCATTTCTCAGAAATATGTCAGTATTAAAATCATTTTTGGTTTAGAAATTAAGCCTTGGGGTTAAATCAGAGTTACAAAAATGGAAGGGGATGGCGCAGTGGATTTTGTGACAAGGTTTCAATGTATGAAGCATTAACCTGGAGGAAAATGCACATTGCAGCCATTAGTTTTAAATTCCAGAGTGGGAGCAAGTATTGTTGTCAGTTTTTTTAGATAAGAGACACAGTCTTTGATTTCAAGTGATGCTGATTTATTGCCAGTCCCAACCATTACATTTAATACATCTAGTCTCTTGACCAGTACAAAGCAAATACAGCTGAAGTAACTTTTGTTACCATGGTGCGGCCATCTTTATACATGCGCCATTTTCTCACATTACAGTTTTTTGATGAGACTATGAATGTAATTGTGCACCAATAGAAAACATGAAAGATGCATTAGAGTCAAGAGGCCACATTTCTACTTAAGTTAACTCTGTGGACTATCTCAGCAGACTGTATGATTATAGCTTCTAACAGTGAAAATCCTCTAGTCATTGGAATTCTTAATCACAGTCTGCTGAGGTGGTATGTGGTAAGTTAAGCTTTCATAACTTGATTGGAAGTGCACCTCAGTGACAACCACAAGGCCCAGATGGACTGCTTTGATATATTATCTACCAAATTTTAATGAAAGTCCCTAATTGTATGTGATAGGCTGCACAAAAAGATAGAAGGTCAATCATTTTTGATATGGATGATTTTTCACTATTGATGAGTTACGGAATAAATGATCCATACAGTCTAGTTAAAACATCCCCATGTAGCATATGAAACATGCTTTATTGGAATAAGACAGGAAATTAATTCTGAAAAACGACCACAATATGAGCAGGCCCTGTTCACCATGTCCTCATCATGTCATCCTTGGTGCTGACTACTATATATGTCACAGCTAGCACAATAACAGTAGCAATGCTGTCACACCTGATGAAATCATGTTTTACAAGGTAACACAAAAATATTTAGTTGACTTATTTTTCTCAGTAATGTGATTTCTTTCTTTTATAGAGGATTCATATAGAAAGCAAGTGGTGATAGATGGAGAGACCTGTTTGCTGGATATCTTAGACACAGCTGGTCAAGAGGAATACAGGTAAAGCTTAACTGTGGATTAGAAGGTTGTAGCCATAACATAAAGCCGTGATGAACATGTGAATTGTTTTCCATGAGAAAAGGATGACAACACTTCATTTTGGCTGAAAAAGTGCCATAAAACAAATTTCTTGGTGTAAACAATTTTCTCACACTTACCAATGGCTTTCAATTATGGTAGCAATAAATAATGGAACTCTGTCACACAATATGCAAATATTACTATTAACCCCTGTTCTGTTGGTAAAATGCAATTTATTACATTTTCGTGTGTTGTTTTCAATGTATTTATTGTGTAATTTTGAATCTCATATGAAGAGTTGTCACCCCCTTCAGATATCTGTAATTAACAGTAGGTGTTTGAATTTTTAACATATTTTGTAGTGATTTTTAGTCCCTTGTGCAGAAATGTTTAAGCAAAAATGCTATTTTATGTGATACTGAGGTCAGCATACCGATCATGTTTTGACACATGTTTATATGTAGTTCGAAACACAGTAAAGAAGGTTGTAGCCAAAGCTTCAGTTGTGGTGTATGTGGTTTTGTTTTTCTAGTGCTATGCGTGACCAATACATGAGGACAGGAGAGGGATTTCTCTGTGTTTTTGCTGTAAATAATGAAAAATCTTTTGAAGATATCAATCAGTACAGGGAACAAGTAAGTATATTGTCACATTTACTGAGTCAGTTATTCTGATCTAGATATATCTCAAAGCTAGGTGTGGTTTTGTAAATGAAATTCCACTTCAGCAGTAACTAATTAATTTGTTCAATGTATATATAAATGGGACACTTTGTGTTTTGGAAGATTTACATTTTCTGCATCAAAATCCTTTATGATAACTTGATGCATAGCGGATATTTAAGATAATATTTCTTTCCTAGATTAAACGTGTTAAAGATGCTGACGAAGTACCTATGGTCTGTAAGTATTTGTTCAGAACAATAAATTTTTATTTTCTCAAATAAATCTTGAATCCAACTTTCTGACAAGCTGCATATAAGAAATTAAACATTTATGAAACCGGTCTGAAGCTACTAGGATGACTAGCTAAGTGTTGTGCTAATACTACCCGAGATACAAAGCATGAAATCATGAAAAGCATGAAAAAGACTACTAAAATCTGCATTTCAGATATTTGTGTCACATATCTGTGTGCTAAAAAATGGTAGTTGTTCTAGGTCCTTTGCCAGTAGCCTAGTGCAAAAAAATGACTGCATATACTAGAACTAATTTTATATCAGAAAGTTTAAAGGTACCCTGAGTGTCAGAGAAACGTAAAAGCTAGCTTGCTAAATATACCTCGTGGTGGAGTCGCTTTTACGAATTGTTGGTATTGTTTTACTGGTATTGTTGATATGGGTTATATATGAAATCAAGATCGAGCTGACAATACCGGAATCTAGAACCTAGGGTATTTAAAGGATAATCAGATTTAGTTTTGCTTAGCCATTTGAACTTGTAGATAGATTATCAGGCAGTTAACCAATATTTTAAGGTCAAATTGATTCACACGTTACACTATTTCCAGTGGTAGGAAACAAAGTGGACCTGCCATCCAGGACAGTGGATACCAAGCAGGCTGGGGGTGTGGCAGATAGCTTTGGAATACCTTACGTTGAAACATCAGCCAAAACACGACAGGGAGTGGACGATGCCTTCTACACATTAGTGAGAGAAATAAGGAAATATGTAAGTGGATTTTTTTTTTTTTTTTTTTTTTTTTTTTTTTTTTTTTTTTTTGGAGGGGGGGATGATACTATGGAATGCCCTGTTTGCAAAACATTTGAATGAATGATTGCAACGGTTTTTCAGAGACAACAGTTATATTAGATGATTAACCAAATAAACGGGTAACTTAATTACACTAACACTGAATCAAAGACGAACTTATCACCTGAAGAGCTATGAAAAACAAAGGGTGTTGAATGGGTAAATGATTTTATAACCAAGATGAGTATAATTAAACCTGTTTAAAAACGGGGGTTGGGGGGAGGGGGTAAGCATTGTGCTTGGGGAAAGCTAACTCCTTTTTCTCCGTTTTTACAGAAAGACAGGAAGGGACCAAAAAGCAAAAGAAGCAAGACCCAAGGCAAGGGCTGTTGTTGTGTATTGTAGCAACTTCAGGACTTAATAAGTGACATTTCTAGATAGAAAACATTTGAACATTCAACTACTGAAGGACTTCGATTCCATATTTACATACAAATAAGAAAAGGCTTATGTATTCTAGAAGCAGGACACAGAGCAATGGAATTCCTTCCGAAAGATTTGCATGTTTGACATGAGTGCCCTGTCTGTGCAGATGAAGTAATGAATTGCTGCTTGTGATAAAGAACATTTCACAGGATGTTTTGTAAAAAGTGATATTTCTTACTAAAGTATAGAATTGCTCTTGAGAGCAGCCATGAACCCGCCCCTAACTAGTACTTTTCGCATTCTGCATAGCTGAAGTAAAATGAGATTGTGTAGGTGGATAGCTTGGGATTAGACTCACAGTTGCTCAAAAACTGACACAGTAGCAATGACATTTCACTAAAACAGCACATCGACAAACATGTCTCCCTTCTGGCAAATGAGAACCCTTTGGCTACACTGCATGATAATGTTTAATTTTTGTTAAGTTTCTTTTAGTAAGGAACAAGAAAACACCATCTTTCCAATTCATGCATCAGATACAACCACATTTTGTCAAAAAAAAAAAAAAATATATATATATATATATATATATATATATATATATATATATATATATATATATAAAAAGTGGCCAATGAAAACCCTTGGTCAAATCTGCACCTTCAAATTATGACAGGTGCTATGTCTTGGTTAAGTTTTTGTTTTACTCATGCCTACATTTTAAATGTCAGTTATGCAACATAAGTGGTTCTATCATTATTTAAACATATGGCAACTGGATACAACCTGGAATAAAAGGCAACTTTTTGATGAAATACAAACTTACCATGCAATCATAAACTTATCATACTTTGTGTCTAAATACATCATAAATCAGATATACAAAGGAAAAAATTTGACATGGGTTTTTCATTTGTTCATATCATGACCTATCACCTTGCACCACTTTCATGATCTGCAGTTTTGTCATGTATGATATACATCAAACTGGTAACAGATAAGCCTTCACAGTTAATGCATACAATTCCAAACAGGTTTTGTGCAAAATATGTCAAGATTTGTTGTCAGTTGTTTGATGCAACAGATTGTCGAGCTTGAATAGTTGCTGCATCTAATGCACTTCACAGTTTGCTTGATAAGGATGTGTCGTCTTTGCTTGTCCTGTCTCACCTTCACAACTAACACACTTTTTACTTTAAGTTCTGGGCTATAGACTGCTCTGCTTGTTAAAGAGTTTGTATTTGAGGGAATGAAATTATTCGAGGTTAAAAATCAAACAAGACTTGTATATCAAGATAAAATATGCTGTGCACAATGCCCTTCAATTCTAAAATGTATTTTTTTGCTGGTATCTTTCATTCCCGTTTCACTCTAGTAATTATAGTTGCATTTTAAAATATATCAGTTTGTTATGTCATATGTATATATGAGAAAAAGTGCAAATTTTTTGTACATCTTGTAGGTGTTATTCAGTTCTAATTGTTTATAGATATTAGCAGCACTAATCGTGCTTTGCATCTTACATGTCTTTCAATTTTTTCGGAAATATTATATTCAGAAGAGCACATTAAGGTAAAGGTTAGGCATTTATAGACAAACACAGTATGATTTACTATGTACATTTAGGTCCAACAACAAGTACGTTTTATAATATTGCAATCAACATTGTAATAATAACCAATATGGTTAATTCATTTCAATTACAGTCATAACTAAATGAATTAGTATAAACTTTTTCAAACGGTTTTTCAGTACTAATGTAAATTAAGAAGTTGAAGCTATTAACAACTTTTAACTGGGATATAATACCAGTGTTCTCTTTTACCAGGCACATAGCGTGTTGGTGTTTTGTTGTGATCATGAAAAATGCAAAATGCAGCTTTTCCCTCTTTTCTCATATTGCTTTTCTGTAGTATTGGTTTTTGATTTGTTGCTCCTTATTTTATAAATGAAAAACAATGTCTTGTACACTTTTTAAGAAATAGTCAGATCAAACACAATAGTTTTTTAGATGCTTGACTACTAGATGGACAGTGACATTGGTAAAAATTTTTGTTTGAAGCGGCATTTAAGGTTTCACATCCAAGATAATTTAGTATGTCTTTACAAAAGGCACTATCAATATTGTTGTAATTGGTTATCTTTAAATTTAAAGTGCGGTGTTGAAATATATACATTGACTTCTGTTGAAAAAATTTCATGTAAATATTTTGAAATATTTCAAAAATACTTTTTTTTTTAAATTTATTTATTTATTTATTTATTTTTATTATTTTTTTTTTTTTTAATGGGGGTTATACAGTAAACTATTAATTTATACTATTTTGTCATATGAAAATAACTTATGGGCAATTAATATTTAACATGAGGTCATTTTAAATCAGCAATTTTTTAAATTGTATATTTTGTAGCGCCATCTATATTTGGATTTGGAACCATAGACCGAAAATACAAGGCTTTAGTACCAGTAGTACACTGCATTCTGTCGGAGCTTTCATTATATTGGACGTAAGAGGTTAAAGGATTATTGAGTACTGTTTTTCACTTAACAAGAATTTCAAATGATTATCATGTGAGTTAAATGGTGTCTGAAACAATATGAACGTCATATAATAGTAGTCAGTAATGCCAGTCTTTGTGTGCTGCCCAAGGAAAGCTGGCCAGGAAGCATACTTCTTATGCAATTTCAATAAACTATGAAAATATTGATATTTAACGAGTTATTATTATTGCATTCCTTACAGCAGAATTTTGGTTCTATTATAGGCAGGGTATCTGTTGTATGTTCGTCTCACGCTGTATAGATTTTCTAGTAATATGGGCTCAGTTCATTCCAGGATCCATCAAGCAATGGGTTGTTTTACTGGGTCTTGCGTTCGTTGCATCCAAGAGTAACTGGCAGTAAGCTAAGATCCCCCCGCCCCGCCCCCCCCCCCTCCCCGAATGCTGGCAAGGAATGTGATTCTGTTCATGACATCGTCACAAAAGTTTATATACTCCACAACTACTGTAGAGTAGGCATGCAATTAAAGGTAAAGTCTTCGACTTACTGGCGCGAGATCTCCATTTAAAATCTTTGATCTCGTTCTCTTTACTTTGGATCGGAAACTAGCTGTCATTAATACAAAACGCTATCCACTCTTTTTTATGTCCAAATGACTTATTTTAGACCATTTTTTTTAAACAGAAAAAGTCCAAACGTATTTTCGTTTAGATATAGTATATTCAAGTCATTGTGCTATCAACCAGTCATACAGCTCGCTCCATTGTAGGCAAAAGATTGCCTTTAATTCCTTAAAAAATGTTATCTCAAGCTGTTGATCAATATACAATATAGCCGTTTTAGCTTTGTTAGGACGATTTGAAATTAGATCTCGTAAGCCATTCTAAAAGATGAAATGCAAACTATGCCAGCATAATCCCATCAGTGTTAGATTTTTTAGACTCAATGGATAATGTGACATTTAAAATGTAATGATAACTTCTAAAACACAATAATATTTGTTGCTCTATGCTCTTTATTGCTCGCTTTATGTAGTGTAGCTTTCCTCAGGTTACCCTTGGCATATTGGCGTTGGCGTTTTAATGTAGAGAGTGTGGAAAGCTTGTCCAGTGAAAGTGAGAGACATCGGATAGGCTTTGTTCTTGCCGCTTATGAAGTTCAACTTTTCAGTCCATTTTAAAAGCCCTACACACACAATTCGATTCCGTCACAATGGATATGCTGCACTCATCTCACATTGTTCATGTTCTTGGCCCTATTGTCCTAGAGACAAGCCCTTTTGGTGTTTCTTGGGAGCCGCCGGCGAGGTTCCTAGTCCCTCTGTCACCTGGTACCGCCAGCTAATCTATTGGATGAGCAAACAGCACAATAAGCATTAAGAGTTGAACTACAAACACTGCGCGATGGATGACGGCTACAGCACACAGGACACGCAAAAGCCACTTAACCACAGAGTACTTGCACAACAACTAGACTTGCGATATTTTCAATATTGATATTTGTATTAAAATGCTGATGAATATGTCCTCAGTCAAAATGCCGGCACCTTACCTTGGATGGCTTAATTTGTTCAATTCTTTTATGTACAATATCAATTTTTTGCTTTTAAATAAACCAACAATTATCGTAGCGGTATAAACTTACATATTTAGCTCGGTTTTCAATATTTTACTTTTGTATACAAACGATCTGTTATCCGCGAAAAATTTAACAAAATAAGACCTTTTTAATGCAAAAAAAGTCTGCATATGTAAAAATTTTTGGCTAATGACACAGTGGTGAACGTTTCTAATCAGACGTCAGTGTATCCTACGTGTATAGTTTTTCTCGACTGGAACCCAATCAGCACCTGAATCAGTAAAGTTTCCTGCTGCAATTAAGTCTATGAACCAATAATTGGGTAAACTTCACACGTTCGGCGAAACAAATGGAATACGCAACGAAATTTAAGAATGGCCGATAACGCTCTTCGCCATGAGATTGGCTGTTAGAGATTAGTGGGCGGGATCTAAGGTTAATCAATATTTGTCTCAAGTGTTTACACTAAATGCTCACACGATTTCTGTCCCGATCCCTAAGAATTTACGCACATCTCGCCTACGAAACAATGGCTGTAGTCAAATGTACAGTCCTGGCTGTAAAACTATGATTTTAACTCTTGGATATACTTACTAGGCGTTGTTGTCTTATCTGCAGCACTATGGAACACATAGGAGTGATGCAGCCGGTGACGGGGTTCGGGAACGTGTATCAGCAGACGACAGTCGCGAGTGGAAACAACACTGGGTTCTCAACCACCCTCACTCCCTGGCATCAACCTGATGCCAACTACACCTCCCTAGAGACCATCTCTGAGGAACAGACTCCTGGGAAAAAACCAAGAACCAGTGATTTGACGGAGACAGTGTCGAACTCCGAGGATGGATGGGGCGACATGAAAGGTAACGTCACGTGGTCAAATGATTATATCAACGCAAGAAGTGCATGACTTTGTCTTTATATTTTAATATTTTTCACCAGTTTTCTCCCCTGGTGTTGCAATATTTGAAAGTATTTTTTTTTATTGTGAAAAGTATGTATGGAAGGTATGTGGAGTTGGAAAAATTAATGTACTTAGGTACATTTCAAAAGCATTTATAATTATTTTTTTGAATTTGCAAAGATGATGAATTTTAGTAATACCCCCTTTCTTAATTTTTATCATTTGGAGTGAAGTTACAGGGGCCTTTAAATAATCCTTTCAGGTTAAAGCTGCAAATACAGGTATTTTCAGGATTTGTGAATTTACAAAAATTTACTTTTTAGTTTTCTTAAGTTCTTTATACTATGATTTTTATTTTTCTGCAATTGGTATTATTAAATACGCGATGAAAACGTTTTATGTGGTCCCTGTTTCATAGCGATAAAGATATGAGTGTTAACTTTTTGTTTCCTTTTGCAAACTTTGAAAGAGATCGCATTTTAATGATAGTCGGCCCGTTGAAGCTATTTGATAATTTTCTATAATTCTGTCTGGTAAATGCTTTAAAAACAATTTCTTTTTATTATTTATCTTTTCAACAAAATAGTTATTCACGCGTCATTCCTGTCGCCACAATTTCTATGTCTGAAGTAAATGCGCCACAGACGGAGAAGTGTTTGACTTTTTGACGTGCTTGAGTGGCATTCTGGTGTACAATTCAAAATACGATTTGAACAAATAATATTAATATTTGAACTTTTACAAGTACAAACAGCACTGTAATACTTCTTTCGTCTTGCATATATGTGTTAGAAGACAACATGGCAAAAATTAACGTATATAACGGAAGTAATTATTTTCAGTTGCAATAATATCAATAATATCAATAATAATCAAAACCAAAAAAGGGTGTGACAGTAGTTTCTTCTCGGTGTTTTCTATCAGTTTGCTTTCTTTCTTTCTTTCTTTCTTTTTTCAAAAATCATGTCTTGTTTTAAGATAATTGTATGTCACCCCGTTTGCTTAATAAAGGCTAATTATTTACGATTGTCGGAACATATGAAAGCATCTGTTCTTTTTGCTATTATATATAAGTTCATATTTTTGCATTCGTCTGAGACATAGTATCGTCCCTGCATTCATATTCGTGTCACAGACCTATATTTATCACATATTTCTGAAGGATTTTATCTCAGATGAACAAAGCTTGCTCCTACAAAACATGCTAGTTGACATTTTTTCTAAATGCCCATTGTCTAATACATCAGTTTTATTCTTATCTTAAAGCACTGTCCTTACAGAACATCCCCCAGTAACATCTATCTGACGTCGTGCTATCACACAATACGATATAGTTTCAGAACCAGTAGATAGTTCCATAATAAGCGATTGCCAAAATAAACATGAAATCAGAGTGCGATAGTGTGTTCTGGTGTGAAATGATAGACTCTTACTTAAACCAAAACTTAAAAGTGGTACAAAAAATACTGCAACATTTGTTTCCAAAGATGGATTTTGATCATTTTTAATACATACAACATTGATTGAAAGATACGTTATCTCTTATCCGGAATTTCCCGCACACTCTCTAGTTGAGGAATAGTGGCCAAAGTTACGATGTTGCCAAGGTCAAATTTTACCGCTCAGTGCGACTTTGACGAACGCAAGCTCACTCTAAACGACAACATTTCAGTAGAAGGCTACATGAATATGAAGTCTATATACCCTACAATCATATCATCTTATTAGACTTGCTAGGCATGCATTTGTTCAGAGTATATAGCCATTCTTCGACCAAGTTTAAATTTTTACAAAATTTGAGCCCGACGTAACGTCCTGGCGCGAGAAAACGACGTTATATCACTCCGCATCGACAGTATTGAGTATGTGTCCTACTGACAAGTTCACCCCTTCACGACATGAAATTTCATGGCAATGCATACGATCACTGCTTTTCAACATCATTTAACTCATTAAAGATAACATACATATGTATTCTTTATTCATCTCCCACATTTTTTTTTTTTTTGCTTTATTTGTATTTTACCACCATAGAGGCGGGGCATGTTTTGGAAGGACCTGCGAACGCTATCCCACTCCATACTCTGAGAGCCATTACTATCAATTTTTAGTAAGAGTATACTCAGCAAATGTCAATTGAAAGCCCAATATTGTGAGATAAACGTGTTCAAATGATTGGAATATTGCTAATCACAGTAAATATACAAATAATAACTTAACTCTAATACACTGCGACTCTATGGCTATGTGAGACACTGTCTATTTTACTCCTACTGCATTGTTACTTCCTAACAGTTCATTGTTGGACATCGCTTTATGTCGATCATTATCATTTTTATGTTGAGATATATCTGAAATTCTAAGAGATGTGTTGAAAACCCTTGCATTATTTCCAAGATTTCCTGATGTCTTACAAAATCCGTTTCATTTTATTCTGCCCAAGTTAATAATGTCCTGTCTGGTCAACGAAACTATCTCCCAACGATGCCATCAGTTTCTCATCAAGATCGGGGCGTATCAGAACACGTGTAGGGCGCGTCTAGGGGAACGCAAAGAGGGTCCTCTTCACAGGATGTTTGTGCCAGGAGACACCGTTGTCAATATTCATTAATTAATTCATATCCCTGGCACACGTATAATGAATTTAGGCCACATTATGGATAAGATAAGCGGAATATTGCAAGATGTAATGAACTTACTGTGTACAGATCCATCTCATTAAATCTACAGAAGATTAGAAATTGACTTAGGTGGGTAGGTCAATTTTATCATCTCTGGAACGCTTGAATCATGACTGTTTGTCAAACGTAAGGTTAATCCTTAAATTTGTACGTTATTTGCATTCCCGTTCGCATCATTTTTTCGATTACAAGACTAAAGGCATTGGCATTTTGCGATGAGCTCAAACAAATGTTGGCCACAACACGATAAGTCCTTTCCCAACAGTTTTTTTCTCTGTCGGGGTCTTGTTGAACCCAACCACGGAGGCTTAGCGGATGATCAGGTCTCAAGTCGGATTGCTTTAGTTATCTGTTTGTCAACAAAGGAGGTAATAAACAGACGATGGTTATTCTTGCAATTAAGACCAGTTACGCTTGGTAGCGGGGTAACGTGACGTGAGAGAGACATGCAGCGTTATTGGGCCGGTCTCCTGGGTAGCATTGCGTAGTGCAGCACCCAAATCCCTATGTCGTCTGGTTACCGACCTGTCCCCGCGGTTGTTCTAGTCCAATTGTTATTGATCGATGGGCACAGGGTTGACAAATGACGGCCAAAAGTAGTCATCTACACAGGGAAATGCAATTAATATACTCTAATGGTGACTTTCAGAACTTTGGGTTGTACATGTAGTTTTTTTTTATAAGATCACTGCCTATTCTTAAATATATGAAAGAGAAAAAGACAAAATTGCTTTTTTTTTGGGGGGGGGGATGTCAACGTGCAAATCGCAGACGGACACTTTCATCTTATTGCTCAACGCTTAATGAACATAATTTGTGCAGTAATGCTTTTAGACTAAAATGTTTCAGCTCGTTGTGATGGCAAGTAAATCGTATAGATTTTGAAGACTTACGTCGTCGCATGGTTAAAACAGGAATGATTTAATAGAATTGCATCAGTGTAACTTTGAAGATTCGCCTTTTTTTATTGCATGAACAACAGAGCATTCACGTGGATTAATCAAGATGAAAATAAGTTTAAGTCTGTTTGAACTGTCATTTTACTGAAATTATTTTGCGCTTAACTACAACTTGGCTTTACAATTAGAACATTGAAAATGTTACAGTAGGTAGTTATGTGGTCTTTCGCCCCAATGTTTGCTTAAACAAAAAAGTTTTTTTTAAATCTATAATTGAAAATAGTACGGAATTAGTCATTATCTACAATGTCCGAAGAAGAATTGTGTCTGTATGTGAGGCCTGCAATGTCATTGGCTTTTACAAGAGATATATTCCAGATAATCTACCATGCGCGGTGATTCCAAGAGTGATTTAAGTATACATAATGGCAACTCTGGCCTCTTTATTGCGCATCGCTGGAGACTTTTGTCAAGTTCTTGAATGTGAGGATCAGTTTCACATTTTTACAGATCTGGACATATCATGTTTGATTTACGCCAGGCTCTGTAAGCTTGGAAGATTCAAAATTAGTATTACATCAAATCTAACCTGGGTTCGTGAGATAGGTTTGCTGCAGACTCTTTGCACGGTAAGGAGATGCAAACTCAGTATTACATCTAAGGAAATCTAGGTTCTGTCATCCAGTTTTGCTGTGCAGCAGACTTAAGTCAGGCTAAGAAGATGCGGAATCGTGTCGCCCTATCTTATCAGGTGACAGCACTCAAAGTGTGCTATCGCGGTAGGTGGCAAGTGTCACGCAGACATCAACAGCTGTCAACGTGTTTGTTCGTTCATATGTCTTCAGCATGGCTCTCTGATTTAGCTTCACGAAGAACTTTCATGGATGGAGAATGACAAAAAAGAGAAAAACGAGAAGTAGGGAGAGAAAATATGATACCATTTTAGATAATTTGGTTTTTAATATTTTACAGCTGTCATACTATCTATTTGTTCATTCATTTCAGGACTGAGATATTTAAAAAAAATTTTTAATGATTCATTTGGGGGGTTCTTTTGAAACAACATTTTTTTGAACTTGTTAAAAATAAAATTGATGAAAATAAAACGAGAGATACGCAAGTAGCACATTGCATCGCACATTTTGAAATTCGAGGAAAAGGTCCGAATTTTTTTCCGGGGATTCATGGGTCTGCTATTTAATAGTAGTTGCCATCAGACAAAAGGGATGGTAGTTAAAATTGTTGCTAGGAAAAAAAGTTTTTTGTTTTTATTTTATTTTATTTTATTTATTTATTATTATTATTATTTTTTTTTTACAAACAGCTTATCCTAAAAGTAAAAACTAATATATTTTAATATTATTAAAATTTCTCATAATTAAACATATTTCCTTTTTTGATTATTTTTTATAATATTATTTTTTCTATAAATGTTGAAACATCTCTTGCTAATGAAAAAGATATTTATCTGTTCGTCTAGCCGCTGCTGTAAATGGAGCTGATGGTGATGCCGTGGCCGAGGATGAGGAAGAAGAAGACGAAGAAGACGCCGATGATCAGAAACATAAAGAACTTAGTAGACAAGATCAACATCAACAAAAGCAGTCTCAGCTTGCTACGACGCTTAAGTGGTAAGTTAAATAGTGCAATTTGCACCTACTGTCGTGACTTGACATTAATTCCTAATGATATTGTGATAGATATGATGAATTAGATGACATGATTGTATCAAATTAGATTATTACTACTTATGAGTCTTGTGATGGGAGTAGTATAAATAAATTATAGAGTCATTTCTTGCATAACAAAATGCACTGTGTTTGAATAGAAATGAAAATCCGCCGACGGAGTTTAATTTTTGATTTTCTCATTTTAATCTCTGCAACTCATTAGGTAAAACACATGTGAATTAATATTTTCCGTAAAAACAAATTTAAATTCAAATTCAAATTTCAAGTAAATTGTGTGTTATCAATTCATAATCCTTTGTAATGCAACTACACATTTAAAAACAATTTGAAGATCAATTTGTCCAGGAAACTCAACAGCATTTGCTGATTTGATGTCAGTAACGTTTGCCTGTTCTGATTTCACAGGTTAACTGAGAATTATGAGCGAGCAGACGGGGTCTGCCTGCCACGATGTGTGCTCTACACTCACTATTTAGACTTCTGTAAAAAACAGGAATTCACGCCTGCTGGGGCAGCAACATTCGGAAAAGTGAGTTACGTTTGGTTGTAAACCTTGCTTTAGATATATTTGATTCATTGAAAAAGAGCATCATGTTGGCTGATTGTCCAGATTTATTAAAAAAAAGAGACAGCTTATTAAAAAAGATCAGAGTATATTATTATTATTATTATTATTATTATTATTATTATTATTATTATAAAATTCACTCATTCATTTATCTTTGTGTTGTTTTCTAATTTATTTAACTGTTTTTTTTTTTTTTTTTTTTTTTTTTTTTTTTTTTTTTTGTCACTTATGTTATCAATAACCTTTTTAAAAACAAGAAAATGTATTCTGATATTGATTTAATGAATGGGGCATGACATATAAAAACACACCTGATCTAAAATAGTTAAAAATTGATATATCGATAACTGCAGCAGTTAAAGAAGACTCTTTTTCTGGAAAGAATGGGGATTTTCATCTCTCTCCACCGCCATCGTCCTGATCTTCTTTTCTTTATTCTCAGGTAATCCGCCAGAAGTTCCCCAAGTTGACTACCAGACGTCTCGGAACACGAGGGCAATCAAAGTAAGTGTTTGTATTGATTTATCTAGCATGAATAATAGACATCGACTCAGTTCCACAAATTAACACTATTTTAAGAATTTACGAAGTAGATTTGATCGATTATCACTGATCAAACATTACGTCACGTCATTTATTTCAAAATTCGAATCGGTGCCTGATATTAAAAAAAATTCCTTTTTTTTTTCGTAGAAAAAATACATGTATTATGGTGTCAAGAACGGAATTCATTTTAAAGTAATTAACTTTTAAATAGTAGGAACGCTTACAGATAAATTTTTATTATTTTTTCTATCGCCTACGTTATTGCAAGTCGATGAGCCACCTGCACAAAAAGTAAAAGTCAACTAAAATGTCTGTAAGCAGGCCTCCTATCTTTAAAGTAAGCTTGTTTGAAAAAGAAGTAACAGCATTTGTCTTGCACATGAATTTGTCTCGAGTTTGCTGCCCGGAGAAACAACATCTATCAAGTTTAAACAACACGATCAAACACCGTTACCCTGACAAAGCACTTCAGATTTAATGGTATTTCTCTCGAACAATTGCCTAGTATTGAGCTTGATGACTTAATGCGTTTGTTACTTCAGATATGATATGTCACAATTTGTCGCTTCCATTTTGCATCTAGGTACCATTACTATGGGATTGGTATCAAGGAGACATCTGTCTACTACCACTCCGTGTACGCTGGCAAGGGACTTACTAGGTATGTTTACTGAAATGTAGCCAATCATTAACTTCGGCCAAGAAGGTTGTTTTACTTTTATTTATTGTCATACAGAGATCTTTGAAAATTAAGCTACAAAAAATCCCAGGCGGCCATGTCAGCACTGATTTTATATATTTAGAAATGCTGGTGGCAGATCCCGACCCATTACAGGTTTATTTGCTGTGTGAACCAGCAGTTAGATGTATAAACTTCTTAATCTCTTGCGGGTTTTATCCTCCCATCTGTGTCATCAGAATTAGCTTCCGCTGAGAGCCTCCTATGCAGAATGAAATGTCAAAGTTGCGAAATAAAATAGAAATAAAACTGTCAGGAATCTCATTAAACTTATATTTTATCACGCCTGGAATACAATTTACAAAAATGCACTTTTAATGTACGAATTGACTTCCAACGTGTACAAAACGTGTTCAAAATTAAAATTTTTTCATAGGCATGTTCATATTTTGGCGATGTGAACACTCAAACATTATCTCAAAACAGTGTCAGTTCCACCGTTTTTATTTTACAAAATACTGACGTCAACTTGTAATGATATTATACGTTCTTTTTAAATCAGTCATAATGGACTGAAATATATTACCAGTGTATCAAAAACAAATCTAAGATAAACTGACATAGGGATGTTTAAAAACCTTACTTATTTACCTATAATATGACCGCCGTGCCCCTGTGAATGAGGTTCTGGGAGAAACGTGACATTATCAGTTCTGGTGTTTAACTAAGATACCTTCCCCGCCACTTCTACACGAACCACCCTGGTATTGACACTACGTGATTTAACAACAACTGTGCGATCAATCATCATCACGCCTAGACCAACAAATAACCACAATGACAGAATGTTTAATTTCTGTCCAACTAGTTGGCCTAGTGGAAGTCTCATAAACGCTAATTGCCAATTGTGATCTCCAGCCGCAGGTTCGTGATCTCGTGATCGAGAGCGCAGAACTTACAGCTCGGTGCTCGCGGAAAGCATTTTTACGTTCGTGCCAAGACATGGCAGTTTTAGTCCTTAATTCTGTGTCCACGTTCACAAACCAAAGGCTCTAGATCATAAACGGCAATTTCGTTTATAAGGCCTGTAGTAGACAGTGTCATAGGAATTACGGACGTTGCAAAGAATTTCAGTAGTATGTCGAATTTGATGGTAGAACAATGTTCATATATTTCCCCGTGCACTCTTTATTTCAATAGGAGAAAAAGTATAGACTTTCCAACCCCAAGCCGGACATTTTCATTGGGGGATGTTATAGTGAAATAGCATGTCTTTCTGTAATTCCAAGAGAAAACTTCTGTCATTTACTTCGACTGCTAGTGGCAGACATATGTTACTGTACCATCAATGCCCATTCAATATCAAAATATGATGACCAGAAATAGATGTATTGTTTAAATCTATTAAAAATTTTCTACATTTTTTTAGATTTTCTGGCATCAAAATCAAGACAGAGGTAAGTGAAACAGCACAACATATACACATGGGCTTATTTTCTTTTTCTTTTCATAAGATCTTGTAACAATTCTCAGCTTTTAAGCATGCAAGGTTGTCTGGTCAATATAAAGATGTCTATATAATTTTTTTAAAAAAATTACTAGCGGTTGGATGCTATTAATTTCACTTATCTACCTGATAGGACGTGTGCTGAACACGATGTTAAGACCCCTAGAGGTAAACGCTAATCCTTATCTGTGGTAAAGTATGTTAACTTGATGTCCGTGGGTCACCTCTTGACATCGCTTGTCATCCTGATCACACTTAATCACTCCACATAACCGAGATACCAGTCCTTAAATCAAGTATGACACCTACTGATATATTTTGGTCAACATAAGGCAGTTAGGCCCTTAACTGTCTTTATATTTCATTTTTTTTTTAAAAATAAGTTAAGAATACAGATAAAAAACTCCATTTATTCTTTTTAATCTAAAGAAAACTGGTGTCGATTTCTCTTCTCACAAATGGGATCATGTATTTAGACCTGCAAAGAACGCAATGCCGACATGAAATCCAAAACAGATGAGACAAGCACTGGGCTAGAAAATTTCACACGCACATATCATTCTTACACTGCTGCCAAGATTCCATTCTCATTCTTACCAAACATTATATACATATATGTCGTTATACATCATATAGGCCTAAATCAACCCTTCATGAGATATATTTTACCCCAGGGATCAAGTCGTAAGTACTCTTTGAGTTCCAAGACAGGGACTCTTCTCCCAGAATTCCCGGACCCCAGTAACCTGGTTCTGCCAGAGGGCGCCAGTGAGGAGAAGGTCCACACCTTTGTCATGATGTACAGGACGCACTGTCAGCGGATACTGGACACTGTCATATCTGCTAATTTTGACGAGGTTAGCTTTTTGTTTTGTCATGGTGAATCAAAAAGACATTGATGTCAGTTTAAAGCTTTTGTGCTGGTACATCAGCAAAATTTGAGAGAATTGAAATGAATAAATTAAAAACATATATAGAATAGTTTTTAAAGGAAAAGTGCTTACTTTAGAACATTTTACGCTTTTAAAAGACAATGCCTTCTTGATTTGTTTCTTTTTCCCGATATTTTAAATGGCAATGAAATTTTTGACGCCTTACGGTTATATAACTCACAATAGTCACATTATCGTAGGTGCAAAACTTCCTGCTCCACTTCTGGCAGGGAATGCCAGACCACCTGCTGGAGGTGCTGGAGCTGGACGTGATCACAGATCTTGCAGGACTCTCAGACTCTATTTTATACAAGGTAAGGATTACATATCTCTACAGAGATCCCCTATAACTATCGTACGCTGTTTTATACTAGTCAAGTTTTTTCTGCACTTAAGTAGATATATATACCTTCTTAATTTTTTTATAAGCAAATTGTTACTGTCTACTGATTTTTTTTTATTTTATTATTTTTTTTATTTCTCATTTTACAATTCGTTTGAAATTAAACGTCCGCATTCAAAGTGTTTTCTTTTTTTATTGAATTTAATAAATATTTTTTCTCTAAAAGCCGATAACCTTATCACCTTTTTCCTTACGTATCTACAGGTGCTGACGGACGTACTTATTCCGTCCACTATTCAAGACTTGCCAGACAGGTAAGACGCATCGAAACACTATAACTTTGTTAGAATACTAACACCGGCCCAAAATATAAGAGTTGTGGATGAAATAACATTTTTGCTGATCGATCGAAAGATGACAAATGAAAAACAGCAGCCATTTGTTTGCATGAGTTTAACCGTTAAGACAGAGGTACGATTGCTGGGTCAGGATTAGAAGGGGAGGTCCACTACCGAAGCCCACCGAGTGTGTTTCTTTTGAACTCAATGAGACACTGTAATCACTTAAAATCAAATTGCCATAGTACAGAAAATATTGCGTAAAGTCGCTCAAAAGCCAAAGAGATAAACCTAGCATCATGTTTTGCAGAATAATACAAATGGGATGTATAAAAAACAAATACAAATACAAATGGGATGTAAAACAAACTATTGGCACAGCATATGTTCCGACATAATAACCAATGACACGACGGTTTCTGTTTATTTTCAGTTTAAGTACAGAAATTCGTGTGTTTACAAGAAAAATTCCCGGTTGGCTTGAAAATGCCATGGAAAACGTCCCGGAAAAATTGAAAAAGAAAAAGATGTCAGGTAACGATTTTTCCTTTCCAGGTCAAATTAGGTCACTCTTAGCATCTGGCACGTTTATTATTAGTAAACGCAAACATTAATCCGCGAATAAATAAAACCAGTGCAAATATCATGCGGTCGATTATTAACCTTGTTGCGGATTACTATTCTTTTATCCGAACCGCTGTTTGTTTAAAATATGACTCAATATAGCAGCGAATTTTGAAGAGACGACTTAAATACTTCATTGGCGCTCATTTATCCATCTTTTATAATCAATTTTCAGTTGTTCGAGAATTCGTACACAGTATTCGAAGGCAGATCTCTTTTATACACCTTGCTCAGGTAAACTTGCATTACGTTCAAATCACATCTTTTTTTATCCTCATATGTACTTTCTCTTTTCGTTTTTATACATTATATGCTTATATCTATGTTCAACTTCACCACAAACATTATTGTGTTAGTTGAGAGAATGAAACAGGTCCTACGGCTGACTTTTTCCACAGCTACTGCATTTTATTACCGCGTGTTCTGTGAAATATTAACAGTACAGTAGCAAACATTAAAATACAAGCTGCCAATAGAGTAAAAATAAAGTAAAATACATTTCTATCCTTTTTGTTTTTGGGACATGTCTATTATTTAGATTGTGTAGTTCTTCATATATCATGCTAGTATTTTGGTTATTTATGGAATAGTGAAAACAGAAGTAGACCTTAAAACAATTGCATTTATTACTAACAAAAAGATAAAGATATTTATCAATATTGTTTCCAGACAGCTCGTTCCGTCCTACTTAGCCATGAAAGCGTTAACCAAATGGTTGATGATCTCGCCGCCGTGGAGTTCGACAAAATCTTCTTCCAAGCTAGTTTTATTGATAACACACTAATACAGAAAGTAAAAGAAAATGTGTATCACTGTAAGTGGATTACTAATACTTTGCATGGATTAATATTTTTCTGCAGAAAAAAGTGGATTTTGTTAGTCATTTTAGGCGTGTTCAGAACAGGTTTAACGTAAGCCGAAAACAATCTAACTGCTTAACCGCCTATTTGCTCAAAAGAAAGTGAAAGTATAAGATCCATTGGGGGCACTTTGGGAGTTCCTATGTGAGCTGTTGGACTGATAACGCCAATAAAACTATTTCGAGTTTAAATAAGCCCAGTTCCGAACGCTGTTTGGCATCATCTTTTTTCCATGTCTTCATCATATATTTATCATTGCATATGAAAGGAATCAACTCTTTCACTTAAGTAAAGTCCTACATTCAACAAACCAATGTGTTATGTTTCCATTCACAGTCTATGGTGAGCTGAAGATTTTGATGAAAAAGCAGGCGCCAATAGAGAGTTACACCGAGTGGATGGACGGGGTCATTGATACGTGTGTTTTGCAGGTGCGTAGGTTTTTCTCTTTCTTTGATATTTGTCGAATTTCGTTATTCAAGCCAATTGCCCAAGAAAAAGAACAATGCCATCTCCCACGAATAAGATTGGTTGTCTTCCTACAGACTTTTCTGGGTTAGAAATATGAGCCCTTTAAATGGTCCTCAGTCTTGCTTGTTTTAGATCGTAAACAATTTTATCATTTTGCGCGTTTTCAATTATTTTCTTAATATTTGCAGCGTAGTATTCTTATTTTGATCTTATTTTTATGTTGCGATTGCGTCTTTATACCCTCTCTCAAATACCCGTTACCATTTAATATTTTATCCTTCCTTTTTTCAGGAAAGCAAATCTAGAGGCCGCAGTTTTAAGGATTTGGCGTCCGAGTTTCTCTTGCTGTGGTCTTTGTTCGGTTCCCTCATAGTCCGTGATCTCACTTTGCACAGCGCGGCTAGTTTTGGTAAGTTAGAGCATTGAGACAGTACAATCATTTAACAATTTACAATTTGTATATTATTATTGTTATTGTTATTGTTATAATATTGTACAAATGAGCAATACACGTACACATTCCCAAAATGAAGTGAAATCAATCTTTTCTATTGCAATATAAACTGTTAGCATTATAGCATGTTTAAAATCATATACATAACAGCCAAATTGTTAATTGTATTTTTTTCTAAATTTAAACGTACCTCATTGTATTTTCTATTTTGTTTTCAAATCTAGATAATTATTATTGTTTATACAAATAAAAAATAGGGCTCGTCCGGGAGTTGAACCCGGGACCTCTCGCACCCGAAGCGAGAATCATACCCCTAGACCAACGAGCCGCTTATTTCATAATAATTCATAACCAATATTCATGCTTCTTTATAATTTCACCTCACCTCCCCTCCCCTCCATATTAAAGCGAAGAAGTTTTTGGCCGATAGGATTGAAAACAGCACCCGTCACAAAACATGCTCCCTGAATTGATGTCTAAATGCCACCATCTTTTCAGGTCCCTTCCACCTTCTGCACATAATGTTTGACGAGTACGTTTTCCTCGTCATGGAAACACAACAGGCTCAAGTGAGGGAAATGGAATTACAGCAAGCTGTCAGGAAGTCTATGAAAAATGGAGGTAGGCCCTATGTATAATATATTCACTAGGGAATTTTTCCATTCCATTTTTGCGTTTTCAAAATTTTCGCCTGACGAGTGTCAGATATTAGTTTACATGTATTTCCGTCAGCATCTGGCATTAAAAACTTTATACATTGGAGGTGACATGACGTTGAAAGCGTTTTCTACCATTGTTCCACTATTTTGTAGGTGAAATAGTTATGCATGCCAAAGTTCGTACAGCTTCGAAGAGCGGAGATAAAAGTAAAAAACGAAGGCACGAAGAGGACACCGAAGATAACGGTAAAATATAAAACCATTGCATTTGTAATATTTCAGAACAACACTTTGGCCTTTTATCCTATGTAACATTTAATTGGGTCGTATGTCATTTTGGATTTTCCAGTAGCTTCTGTTAAAATTTATTAATCTACATATTTCAGCACAAGATTCACTACGAGTGACAGAGCACCGACCGAGCGTTTTGGCGCCGTTTTCACATTTAAATGGCACTGCCTTTGCCAGGCCATTTCCAAGCAATTTTCATCGAGACTCCAGTGGTTATCTTTTGGCGGACGATCCAAGCCGTGCCACAGCCATGCCCCAGAACTCTGTGTCAATATCTCCTCTTAAACAATACCCGTCCATCAGTACCACCCATTTTGACAGAACTAGTTATTTCTCTCATTTATCATTCGGGGGTCTACCTGATTACTCCGGTTCTACAAATTCATTCAGAGTTCCAAGTTACCCCGACGCACATGCGCACGGACAAGCTCTTGGAAACTTTAGCATGCCACCAACTACGTCACCTTACTGGAGCGAGGCCAGGAATCATTCGTCGCTAGCTGACCCCTATGGATACAGTACATACAACAAATATGCAGGCTCTCTTGCAGATTCGTACAGTAAAAATTCAGCTTTGTTGAGCGGGACTAGACATTATCAAGACTCTTTTGGCTTCAACAGATCTCCCTTTGAAACGCCTAGATCACTTTATACAAGACCCCACGAAACTTTCAATGGTAAGTCAGACCACTCGTAGTTACAGGTATTCATGATTGCACCGTCCCTATCTTTTAAGTCACTTTGTGACGCAAGTATACGTCTGAATATCACAAAAAAAAAAAAAAAAAAAAAAAAAAAAAAAAAAACATTGCTGAGTTTGCTAATGTTTGATATATTTTTCAGGTGCTCCACTTTCCATGCAATCATACGGCGGAAATTTTATGGAGATTGCCCCATCTAGTGGACCAGCGCCAAACCAATATGGCCGTCAGGATCCATTGTTACAGGCCCAGGAAGATTTTTATAATTCCAACATGTCTACGGCGTTTTCTGCCTACAATTACAATAAACCTTATATGACGCCTTTTAGATAAATATTCTAAGACACTAAGTCCATTCCAACCAAGCAGGTGCTTTTGTGTTGTATTGGAACCACAAAGTTACTCTGCGGAAGTCTTCTTGAAGTTTGCAATGTATTTGAAAATTGATTTTCTTGGCTTAAGCTGACATTCATCATAAGCGACAAAATTTTGGAAAGGACCATGTAGAGCTTGATCGAATCGATGTTGCAACATATATAGTCAATTTACGAAAACAGTTTAAGAACTTTATTCTGAATACATCGATCCGTGCTATGTCCAGCGAGTTTGTTTGAATCATCTACGTAATAGAATGGTTGGGAAATACATCTGAGGGGGAAAACAGGAGATAAATCAGTAAAGGCAATTTTGTTAGTTTACAAAAGAGAGCCAAAATGTTCGTGGTTTTAAACATCTACTTTTTGTTCAATTATCATAATGTTTGAAACAGGGTTCCCAGCCCACCTGGATATCTGGGAGACCCTAAAAGGCATCCCCTTTTTCCAGACGGGGAAGTCATGGAAGAAGAAAAAAGTTCTTTAATGCGACAAAAGATCAGGAAATTTTCTTTGGCCATACTTTCTTGGCTTATGTTCATACCGAACAACTCATTTTCAAGCTTTGAGGTCTACAATAGATGCTTAATCAGCATGTTTAAAGCAAGAAGTCGGTCAGAATCCTGGAATTTTAACTTACATCAGGGAAATATCAGGAAACATTGGGGTATTTTGTTCCCATAAGAATTTGGAAACCCTGTGAAAACTCCCTTTGAACATGATTAATAGAGACAGAACAGTTCGACAACGAGCTAATGTTTATGCTATTGCGGTTGGGTAACATAAACGTAGTTTATAAACGATGCTAGTGGCCATCATAAGCAGAATACTTTCGTAGATTTTTCAAAATCTTTGGTAGCCAATTGAAGCATGTGATTCATCTTTAAACGCTAGTAAGCTTACACAAAAATAACTGGTGACGTAAACGCGATAATTGCAGTAGCTGTGTCTCACTGATTGTGCCCACAAGGTAATATACAAATGGAGATTGCACAATGGAACTTCTAGATTCTTCTCTCAAATTGCAGTTTCTCTTTTATCACTCACGTTCTTTTTAGAATCTGTTATCTTGTATAATCAAGTCAGATTACCAATTTTATGTTAAAAATGTATTTTTCGTTTTGAAATACATGTATATACATTTTTGTTACCACAAATTCGATTTTTTTTTACTCCTGTATTCGCATGTTCAAGATCACTTAAGTGTCAAAACATTTCCAAACATTATTTTCCCACAGGGTAAATTTATAAGAAAAATAAGGTTACATACGGGTGATGGAAAAAAAAAAAAAAATATATATATATATATATATATATATATATATATATATATATATTGTCTAAAACGTCGAATCTAGTTTTTTCAGACAACGAATCCCACGAGAGTGAATGTCACAACGAAACATCTCCAAAACAAGATGCTATCTAAATATGTTTTTTACGTAAATAAAAAATGAATGACAGTCCTGGTCGTACAAATACATCCAGATCGCGTAGAAAACCAATGTATTGCACCGGTTTGATTTCCTTCTATTTCTTATTCCACATTTTATTTTACCACACGATTAGACATGTATTCTGAACATTCAGCCTTAAAATACAACAGTCGATGGGTAAAGAGAGCCTCCTTATTCTTCAATATATTACAATATATTCATGGCAGATTTAAATTATTATTGGAACCGTTTCGTTTATTTATATGAATTTTTCTAGAAACAAAACACACGTTACAGAAACATTATCTGGTATTTTCAATGAATGATATTTATATTTTTCCTCTTGCAATTTAACATTTTGCACTTGTTAACAGTTAATTTCATCACGCAAAACAAGCGAATAACATTTCTGCCATTAAATAGAAATTAATTTTCCTTTGGGACTGTACAAACAATGTGGCAGCGTTGAGATTAGCCCTTATCTCTCTCATTTATAACCGTATCGCTCGCCTTGAGTATATAGACTCTGATGACGTCACCCATCAGGCCGGACAAGTTTTATGGTGCGCTTTTCCCTAACTTGTAACTTCTCACCGTTATCTACTGACCTCAAACACGCAGCGAGTACTATATCAGGTGTGAGAGCGACTCATTCAGCTACAGTGGGGCTTCAGGTGCATATCGCAGCAAGTCTACCGCTAAATTACGTCACAGAGGCACACTATCCTGTGCACAAGACTTTTCTTGGTTCCGTGGTACTTTGGAACAACTGTTTCAGGTGTTGCGAACTCAAATGGTACAATTCAGTGCGTGTGTCAACCAAGTAAGGGACTTCCTCGCCAGCCAAAAGAGAGGGCTCAACTTTTTGACAGCTCTTGTGTATCCGATTTCATCCAGGAGGTCATTGTTTACATAATTCCATCTGAACTTCACTTTCCATAAGAAATCTAAAATATAGCAACAGATTTCAAACTGTGATATTCGAACTTTGAATATTGCCCGTTAACGTTTGTGCACCTAATATTGGACGTAATGCAGAGTTGAGCGAGAATGCCTGCAAGTGAAACAGACTATTTAGAAGACCAGGCACTGCATAGACTACAGTCAGGATCTGTGAAGAAAAAAACACACCCAAAGAGTTCTGGTAATAAAACCTCTGTGGGCAATACCTGCAAGAACGCCATCGCGCAGGGCATGGGAATCAAAGCAGGTGAGCGACATACTGCGCTGTTTGATTTTTTATTGTAGATCTTAAGCGTTAAACTTTATATCCCGTAACAAAAAATATTGCCCCAATAGATATGATTTTTGATCAGACAAACTGGGATATCTTTGAACAACGACCACTCAGTGAACATGAACGTTCCGACTTCTGGGAAAGCACCCAGGTGGTCGCATAAAGCAATCCCATATAATCTCCCTAGTTAGACGTGTTCATGTTGCATTATGCAGTAGGTAAAGTCGTAATTACTACAGTCATTAAACACGCCAATCGGCTCACATAATTCCAAGCGTCATAGGTGTCACAGAACCATGCTGACAACTGCAGGCAGGAAAGAAAAAAAAAGTGAGCAGTCGTGTTACAAGTACATGCATTAACTGCACGTGTTTGGCCCGTATAATTGAAAACTGAGATCTAACTAGGATTTATTTCTTAAAATGGATATGCAATATACGTCCTGAATGTACCTTCTTTATACACTGTCAAGTTAATGCCGTGGTGCAACTACCCTAAAGGAATAAATGTTACTGCGAACCCTTTTATACAGGTATACTGTGCGTGTATGTACAAAGACCATCTGCAATCTTGTTTAAACATACATGTATATTATTATTCTATGGGGCACCAAAAAGACTCTATCAGTTTGCGGGTATCTAAAACTACCTCAATTTATTTGCTTGTCTACAATCAATACCATTGCTTTTAAAACATTCATCGTACCTACATGTACTGTATCGACCCTTCAAATGGCATTAATGGTCCATCGGTTCATATGCAGTTACTCACTTACCCATTATATTGCACAGAACGATATAAAACCACCTTTATAAGACTTTGTTTTCGTCTAACCATCACGTCCCCCTCCTTCACACGGGGAATGTTTGGACATGAGCGTGTAACAACACAGATAAACCTCTCTCACCCGACATGTACACAGGGACATTCACAGTAGCGAGTAGGCGCGATTATTGCCTATACTGGTTGTCCTGCTTTCGTTTTCTCTCAGTTCACCAAATATTCAGGGTCAAGTATGCTCTCTAATGAGAGGTTCTGCGTGAGTTTTTGCATATCCTTTTTTCAGTTTAGTAAAAACGACTGTCTTGAGAAAAGGTTAACTTTGTTAACAAGAATAAGTCATTGGGCACTACAGTTTAACCCCAAATTAAATTATACCTTCCTGAATAATGAACTAAAGATTTCTCTATTCTTCGTCCTTTCTTGTCCGAAATATTTTTGCTAGTGCTGTAGTATTCCAGTACAAACTGTGAGATTGTCTATGTGCAAACATTTTCCATTAAAGTCACTTACCTCCTATAAGGGGATCATCAAAAAGCCCTGAAAGCTTTTGATGTGACTAACAAGAGTGCCAAAAAGTACAGATAGTACGACGCGTGGCCTATGTAAAATATGTTTCATACAAATGTTAAGCAGAGATGCTTGATAACGAGATATCATGTTTTGTGGATATTTTCAGGATAACTACTATAGTTACCTTCTATAGATAGAAATAGAGCTGCAAGAGGTGCAAGTATATCCAACTCTGATAAACATAATTAGGCCTACCATTATTGGTGGATTTTTCAAAGCTGATTAACATGAATCTGTTAATGCTTAAAGTTTATTCTAGTAACTCCGCTTCTAGCTGCATGTTATTTTTTGTTTGTGTTTTTAAATACATTATGTTATAAAATATTCAACAAATACAGTATAAATGCATTAAGATCGTACTGAAGTGCAGTTGTTGTAGGAATTACGTCGTTACGGCCAGATCAAAGTCAAAGCCGCCGTCCAAGGGCACCAAAATGCCACAAAGCCTGCCGCTGGTCACCGGTATAACTAAACATACTAGATACCTGGGATTACTGATTCCTACCTTTCTCGTGTACATTTGTGTGTGCCCTTCCCCAGATAGTGAGCACTATTATTACGACAACTGTGTATTCGGCAATAATCATGATAAGATTCTCTTAATACATGTGTTAAAACCCGTGATAATGACCATGTAACTTAATCAGAGACATGAATGTCATCTGAAGCGTATTGGGGATTCGCCCGCGCGATTTCATTCTTCTGCGGCTTTTTCGCTTTGATGGTTCCCGCCAACTTGTATCCAGAAATGAAGTCTTTTGTGTAACTGTGGAGACAGTTTTGTGATTAAACGTCAGTCGGGAGAAGAAATCGTTTTCGGACAATTGACCACCAGGGACCGCAACGAGCCAATGTCTCAATTTCTCCCTTCCTGTATTCTGTTTACGAAAAGCGTTATCAGCCCCGGGTATCGAATTGGTTTGTGGTGTTTGCTGATCGGGTTCTTAATAATTCTGTTAGCTCTTTGCTCTGCAATGTCACCACCACAAACCCAACTGTGTTTTTATACGCTCCTTTCTTGGGATTGCCTTCCATGCCCAGAACTTCCTTCTTTTATTTAAAATAAGGCAAAGAAAATCATTGACGCACGCGAAGTGATGACACATACTGAAACGCATTCTTAATAGAGATCCGCCACTTACGTTTCGAGCACCTGATTTGCAGGTGGAAATTTAAAGTAATACAATGATTGGTTCCTGATTAAACCCTTTCCTACAATTGTATTGAAGATTGACGTTGTGTTGCAATCATGTACCAAGTTTCGGTATCATGAGTTCGTGTTTAGGTAACGTATTCCTCTTTTATCAGTATCATTCAAAGTAAGATTTTTATTCAAAACAAAATATTCATCAGGAACAAAAACAGGGTAAGACGCAAGTCAAAAGTGAAATAGAAACTCAATCTACGCTAAAAGTGACCATAACTTCAAATGGACAATGAATATGGCACGCATGAAGTTTTATTCTTTCATATTGCTTGACTCATACGTTTGTATTTTTCATATGACATAAACCAAGGATTGCCAGTGTGGTAAAACTTTTACAGCCCCTTCTCCTGTTATTGTAATATAAACAGCAAACAACATTAACTCACCCTCTCGCACCTTAACGTGTGCCCAGCCAATCTACTATCACGGCCATGTGTAAAAGAACGGCAATCAAGAAGCCGTTGTTTTTATTGTTGGCTATACAACCCCTTCTCATATCAAACAATAGCAATAACATTTCGTCGGTTTATCTTTGATGTGGAAGGCTGGCCTTACACCTTTGACATAGTGGTGAGAGGTGGAGGCGCATTATCACTGCACAACTTAAATTTACGAAAACCTTTAACACCTATTTAGCGTCCATGCTTTTTTTTTCAGTACTTCTTTTTTTCCCCGCATCGAATTGAACCTGCTTTTAAATCAACGCACAGTAGATGGGTTAAATCAGGTTTTAATATGCTTAAAACCCAGTTTTTATGAAGTCGAAGTCTAAACCAACATAATGAAATTTGTATTTATATTTGCAAATATAGCTCGACTGGCCCATTGCAAAAACGGCTCGTATAAGGTGTGTCATATTTTGCGAAGCGACTTTGTGACTTGGCAAAATACTTATAGAAACCTGTTTCCAAAATGTTGCTTCTCGTTGTGATTTTTATGTAATCTTGAAAGTTTCTACTACCGCGAATTAAGTTCCTATTTCCCCATACGAGGATATTCAAATAATTTTTCTTGTGAAAAATTACATCCTTTAAAAGCATTGGAAATTCATCGAATTTTTCTCTAATGGTTCTCAAATATGGTTCTTAGTATGAAATAGAAATTCATTCAGGTTTCTAACTTTGAGTTGAATAAGATTTATCCTTGAACTCGCATTTTCTGTAGATTTTGTGATGCAAAATTCATATCACCAGTTTAGTAATTTTACTTGAATTAATAAAATGTTCACCCAACATTTTATAATTCGCTTAACTGTTCTATTCACATAAACGATATTAAATACGTATCATTATACTGGAAAACTCTGTCTGCGTTCACATCTGTTAAAAGAAAAGAAAAAGAAAAAGTTACTCGACTTCCGCTATAGCAGCATTATAAAGAAACATGGACTACTTTTTGTTTTTTAATATGATTATTATCTTAATTACCCCTTTCTCCGGACACAAAATTATTTTTGAATTATCAAATTTAATTTCGGGCAAAGAAAACCGATGTCTTCTAGAGTCCCTGTCCTTCTTTGGGCATGCTAGAATGTTGAGGGGCATCAATGCATGTCTCTTCCTAATAACAACTGCCGCTCTTGTTAACCTTTTTCTTTGATTATTCTTTCTTTTTTCCTTTACAAAATATTTTTCAGAACCCAATGTAGGAGACGACATTGATATGTCAGGAGATGAGGGGTTTGATGAGGACGAAAGGTCGCCCGGAGGAGAGCAAGGCCACTGTGGAGATAGTTCTTGTGGAGACGCGCACAACGGACCAAAGAAGACGGTGGCGCAGATCATGCGGGATAAAAAGAGACAGACACAGCTAACACTACAATGGTAACTTAAAGAAATGGTTAATAAAAAAAATATTTGTATTTTTGTGCTTTTTCGTGTCTTTTCCCTCCATTCGTTCCAAATAGGAGCTGAGCTTACTTTATAGATCCCATTTTTATGACATGTCAGAACATATAACCGCTTACCCTTATTATTACATATATTGTGATTATTTGATAAGTTTTGGTTGTGAAACAATTGCTTGTATCTAATATTTAAGTATATCAAAAGAGGAGCAAGTTTTGACTGTAGTACATGAACATACATGTAAAGAACACGGTCAAGGGGTGGGGGTCTCAAAATGTTAATAGAGAACTCCTCGATATATATATGATATTTTTTGTTTTGGTTAAACATATGAGCAGCTAACTCTTAGTCATGAACCTGTCCCATAGATCTCAAAGTGAACTAACGAAATAAAAGAGGGGTTGGTTTAGCATATAATCACTACGAAGCGTGAAGGTGTTTTCTGTACTTATGAAAATGCGGTTAAAATCAGCTGTGTGCCTCTACCTAGTTTCTTTTTTTTAATTAAATTCTTATGATGTTAATTTTTAAATTGGTGCAATTCTATCCGTATCATGCACGTAGGCACAAAGATAAAACGCGTCACATACGTAGCGCTATATTTTTAAAAAATAATTTAGCAATAATCAGAAATAGAATTTGTAGGCCTACTCTTCTCAATCTATACATGTCATCGATATATTTATTAAATTACCTACTGAGATATCAAAAGTGAAAAATTTTAACCAGTAAAGTAAGTACCTTTATGCCAAAAAGCATGATACCTTTGTTTTAAAGAATTGTTATACATGTGTGGGTTTCTAAAAATCAAAAACGATTTAAATTGACACGATAACTTCAATGTACCTTCAAGGTAATATAACGTTCGGCACAAAAAATTAATTGTTGCCTATGCAAACACAAAACCAAAGAAAAGGCTGGATAAAATCTCCATGGACGTGGATTTTTAAAGCGTTTTTCAATGAGTCAAGATACATTTTTGTGGATCAACAAATATGTCAACATCTCAAATTGTTGTTTATTGGACCCCTACTTAAAGGGCACAGGTCTCGATAACAAAATAATATTTTCTAAATTTAGTAAAACGACAATAATGCCATCACGCGAAGAAATTTCCTACTCTGTGAAGAATTCACAAAACTTTGTCGCAAGTAAACAATTGCCTCATAAGACGGGGGGTTCTCTGTTTGTCGTCCCCTTATGGACTTTCATTAAGATACATCAAAGTATTTTGCCATGTGATAGCAGAGAGAAGTAAGAGGATTAAAGAAATATTTTGGCAAAGTTCTTAATACGAAGAGTCCAGTTGTAAAGTTTATGACTGTCATAAATTTCATAACGTGTCACACGAAATTACGAGCTTATCTTTCTCTCCGTTAATTACGCTGTGGAAAAGTTAAGAATTTGTCTGATAAAGTGATATGTTTTGGTTTGAAAATGTTGTTAATCTCTATGACCCGTGCCATAACATGAGGGCTCATTTGTTCTCCGTTAATCTAAAGCACTTGACCCTCCAAGAGCTGGGTGGGGAAGTAAAAGAGTGAGAGGGGAGGGGGAGGCCGGATAACCGCCGAAAGGCTTTCCCAGCTATTTTGATGTAGAACCAGAAAATAGAATAAAAATTAGAAGAAACTTAAATAACAATCAGAGCCATGGCATCGTTTTGTCAAACTCTGACAATTTTTATTAATTTGTCTATTTATTCTCTAACTCAAATTTTCAATGTACAAGGAACATTAGAGTGAGTAAATAAATTAATTTTTATAAAACGACCTTATCACTTTAGATATAACTACTGTATTTGCGAAAAGGACAAACGGTATCAGTATGTATATATATAAGGTATATTTTTTACAAATGGTAAATGTTTTGATAATTTGAGCAAGTTTGACAAAGTCAAAATAACGTTAAAAATTGATTTCCCTTTCTAATTATTTGTCGTTCAGGCTAGAAGAAAACTACTGTATATGTGAAGGGGTATGCCTCCCTCGCTGTATACTATACGCCCACTACCTGGACTTCTGCCGCAGTGAGTCTTTGGAGCCTGCATGTGCGGCGACATTTGGCAAGGTGAGCTGGCGGTATCTATTGCCTTCGCTAGAAACGTAGGACTAGCGCATTAACGTGATACTTTTATTCATTCGCAATGAAAATTTGCAAAAGTTTGAAATACTTTTTGAAATACTTACGTAACAATTACTATTGTTGTACGTATTGATGAAGAAGCGGTCCTTAAAACCGCAGTTTTGTCTAGATTCAGGCAGTAAAAAACGACAAAGTCTTTAACATAATGAATAGTGAAATCAAATAAAGTTTTTTTTTTGTCTTTTTTTTTTCAGACAATACGTCAAAAATTTCCACACTTGACGACCAGAAGACTTGGAACCAGGGGCCATTCAAAGTAAGTGAAATACATCAGAATCATACATTATTAGATTATCACTGGTAAAACAAAAAGCTTTTTGCTTTTTTTTCTAGAGAATATTTGACCCACATTTGTAAAGCAGTCGATGTCCTTAGACAAAGCTTATCATGCCATAGAATGAGGCTGATGTCCAAAGAGAGATCACCAGAATAGATAGATAACTGACTGGGGATTACGATAATGCTTAATTAATACGTTGTCGTTATCAGCTATATTTAACACCTTTGGTATCTCATCGATGCCGCAGTGTGCACTTACACAAAATGGAGTGTTCAAGTTACTACTCCCCATGCATTTTGGATTCTTTTGTGTTTTAGAAATTGCTTGGCAGGTGTTAAAACCGTTTAAGGTCATGCTTGTCCTTTTATCTGTAAATGTGATAAAGCTCTTAATTATTGTAGTTTACAAAATTACTCTGGGTGAACGCATTTGTTAATGGATAGAATATCCTAATTTTCATCGGACGTTTCTCGAAACTTATAAATACTATAAAAACTAAATACTGTCATTTTCTTTTCTTAAAAATAGTCCTTTTCTTTTCCAGAGCAATTTTGTTTCAAAAGATTCATTTGTAAAATACCTCTCTGTTTTAGATACCACTATTATGGCATTGGCATACGTGAAACAAGCCAGTACTACCATTCTGTTTACTCAGGCAAAGGTCTGACAAGGTATGTCGCATCTTTTGTACTGAACTTATAGATATAATTCCATTTGGGTACTGTATCTCGATGACTGCAATCACTTTGCCAATAAGATTTAAAACAGTTGCATTTGGCAGCGTTGTTTCTTGTGGACCCATAATGGAATAATTTCTTTGACATCAATTTTCAGTCCAGAAATCAAGAAAGTGCTTTGAGACTCAATAAAGTAGACATGAGGTTCAACTTTTAATGAGTTTTAAATTCACATGCCGCCTAACTATCGAACAGCTTATGAAGGTTATCCCCAAGGCTCATTAAAATGTTCATATATTAATATTTCATTGTTACAAATACCATTTAGTTTTGATAAAAAAGGAGTGAAAATGTCGACAATTATTTGCAGCTGTTCCACACGTCTAAATTTGGACCTTTAACATAAGTGAAACCTTTAGTCGCCAAATATTCTCAATTATCTTAACACATTGTTCGGCCTCCTCCCTGTCACTTAGCCAATACTCAATGATGTCTTAGTTTTACTTGTTTGTCTAGGCAAACAGGTGAGCAGAAAATGACTTTATTTAGTAATTTATCTTTTGGTTCTACAGTGGTTGTAGACGGGCTAATCCAGGAGATTAAAGCACCCACACTTCATGGACCTCCTCGTTGAATATATACCCTAAAGACGCCAGCCAGAGATGATTTGTTTAAAACCCTCCCCTGTCTCGAGATATTTACATCAGAAATATATATTGGATTTCAATTTAGTGTCAAATTGTCCGAATTGAGTCAGAAGATTTTATCCCGAAGAGATAATAAAATATTTTAAAAGTCCATAGCAATGGTTATCAAGGAAAAAGAGATACATAACTTTAACGTGTTTTTTTTCTTGTTCTTTTTTTAACAGTCATTTCTCAATCCTTGGGAGAGTACTTCACTCACATGATACTTACACTAGATTTTCAGTGCAAAATGCCATAGAAGATATACTTTGATTAATCCCATAAAGTCACCCACGTTCCTGGGCACAATTTATGATATGTCAGTACCTCTCTGGTTATTGCAATAACATTTAGTTGGCAGACATTGGCAGTTGAATAATTTATGAGGGTAAATAGATAGAGAGATGCAGAATAACACTTTTGACGGAGATAAGGCAAGAAATGCCCTCCTCTGCCTACACTCGAGTTGACACAAAGCAATCTGCAGATCACTCCACGGCCCACTGTTCTCGTGTCGCTCCCCATATAGAATACCTCGATTGCTCTTGTAAACCATCCACTTGTTGGCCGACTTGTCATTGCAGAGGCCCCCTTTTTGCATCACGCCAACAAGAGACTTTTCATAATCAGTTATATACAATGTTTTACGTAAATATCCCACATCCCGTCGCTAGCCGCTTTAAATAGATTGCACAACTTATACTTTCCAATATGATCTTTCTAGAGGGAAGATTGGTACAAGTAGCTAAGATTTATGGTTCGCGATATGCATCTGGGTATTTGCCATCCCCTTGTAAAGTTTGTTGGAACAGGGATTCACGTTCCATGTCATTTCTTCGCAAAGTCAATACCGATTTAGATAGGAATTTGGGTCCCATGATTTATGGTCTCAGCAAGGTTTAATATACACACTGCAAAGGAGGGTGAACAAAAACGAGCGTGCCACGAACCCTTCAGCTGTTTTGTTGATCTTGTCAGTTTACTTGTGCCCCACTTCATTCTCACGTTTTTTTTATAAGTGAGTTTTTCCAAATGAAGCCAATTTGTCACGACCACGGTCCTATAAGATCTCTGCTGTCTGACAGGTTTAGTGTAGATCCCCTCTTCGTGCTCTACCATGTTTGGTTTAAACTTCCTAGTTTCTTGCAATATCCAATTCTTAAGTCTAACATAATTTCAACATTAAACAAAGTTTTATTCAAATAGTTGCTTCATGTCAATCCCTGCCACCTTCAGTTTTTATTTATTCGTTTGTAAAGCTGTCGTTTGTGACAAAGGTGTAAACATTGTTGATTTAAATCAAATAGACATCTATGAAATCCTTTAAAATGGACCATTGAAGTTGGCCTAATTTTTCAAAATCTGAATGTAAATCATTCCGTTGTCCCAGGCGTAGTGTGTTTACGTTAAAGAAAAAACAAAAAAAAAGTCTTGTGATTGTCTTTTAAAGTTTATTTCACATATGTTTAAGTCCCTCGTGATTTCATCAACTAGATTCTTGTATCACACAATCAGCGGGATGACAATTACAAATATTTAACAGCATAAAACACTACCGGTGCTAATCAGGCCAACTATTTGCTTGTTTTTCAATTCCCATGGGTGTGTATGGTGATCGTTTGACCTCAGGTGTACACGTACCTATAGCGTAGATATATCTTCCTGATTACTACCCGGAGCAAGTGACAGAAATTGATTCCTTAAACTAATCATATCCAAACCAATCAACGCCCACTATCTGTCGCAAGCAGGGAAGACCACCCACAGGGCAAATTCAAAACAGGTGTGCCGTCTTCCTCAAATTGTATTTCCAAAACGTGTACAATAATGAAGAAAAAATATACCGTGTTATATATCTTCAACTCATTTATACTGTAGTATCAAAAATAGTCGGGTCACCTTATATTCAGCACTTTCACACATCCAAAAAGACTCTAAGACCCTGCTTCCCTGCACCGCCGTTATGTCGATCGATAGTTTTGAAACTGAACATGCAAAAACTTAGGAGTTGACAACCTCTATAAGCCGCCCGGATCACCGCTGCTTAGGAAGAAGTACTAAGCCTGTGGCGTATCCCGGGAAAGAAATCATGTCAATAGTTCTTTGATTACTTTAATTATGTTGCAATAAACTGTAAATTATTCTCATCTTTTATAGAAATAATAGTTCTTTTATTGAAAAAGAATGCTAGGATAACTGAGATTTGTCCTTTCTTTCAGGTTTTCAGGATGCAAACTGAAAAATGAGGTGAGTACCCAAATTAACTCACATTTTCAGTTCAGACATAAGCCGTAGTAAAGTAGATCAATTGGGCATCGTTTTGTCTTACAAAATATTACTAGCACTTCTAGAAAGTGCCAGTAAATATCCAGGTCATAGACGACTTGGAGAGAGGAAACATTGTGTAATGGTCGCCTGCTATCACGAAGTATTTCAGTTTTATCTTTTATAATTCTTGAACAAACCTAAAACGGCATTGAGGGATGACAAGAATCAAAAGTTTATCACGAAGGGCTTACAGAGGCAATAAAGCGCACTGCTTTGTAAAACCACAATTCAAATCTTTAATTTAGGGGTAGGAAATGTCATCAATTTTAGTTCATTAATTTCGCGAGTATTTACCATTTGTTCATTCCAAAACGTAATGAAAGTTTAGTTCGGTTCCTGCAACAACGGGCGTCCTGGTATGAAGGTATACAGCACAACTTTAATTTTACAGAATAAATGCAATTAATTTTGACTCATTAATAACAGACATGTACCAAATCTCATTGCAATCAAAAGGCAAAACATATATTTCCTTGGATTGAAAAGAATTTGTTAGCTGAAATAAATTAAACATTTGGTTTATTGACACACAATTTCATTTACAGTCGAAATTTGATCAGAATCAATTATCACCGACTTTTTAATCAAATTGATTGACTTGGGTGGGCAATGATCGTATCATTCCCTGTTTGTACATTAATGTCAGTTATAGATAATAGCGATAATTATTGATTAATGAGGACTACTTATATCGCCTTAATCTTGTTAAACACGGGACTGGAGTGCGGATTTATCATAACGGTAGCCAATATCTGCGGCTAGTATATAACAGATTGTCACCACCCAGGCATTTCCATCAAACTTTATTGACATTATACATAGTAAACCCCTGTCATTTTGAAATGTAGAACCACGTGGTTCTTCGACGTATTGTCACAACTAATACGAAATCATAACCGAAATTACGTGTTATTGTAATCAATTTAAGAAACGAACGAAGAATAAGTAAAGAATATACGTGTAAAAGGCAGATATGTCAACAATATGATAAAGCATCATATTATCATATGGCTGCATATGTTTAAAAGGCAACGCTGTTGCACTGTGGATTCCATCAAAACGAAAAAAGTCTAAATAGTTGTAATATTCACTTACATCAAACTTGAAAGGCGAGCATTTATACGTAATATCCACAACAGCTTAAATGGCTGCTTAATTAATGAAACATCGTTTGCAGCAGACGACAATTTGGTGTCCACCCAAGTTGACACATACAACATCTGTTTGGCATCCGCTGTGTTTACACAGACAAGGCCAATGCTTATGTAAACCCCCGGAACATGACACAGATAACCCTGCCATGGGCGTTCCTTGGTCACGTGGTATTGATGAGCAGACGACGTGATCGAAAAGAAATATGACAATGAAAACATGTGCCAATATTATTTTTAATGACTTCGAAGAATAATGATAAGGCTTTTGAAGTAAAGGAATAAAAACAAAAGCTGTAGAATGAAATATAAGCACTTTAAACATTGTAAAACTGATATTAAACGATTTAACAAAATATCCTTTAAATAAAGACGGAACATGATAACGGAAACAAAACCACCAAAAAATATTGAAAAAATTAATGATAGCCCTACTCGGCTCGATTGATCTTTAGAATGCTATGTAATTGAGCTGATGAAAGGACAATAATCGAAAGATGTTTCATATCGTTAAGCCTATGACAGGAACCAAATTATAAATATCTAACCAATCACTTGTTTGTTTCTGGATTTATCCCCAGATAATCAACTAGCAGACGATCGCGCTGAGAGCAAGTCATTCCATCGCTGTTTTGTCTCCCTAAGTGCACAAAGTGTTTTGCTGTCACTTAACAAGGGAACGAAAACTATTCGAGATTATTGTCTTAACTTAATGATGAGAATCCCCTTATAATCCGTGTTATGGGTATTGAAAATACACGGTTACTAGATAGCGAGATCGTTAAAAAGAGCAATAGTTTTAGTGACATGGATATGTAGATATTTAAAAAAATTAAGGATCGAAGTCTCCTAGTCATTTAAGATTAGAATTATAGTGCATTTTTTTTTTTTTTTTTTTTTTTTTTGTGAATTCCATTTTTTATTTTTTATCTTCTTTTTATCTTTTGATTATTATTTTAATGTTACACAATACTACATTGCATTCTGGCTCATTTGTGTTATTGGATTCAAACTTTATTAAGACCCAGTACGACAGTATTTAAAACGGCTGAAAATATATTGGTAATGTCAATTTGAATTAAGCGTTTATGTATGATAACGTAAAAGATAAATGATACCAACAGTATTTGATATATTTATATTTTACCAATATTCATACCAATGCGATTTTCCTTTCTTTGATATAGATGCATATTACTCTGTCTTCACTTTCAGGGAGGGTTCACCAGGAAGTATTCCCTCAGTTCTAAGACTGGAACATTGCTGCCAGATTTCCCAGACTCACGCTATTTAATATTGCCACTTTCTTTGCCCAGAGAAAAGGTAGGAGTGCCATGGAATTTTAAAGAATGAATACGAATGATAATATAGACGATGTTCCGAGATTAAAATTTAAGTCTTCATGTATATTTTTTTAACAAATAACCTCTCTCTCTTTTTCTGAAACTGTTGTTACTAAAATATTTTTAATAACTGGTAAAAAGTTCCATTTTACCTTATTGTTCGCCTTCTGAATTAAAATGAAATTCCCGTTATATCACTTACGGTTACGGGAACATGGCAGACCTCTCACTGACTAGAGCGAGTTTAATTCTGTATTAATTTTTATTGTAGAGATTGACTTTCCCTTGTGATTAACTTGAGTTAACTTTGCCAATAAACGAAACTTACTCACTACTCAAAATAAAATGCATTATTAATAGACATGCAAAATAGATTCAAAGCCTTTCTCTTAACCTGTCATATTTTCAGGATGGGGCAACCTAACATTACATATAGGTCATATAAGAACGTTTTTGTGAATGAATTAAGTCTCGATTAAAAAAATAAATATACTATATTTACAATTTCCAATTCAAAAATTACAACAATATTGGGCCTGTTTCGGTCGGAGCTGGTTGATGGTTGGTGTGTGTCACCGAAAGTCTAAATTTAAAATTCATCTCTAAATGTTAAAGTATTAAAAAAGTCAGATATCAGAAGTTTGTGGGACATATTCCAGGTAAAATACAAGGCATGCATTCAAATAGAAGAAGCTACTGAAAGAATCCCCTATTAATACTAGAATATATAGGCAATTCCAAAACGCTCATTGTGTTCGGCAATGCGTCTTTGGGCTTTATTTTTACATTGGTCAGCGCAGAGATGTTACAAAGGTTATTAAGATACAACAATGTTTATACCAGAAACAATACCATGTAATGGTATAAACCTAATTTTTATTTCATGATAGTGGTTAATTTTTGAGAAATTAAAAACCTAAAGTTATGTGCATTTGATCCGAAATAAATTTGTATTTGAAGGATGGGATTGTGGCGGACATTGTTGCAAGAAAAATAGTGATAAACTGCAAAAGAAGTATAGTAAAACTGAAATATTTTCATTTCTCTTGTTATATTTGACCATTTCTAAAAAGGGCATTTTATTATTCGAAAACATGTTGGTGGGTGGCAATTTAAACTTATTGTTGATTCGATCCGTGTTAGGAGAAAACGCCTATATGGCACAGGAAATTAACTGTAACTGATCATAAAATATAGATAGTGCTGTCTGAGCTGGCACATGGTTTTGTTTGTATAGGCTGCTGTAAGGGCTTCTGAGCTCCAATTAAAATAACTTTGATAACTGAAAAAGCTAATTATGTACTAACTTCCCTTTGGTTCTCAAACTAACTTACGTGGCTCGTCTGTAAATTATTGCAGACAATTTATGTCTTAATTTTTTTAGCCGCGTGTCTTTTACTTCGTCTGCGGGCAGGTTTATTGAATTTCTTTCATGTGTTATTGAAAAGCTGATAAGGCTCCCGTCATGGAGCTTGTTATTAATGACTTTTCGACTGCCGTTTATTCGTCAAATGAATTATAGAGAACGCTGCTTAACCCTATGTAAATATCAAGTGTTCGACTTGCCCAATACCCGATTCAAAACGCCAAGGTTTAAAACGTATGATTTTAAAATCAATCAAGGTATTTATTAAACCACAGGAGTGTAGCATTCTGCAGAAGGAACAGATTCAAACAATAATTTCTTCTAATGAGTACTTTCTGACCTTTTAATTGTAAAGATCTCCCAAATGAGTTTTCTGGACTTCATATTCCGATTCATTCAGGTGACACGAAATAATGAAAAGTTTATCTCGACATTGGTGATAAGAGGCCTTTACAAGCCCGTGGTATTTGAGAGTTTGATAAAATGAAAACTTTGTTTGCTGGTAGCCATGACTCTGGTGGACAATTTGCCAAAACTTGAGATAACTACCACATGCAAAAACAAAGTTAAGGGCACAGATAGCAAGCCATTTTTTACCTGTAAAAGGATAAAAAAATACCTGATAATCAGTTGTTCAAATTTGATATGATAGATTAAAAAAGTCAAAATACGGTCATCAACGTAACATTGAAATCAAACGTAATCTTTGGTTTGGTTACACGAAGTAACTACAAGGTGCCAGTATTTGCACCATAATACAGGCCGCATTGAACTTCATCGAAAGACTTGAATATGCTTTATTCCAATATCTACACTGAAGTTATTGATCTTTAAAATATGCACTCGAAATTAAAGATCAAGCACGGGTAGAAATGATGTTGACAACCCCATGGGAAAATTCTTTGGAACGAAAAGAGTGGGCAAAATTATGCAAAGGGTAAAGTTGACGTTAGGAAATATGGGAAAGGATGGGAAAGCATTTTGCGATGTGTTGGTAGGAATAAAACTTTAATATACTAAAATAAATGATAAAACTTAAGGGAAAGGGAAAGTCTAAACACGGTCAAAAATATTGTTAAATTATCTAATTGATGTATTCTGAATTGATATACTTATAAAATTTATCGGAAAATATATCCATCATCTTACTCGAATTTAGACTGCACATATAACGGGCATAGGCCTTATAGACTATTAAAGATATAACTGGAATAGGCCTATTGTAGCCTGCACCCAATGACCTGGTTATTCATGTAATTTTATTATTTTTTTTTTCGGAGTTTGCATGACAGATAGGAAAAATACTTGGTGTATGCTGGCTAACTATCCTATCCTTTCTTTAAGTTTAAATACGTCTACGTGCACCAAAGGAAATTATGAATGTAAAGATCAAGATTTCATTTCTAGGTGGAGACCTTTGTAATGATGTACAAGACCCACTGCCAGTGTATTCTGGACACAGCGATAAATGGGAATTTTGAAGAGGTATGTACTGAAACCGTTTATTTTAAACTTATCCAGAGTGTTGAAACAATATATTATAAAATATCTAATCAAGGGTTGCGACAAACGGTAATCGTGTTCAATCTTTTCAATTGCATTTTTGTAAATGCAAACAAAATCAAGTGTACAAACATGCCATAACGTCTGAATAAAATCCCACAATGTTATTTCTTTGCATACATGTACCGTGGTAATTATAAAAAAGGTGTTTTGAAATAAGTACTTTTTTCGTTTGCACTATAAAGATACCATGCTGCAAAGTCTTCACAATGAAAACATGAATTTTCTTATCCTTGAAAAAAATTTTCAATAATGGCACATTTCTGACAAAGGATTTAAATATTATTGAGTGTAACCGTTGCCATTGGCTACTTTTATATTTGTTTCAGATTCAGAACTTTTTGCTCCATTTTTGGCAAGGCCTTCCTGAACATTTGCTCCCTCTGGTGGAAAATCAGGTCGTTATTGACGTGATCTGCGTATGCGATGCAGTGCTGTACAAAGTAAGTTTTAACTTTAAAATGTTTAATCAATTGTACTTTTTAACTTCTTATATGAAACTTTATATGCACACGCAAAAAAGTGCAGGTGACTGAATACATAGAAATAATATGTGTTATATTCTAATAATATTTTATATGTATATAAATATATTAATACTTATTATTTCAGGTTCTAACTGATGTACTTATACCCGCTACGATGCAAGAGATGCCTGAAACGTGAGTAGAACGTATCACTCGTGATCATTATTATGATTAACCGTCGCATCTGTAAACTGTTTACAAATGGCAAACAATACTTCAGTTGGTTAAAATCTCTTCATGTAACAATCCTATGACCACATTTAACTTTTCCAGATTATTATGCGACATTCGTAATTTCGCCAAGCATTGGGAGAACTGGGTGAACACCGCTTTGGACAACCTGCCTGAAGTGCTTACGGACCACAAAATGCCAGTTGCAAGACGGTTTGCACAATGTTTGAAACGACAGACATCTTTTCTTCATTTGGCTCAGGTGAGTTTGGTAGTCTTGCTAATGTGTATTGAATTTCTGCTTAGTGATTGTAATTGTTAACATAATTTTTAACATTAATTTTGCTAACAGGTCAAAAATTCAAACTTATTATCAGTTATTACATCAGTATCAGCATAATATTAGTAATTTTCCTCACCCAGACTGCACGACCAGTCCTGTATGACGTCAACATGGTAAATCAGATGATTCAAGATGTCGAACGAATTGACATGAACAGCATTTCAACACACGCCTTTGCAGCAAGCAGCGACAATGAACAAGATACTGAACATAACGCAGAATGTGAGTTGCTTTGCAGAACTGAAATTTGTCCGATGTCATTCAATTTATTAAATAGTCTCAGTGGTTTATGATGATAATAAACATAATATCTTGTAGCCATAATATAATAAGAGGATAGCAACCATTCCTAAGCGTTCTTAAAACTTGTACAGCAGGATTAATGAAAAACTTGTTGTAATGCTTGTTCTAAAATCCAAAACTGATTTCAGTCCTCCGCGAATTCAAAGAATTACTTAGGAAACAAGCCACTGTTGAAGCGTTCACAGAGTGGCTGGACGTGGTTGTAGAACATAAGATTGTAAAGGTAGATATTTCTTTTTTATAACTTCATAACAACCCATACATGTGCTATTCCGATAATCATTGCTTACCGGACTTTTGAAGTTAATATGTTCATGTATGATTAGAATGTGTATGAAAATCATAAAAAAGTGCATTAAGATTTTAATCTTAAGACAGACAATTTTTTGTGAAATTATTTGGAAAGAGCAATATATATTTCCTGTTTATTATCTGTACACGCTTTATCCTTCCTTCAAACAGCCTAGCAAACAGAATGGTAGGTCATTCAAAAAGCGAGCTCAAGAATTTCTGCTCAAGTGGTCCTTTTTTGGAGCGCGAGTGATGCACAATCTCACACTGAACAATGCACAAAGTTTTGGTAAGTGAAGCCAAGATTTCTTCTTATTTGACCATTTTACTTAATTCAAAAATGCACAGATTTTGTAGTCGTGTTCAGCAGAATGCTATTTCACGGAAAATCATCTGTTTTTCGGTCGCCATTCCTATATGCTGCATTATTTGTGTAAAATATTTAAGAAATAAAATGAAATAAGGTATAGCTTTACTTTTTCCGACGCAGGATCTTTTCACCTCATACGAATGCTGCTGGACGAATATGTTCTCCTTGCGGTGGAATCTCAGTTACACAACGAAAAAGAACAAGAACTGCAACAGTTGATGGAAAAACACATAAAGACAGGTAATTACACGTGGCTTTACTAAGCGTGAATGAAGCAGTTATCATTGACATATTTAGACGCATAAATACATGTAATTGCGTGGGAATATTTAAAATGTTTTCCAATGTGCCTGAGTGATTAAGCATGAACATAACATAATTTTACAAAGCTAATGTTTTTATTTCCAGACGAAACTGGCAACCGGCCAAACCTTTCTGCTGCTCCCGGAACCTGCTTCGTAGCCAATCGGCAAACTTCGTCATCTCAGAGGTCAACAGGGAGTCCTACAGTTAAAAAAGAGGCATACCTCGATCCCCAGCTTGGTCCATCCTTCATGTATTCTGGGTATATGTCCAGCGATAGGGACCAGTTTGTCCTGCCTAATCATCTCACTCACCTGTCTGCAATGACGCAGGTAAACACCTTAGCTGCGACTTCATCCTATTTGGTCTAGCTGGTACATTGTACGCTTAAAAACTATTTGGTTAATTTCACCTTTAATACATGTATACCAATGTGGGATTTCCGTGTATTGTACAATCTTTTTGTACATGTGTATATTACTTATTACACTTACGAGTATGGTTTCTACTATAAAATTATTTTATTCTTTATAAACTAATACTTCTTTGTTCCTTGACTAAGTATACTAACTAATGTACTGACGTTTACTAGTACTAAAAGTTCTTTTCTTTATTTCCCATTTCTACTTCACTCTTACAGTTGCTAACATTATGATATTCATCATGTGATTCTCGTTTCCGAATCAGCGTGCCTACTAACACGGTCTATACTTGTGACACTTCTACTAACTTCCAGGCTGTGAACAGTAGCACAAGCCCCATGCTAACGCCCCCTATCTCTCCAATTGTCGTGAATCCAATGAGAAGTAGCGTCATCAACCAGAGCCATCTATCGTACAATTCCAGCAACCCAACATCTCTTGTACCTCCCCATACTGGGTATTCACCCTACATTGGTATGTAATTTACCAGAAAAAATACCAAATGTGTGTGTGTCTAAAATGTCTTGTAGTTAAGCTCACTGAACTTTTAATAATCCCCGTAAAGCAAAGTGGATGCGTTGGTGATTTTTTGTATTATAGAACCTAATGTGTTAACACTTAAGATAATTATTATTATTATTATTATTATTATTATTATTATTTATTTATTTATTATTGGTATAAAGGGTGAGAAATACGTTAAATCATGATCTTTTATATTTAAAATCATGGCAATAACTAGGAGTCGGCCATTTTCCACCAATTAATTTCAATTAACCATATTAAATCCAACAAAAACAAATTTATTAATCAAGCACATTTTCAGTAAAACGGTTCCATCACATACAAAGTCACTTTCATTTCCAGGTCAACATGGAGACCCGTATTCCCCAGCTGGCGCAAGCTATATGGCAAGCTACGGGTCCTCCCCCTACGGCAGTGCTTTCCGCACACACTCGTACAACCACTCTAACCCCTATGGCATGAAAAACGATATGGAACTTACTTACCCAACTTACGCAGACCAGCCGTACGGTTCGTACGATAGTTACGCCATGAGTTCATACGCTAGTCAGGCCTCGGTGAATTATGCAGCCATGCACCAGCCTCAAGCCGGCAGTGCCTTTAACGTTGTACAGAGCAATTCTGCATACTCTGGACCTGGGCACTATCAACATTCCGGTGAGCGTACTAGTGCTGCCGTTGTGATTTGGTTCCTTATCTTCCTAATATAATGTTTATTAGAGAGATATTTTAATTTTCTATGTAAATCATAGTGACCCTTGTCTTCTTTTTATGTAATATTGTTGTTTGTTGAGTTGGCCCCAATTAGAAAAAATACTAGATTTCATCAAAGATGCAATTTCTTTATCATTGCTTAATTTTAGTTAAGCGCTGTATGTTTTCCCTCTTTGTTCCATACATTGAGCATTTATGATTACCCGGAGAGATACGATAAAGGTCCAAATCACTGGTTTGGCTGAAAGTGCTTCCTTTCCACTATTTGCTCTTTGTTTCTTTGTTGCAGACTATTACTCTCCGTATCACCAGCCTGTCAAACCTCTTGTGGAGCACGTGCCAGTTATCCAACAGCGGGCAGGTGTCAGCACACACTATTCAAGTGAGAGCCACGACCCTCTGAACCTGCTGGACAAGCCGAACCACAGACAGAAAGAGCACCCACATCAGTTGTTCGGTACCTCAACTTCGGCAAGCTGCCACAGTCCGCGCCACCCAGGTAAGAATTCTCGTTCGTAAACCAGAACATCATTATTTCAGCCAGCGGAGTTTGTATGTCACATCTACTACAATTTGTCTTATCCGAAGACTTTCGTAATTGCACTCGTGACGCAGGTAAGTTCAATAAAGGCAGATAAACGGATTCATAAACGTGAGGAAAACAATTTACAAAAAAATGAATGAATATAAAAACATTAAGGAGAATGAAAGAGGCCACTCCTATTACACTGATTTTGGAAAAAAGGTCAGTGATACTGAAAATGAGATAATTGAGCTCGCGTCATGAATGTCAGTTCCCGAGCATTTTGATTTCCGTTTTCACATTTTATTCATAATTGAAAAAAGTACCAACTAAAACTTTTTTATTTCCAGTCGGTCATCAAGGGGAAACTCATCCGAGCGTTGCAGCAGACGACCTGATCAACATGGCAGTCAATGGCATGATGGTCCCTGCATCAGAGGCGGATATTACATCACATTATGGGGATCCTGGGCCCTTACCTTCCATTAACACCGTTTTTATGAGCTAAGAAAGGAGATTAAAGGATGCCTAAAATTTAATGAATTCGCATTTTTTAAAGACTGAAACTAGTTAACTCTGTATGAACAGAACAAGGGTTGGTGAGAGTATTTTCACCCACTTAATTTTTTTTATGGCATTTGGCTCTCTTTGTACATTTGTATTTATAAATGCGTGAGTAGCGAAGATATAGATCTGTAAAATGCTGTGTATTTAGGCTGTCCCCTTCAGGAAAGGTATGCATGCTCAGTAACGATAGCAGTGACCATAAACATTATTTATATACACGTATGTATGTTAACCAGTGTGTTATATGTACTAGTAGAAAAAAAAGCTGACATGTAAAGGAACCAATGCAAATAGCTGTACTGAATGTAGGCATCGTGTGGCAAGATGCACATATCTCATTTGGAACCATTCCGTCTGTCTGGGCATTTCTGTCTGACAATTTTCGCCTAGACTAAACCAACAAATTTTGTCTTGCAAGATTCCATGGAGGTCATCACAGATGACTCTTTACTTTGCAATAAAAAGAACGAACACTTTACAGGGCACCAATCGGTCGTGCAATGACTCTTAACCGTTGCAATGCTTCTTTTACCTTAATGTGTGAATTCGACGAATGCTTCTCTGGCATGATTAGCTGTATTACATGTCTTTAGCTTTTTAAACATAAATGACCAACGACAATTTACATGGCCAAGTAGAGTAATCGTACCGTCCAGTTTTGTGATTATTTTATGCGCTTTCAAACTATAAAATTAAGGGTTTATTACAATGTGAATTTATGTAAATGCGCATCGCATTTAATATATGTGAATAAAATTGTTACAACAGCTTTATATTCAGCTTAAAATTACAGTGTGTGAAAATGGTTTAAGGCGAAATACATTTACTTGAAGGTACTGCAGGATAAGTGCGGACAGCTGATCTATATCGGTTTCCTCACCATTTGAAAAACCATGGCCGTGTGCCCATATGCATGTAGAGTGTACATGGAGAATATGTACAGGATGTGTGAATTAAGGAATAATCTAAATGTCCGGGATTGATAAAATACTATAATTGTCCACAGCACTTATATTTCCCTCCCTCCTGCCCGAGACACTGTGGTCCATTGAGAGAGAACACAATGTGAATGCACAGCATACAATACTGTGAATGACACGAATCAAACTTTGTGAATAATTTATTTCCTTTTGAGCATGTCCCTACAACATAAAATTAAAACTCCATAAAATAATTGCACTTGTTTAACAAGCTACTTGACCATTTTACTATACAGATATTTACACCCTATACCGCATTTATAAAATGAAGTATCAACAAAATGATATATTACAAGATAACAATAAATCAGTTACTAAAACAAAACTGAGGTAACGAACCTCGCATGAGATATATACATCTCCTTGAAAGAAAGAACACGAATTTGGAATATTCAGTTAGATTGCTTGATGCACCTTATGTGCATTTCTGTGTTCGGACACTGACATAAAGTTATTTGGTTTGCAAAATCAACCTGGGTTCCTGGATTCCAGCTTGGTATCTGACGCAAGGCGTGGACAGCATCAGTGGGAATGGCGTGAAACTATCCATAAAATGTAAAACGCAATTATTTAAAATGAAAAATGAATCAGCTGCAGATTGCCTTTTACCACTCCATAATTTTTATCAAATAAATAATAAACCAAAAGTACTTATATATTTACTCACCAGGACATATCTTTGTATTACACTACATGATAATGATGTCTAATGTAACCGTAATGTATAGTACAAGCCATATATTGTCTTGGAAACACAAATATAGGTCCCAAATAAAGAACTAATACTTAACAGATGGAAGCTTTCTATGTTCTATGTTTCGGTGAATAAACTGGAATTTACAAAGATGAAAAAAGACCGTACCCATACACCAAAACTATTTTGAAAGTGTCAAAAAACCCTTTTGGTTAAAACCCACAAAAACGATACTCAAGTTCCAATTTTATACGTTTGCAATGCACTGTAAAAAAAAATCCACCCAAAATAGGTCAGCAGCAGTTCTTTTTCTTCGTCTCTCTTTTGGGGGAAACATGGAGCTGAAGTCCAACTGATTTGACCTCTATGTCTTCGTTTGTCTTCATCCACCTGAAACGACACACCGTGTGTCATTTAAACCTATGCATTTGGGTGTTTTATTTTATTATATTTATTCTAGGTGGCACATGTACCGGTGGTGGTACCGTGTTCTATTTCAGAAAATATTCTTTCGCGTAACGAAAAACAATGCCACGCTCGAGGACATGTACCAGGACGTGTATGAATTAAAATGAAATGGGCAGTTCCTTAAGAGTCAGCATTCTCATTTGTCAAATAGCCATTCATATGCGAGAGAAAGATTAAAGATTTTCCTGTAAGTATTTATGTAATCCAAACATACAAATCAACAAGGTACCTTGCAAGTTCCGTGACAGCTTCACAGATATTCGACCCCTCTTTGGCACTCGTCTCAATAAAAAGAGAGTTGTACTCCTGTAAACGAATTTAATCATGAGAAATCAAGAACCTTTGACCTATTCTAACCAATCCACTGACACAGGAATGGGTCATAGGCAATGTCTTCATAAGACTGTTCCAAATTACGCTTAAAAGTACTAATAAGCGTATGGGTAATGCTCATGCTACATTTACCAAACTTTCTGTGAACATTCGAAATATCGATAAGAGATAGTTAACAAACAGTTGAAAGCAATGTTCTTTAAATCGTACTGGCAAGCAATGTTCTTAAAATCGTACTGCTGTTTAACATCTTTTCCTTATAACTGAAGTCCGCACAAACTTACTCTAGCCAGTCTCTGGCCGTCCTCAGCAGTAACAACCTTTTTACCATCTGCCTTCGCTTCCTCTCGCGCGTCTGTTTTGTTTGCACACATCATTATCGGGATTTGTTTTTCAGCACCATCCTACATAAATAAATATATATATAACTGCAAAACAGGAAGAACAACCGCTGACTGCGGCAACAATGAAAGTAACAATCCAATTAACAGACCTACATGCGAACAATATTTTGTTAAAAATTATCTTCGATTGTAAGGACAAACTCAAGAACTTCACCTCTATGGCATCAATCCAATCCCTGATGTTGATGAAGGACCTTTCATACGTAACATCATAGAGCAACAGGACACCGTCAGCTCTTCTGAAGTAGGATTTGGCAATGCTGCGAAATCTGAAATATGAAATAAAAAGAAGTTCGATTATTAAAAAATTCAAAATATATGATAATTTACAAGAAATCCACAATATTGAAGTAAAATCCGTGGAAAATAAGAAAGCAAATAAATTCTCATTCAAATATTATGGGGCTTTCAACGTTTTATTTCTCATCTACATGTTTATACCTATAAACTCTCACTACATTACAAGTAGTAGTATATATATATTACATAAAAACTAACTTTTTTATATGCTGCTTGAAATGAGAAAAAAGGAATCCGCTCGAATGAGCAGATAATTTACTTCCTAAACAAGAATAATCAGAGAGATCTTCTCAAAACATATGCAGTAAAACGTGGGTGCACCTTTCCTGCCCGGCTGTATCCCATAACTGAAGTGCTACATTGTTGCCATCAACATCCAGTGCTTTTGTTTGGAAATCAACACCTGGAGAAAAACAAATGATATTCGTTACTTTATTCTATTCATTATAATTCTTCTATTTATTATTATAATTATTTCTCTTATTTATGAGTGTATGGAATTTTAAGTTAAAAACAGTCTCCCAAATAATTTTTCAGAAAAAGAATAAAGCCCATATGAAATTAAAGAACACTTTCAGGTCCCCAAAACTCCTTTGCTTTTAAATCTTCTAGGTTTGAATCAAGGGAGATCGGGAGTCAAATACCGCAATGGTTAAAATGACTTAATCTTTACACAAAAAAAGAAAAAAACAAGACCAGACATAAGTTTCGATTCACAAAAGAAACGTACCCAATGTGGAGTTTAGGTTGGCTACGAACTTTCCTTTGCACAGTCGCATAATGAAGCTAGATTTCCCGACGGCAGCGTCCCCTGCCAGTACCACTTTATACATCCTCTCTGGGTCCGAGGTTTTATTAACTGTGACCTGATAGACAATCCATAAATAATGTATTCCAAACAGAATAAGAAAATGATGTTATGTATCTTTTGAAGAAACGAAACTGAAATAGGCCTACTTCAGAACTACAATCTGGCCTCTTTGATAATGAACGTCTACTCATATACTGTAATTTTTTTTATTTCATGTTTAACATTTGTTTTATCGCCCAAATAGAAGTATCACATCGAATCCAACGACTAAATATTACATAAGCCTAAAATAAAAGTTTTAACAAATCTTGCTCACTTGAGATGGTATTGTAGGAAGCTGCCTACGAACACTCCCGTCTCTGCTCCCTCTGCTGAACGTTAAGCTTCTGACAGAGCTCCCACTTCCCGCTGAGCCAGGTCTTGACCGTGGTGAACGAGATCCCAATTCTATGTCTCGATCCCTCTTACGTACGAGCCTGCTCTGCCTCTGTCCAGAGTCACCATCGCGTATAGACATGGCCTCAATTTCTGTCTCCATCTCATCATGAGATTCGGGTGCCTGCAATTTCCAAGATGTCCCGAGTGTAATTTTAAAAAAATCATAATCATCTACATAGAAAGAAATCAATGTTCAGTGTTTGGACAGTAAAATACGACGTTTTATGCATATAAAGGTAAAATGCGTTTGCCTTTAATAGGTAGGCGACTTAATCCGATACTTACTTCAGTTTCAGAGTCGTGGTGCGACACTCGTTTACTACGACTGATTCTTCGCACCTTTGCTGGTGTGGTTAGCCGGTGATAGGGAGACTCGTCAGATTCCTGGTCATTGGCGTCCCTTAAAGTCGAATGACCACTGTCTGCAGAAAAAAATAAAATGTTTTTCTAATTGGTAACACAATATTTAGCTTTTATCAAATATATCGTTTATTTGATTTACGGGTATAAGTAAACTACTTGTTTGTTAAAACAAACTTACTTCATATACTAATCTCCAAGCGATTGATTACAGTTTACACGTTGCAAAATAATAAGTAAATTGAAGAAAAAGAAATAAAACAGAATCAAATAACGGCCACCAATCATACCGATATCATCCAGCATACTATCAACCTCGCAACTCTCTTGGGCTGGGAGGAAACGTTTTACGGGATCACAATGAACGAGACTTTCTGTCTGGCTTATCTCGTCTGCCAGGGATGAATTGGAACTGTGCGTACGTCTGAAACAATTATCGATACATGCTGTAGTAAAAATAGGAGGAAAAGAACTGTTGTGATCGGTGATGTTGAAGATTCGGCTGTTAACATTTCTCGTTATAGATATAAATTCAGAGTATTTAAAAAAACACTTCTTACCCGGGATAATCTGGTGGCGGGTTAGGAGAATCGGGCGAGCTGAGATTAGGAAATCGCCCAGGCTGAAAAAAGGGATAAAGAAAATAATAATAGTAAAGTGGTATTGAATTTCTAATATAAGCTTCAATCAGTCCAAGAAACCAGTTTAGCTGTTAGACAGTACACTGTATAAGTGCATTGCATTCTCATAGCAAAGATCTCTACGCTGGATCCAGATTGATGATAAAGAGTGACGTCTAAATGCCGAACACAAATTACATTTTACGGTTCGGCATGGGTATACAATGAGCCTAGTTTACACTTCTACGTGAATTACCTACTGTACATTGTGTATCGACATTACCGTTGCGGATGTTGAAATCTTCCGAAGGGCCATATGAGATTGTTCCAGTGCAGCTCTAAGATCGTCATTGGTATCATGTAGCTTTCTGTTTGCCTCGCTGGAATCATGACAGTGTAAAGGATAGTTACATAAATGAAGCACGAAATATCTGTGGTTGATTGTTGTGCTAGGAGAACAGTGGGTGTAGCATTTCATTTTCTCAAACATGGTTCGCGGAGCAGGTTTATCAAAATGACCAATAAAACAAAAAAATTCCCAAATATACATTCATCAGATGTGTGTGTGTTTTGTTTGTTTTGTGAAAAATTGATACGTGTAATAACTGTTTTGATATTTGTGATAATTTGATTTTTACTTACTGTAACTGTTGCAACTGACTTGTAAGATGTGCTTGCTCTTTAGCGTACTCCGCCATGGTGTCTTTCTCTCTGAAAAGGGGAAATATTACTTAGAAGGGGCTGGTGGAGAGGAAATTGCCTACTGAAAGCGCTGTACTTCATTCTTTAGCTAAATCTGACTTAAATTGCTTCTACTGTAAAACAACTTCACACCACAAATGATGTAAATTAGCACCTGCATACTTACAATTGCAACGCTTCCAGTTTCTCAGCATGGTCCTGTCTCAGGCCTGCCAATTCACTTCGAACCAGGGCCAAGTTCGTCTGGGCATCATTCACAGTTGCTCGTAGTTCCCGGTTTTCTTCGGACAATTCTTCAAGCTGACGTTTTAGTTTGCTAACTTGGCCATCTTGATTGTTTTCTTTTCGAGGCTTTTCTTGTAACTGAAACACCATAATTATCATTTTTAACATCCACTTATATGTATGTGTGATCAAGCATTGAGATTTAAACATTTGATATTCTGTATTAGATATCCACAATTTTAGTTATGTACCGAACTTTTCGTTACTACGAATAAGATTAAACGCCATATAAGTATAAAAAATAAAAAGCGTTTTCAATGAAAAACTGCAAAGGGGTTTTGCAAGGCAAGGGTGAGAAGGGGAAACACGTTGAATCTTTATCAAGTGTAAAACCCGGGAGAATAACTTACATGATGATGGAGAAAAAAATTTGGAATCAAACTTCGAATAAAATCTCCTAAATCTGCACATAATAATTTCGTGAAGTCCTCATGAAGATATCATTAAATCATTCTTACATACATGTACTTATAAGTAACTTCTTACCCCTTGCAATTTAACTAGATTTGTTTGCAGGTTTCGAATTTCATCTTCATACTTCTGCTGCATTGTTTCCACCTCTCCTTTATTTCTCTCCCTCTCCTATGATAGAGGAAAAATGATGCAAAATTCCGTCGCAACAACAATACCAATATAATTATAGCAAAACTGACTGTTCAAAGGGATCGTAAAGCGGGAATAAAGCATCCATGTTAACATATATATATCAAGACTCTTTGAAGCGAAGAGTTTGATATGGGGCAGCAATGTATAAAGGGGGCTATAGCTGCGGCGAATAAATTTTCTCAACTCTTTTGCCATGATATTAATAATTTATTATAATTATAATTATTAACATAAATTATAAATTATAATTAGAAATTAATATAAAATAATATATTATATCATTCTATTCAAAATCACAAATCAAAGGAAAAAAGCGTGAATTGGATGAGAATTAATTATAGGAAACAGAATACCTCAGCACGGACCCTCTGTTCAATTTTCTGAACCTGGCCCTCCAGCTCATCCTCTAATAGCTGTATCTGTGCCGCGTGGTGTTCTTTTTCTCTGAAAAGAAACCGACTCCTTTGTTGACATCTATTTGACATCTTAGGTGTATCTATTTACCTTGTTTACAACTAAAGAGGAAAGTATATAACGTGTGAATGCAATATTGTGCAAATATGATATATCGGGTTAGATTCTTGGAATTATTTCCGATGTTTCTTTTATGATTTCATTGTTTAGTTATAATGTTATAATTGAACAAAGGAAACCGCAGCCGACAGCACCGCAAAAATTGACCCAGGAGGTAATAAAGATCTTTCAAAGTAAATAGTAGCCTGCGGTTGTAGAAGTGGTGAAGATGTTTGATTTGGAAGTGAACTTTGATAAAGGGAAATTCTTCGTAGACTTCTTACGTGGTTCCTGTTTAGCATCATATCGACATCAATTATAGTTAATGCTTCAATCGGTGTTTATAAATCATAAACAAAAAGAAATATTTCAGGGTTTTGCGGTGTATATCAACTTATCCTGTTATTTCAAGTCCAACTGCATAACTAAACTATTAAGCGCCTAAGCGTTGTTTCATAATTAACAGACTTATTTATCCTAAGGCAGTGTACTACGTTTCAATTTACGTCATTCCCTATAGGAACGAAAGTGGGGAAAATAAACGGAAAACTCTCAATGATAAGTGCGGAGATCTGGCTCAATTAAAACAACATTCCTAGATGGATATTTGTTCTGGTCAAAACTGGACCGGATGCGGCTTTAATGAGGTGCTGTTTGGGTCGATCTAGGACGGACATCACACCTTGACCATCTCACCCTGACCGCGCACTTGTAAGGTCTCGATAATGCCCGAACACGCGTGCTCGAAGCAACAATCAAGTTTGGTATTCATGTTGGCCAGTCACTTTCCTTTGATATTACTATCATGTTCTGCTTTTTCAGACTGAGACCAAATTCCCAAATCACAGGTTATTGCTCATTCCCAAAATGTTACTACATTCTCTTTTCTATTCTTACCAAAGAAAAAAAAACGACCGACAGATAGGCCTACATGTTAGCGCTGTCTATAAAAAAACAGACTACCGGTACATGAATAATGGTATCAGTACTAGGAAGCATCAAATGCCCAATTTTGCAGTGAAACTTCTGTTCAACAGTATCCCTCCACTGTCATTAACAACGAGGCCCTCGAGGTTACACGTACTAGTAATGTTTCACCTGCAAATCAATGCCACTGTCTAGTGTGTTCACTCATATTCCACATGTAAACATACACGTACAAAACATAATCGATGTAACGTAGCTTGAGCTAATTTCAAATGGTACGTGTCAACTGTAAAATAAATAACTACTGATTGTCAGTCTTGATCCAGTGAAGAAAAGATAAGCAGTTTTCGTAAAATAATTAACGTTATGAGATAATTGCATGTGTGATGCCCAAAGCAAATAAGTCACTTTCCCTTTCAAATCAAAATGGGGTCTTCCGTACAAACCGTGGGAAATCGCGATGTTTCTTCGATATGGGACTGTTTTATATTCATACTTGTAAAACCGTATCTTTTAAATGCACCAAATGGTTTTCCATTATAATTGTTAAATGAAAAACTAATAACAAAATTCCAAGCAATAACAGAATAATAGGTAACAATATATAGAACATATTGTTCGTCTAAATTAAGGATAATAATCGACTCAAAGTTATTTCTGACACATTGACCGAAATAAATCGTCAAAGGGTCGTCTTTTATTTGTTTTTTTTTTCATGGACTAGCTGTGTACTTGCAAGTGTACAATGACAGTACTGTCAATTGGGACTGCAACTGAACAGCAGCAAAATTAAGATAAGAAAAGCAACTGCGAAAATAACTGTGTCATAATAACTGTGTCAGAACCGTAAGTGAACGTTAAATGAGACAAATTTTCGCAGGGAAAAACATCAATGAGCAATTCAATTCAATGTTTGCAAGTTGTAAAATGTGCCAGGTACAAAATGTAACAGTGCCTATACAGTAGTTTGCAACATTTTCCTTTACTCGAAGTCTGCTTACCTTCTGTAAGATGATTCAAGGCTTTGGTTTTCAAGTTGCTGCTGCCGGACATCTTTAATCACGCTGAGGATGATGGTCTCAAACTGGGTCAAGAGGTGGGGTACGTCTGAGGCGTGCAATTGCTGGTATAACTCACAAACGTTTTCTTGACTGAAATTCAAAGAACGGTCTTCATAACATACATTCGACAATGATGCTTGAATGTCAATTTAATAGCCATAAAATTAAGAATTACGAGAGGGGCAACTTTTTGGACTTTTTTATGTTTGACTTAAGACCCTTCAAACAGTTTGATGGGTCTTAGGTTTGACTGTATTTTATCAACTGTCATAGTATTTTTTTAGAGAACAAATCAAGTAGGGCCCTGTGCGCCAAATGCTAGTGCATGAAGTTAAAGAGTTTCATTTTTACCGTATCTTTGTTTCGAGTTATGGAAATATGTGAAAACTATAATAACTGACTTAGTGAAAATGTGCAAACCATGCCACAAATGTGTTTGTTAAAGTTGTAAATTACGTCATGAAATATTTATTATAAGGATTGTCAATGGATTGCAGCACCATTTATAAAACTTTGCCGAAAAAAAACGATTTTTATATTTGCATAAGAACGTCTTAAACTAAAAGTGGGGTACTGTTATGTATTCTCTGACCACAGGGTGCGCTACTCGTCTGTTACAAAAATGTTGAAAGCGCCCCACGGAGGGATTTTGTACCATGCAATCAGAAGGTAACTGTAATGTGCGTCTTCTGAGACCTAAGAAATACCTGTAAGCTAGTTATTGAGTTTCGACCATGAGTTCAAATCAATTTATAACATGATCAAGAAAAACTAATAATCGTCTCTTCGTCAAATTTAATTCAATTTACCTAAAAACTGGTAAATGTGATAAATCTTCCCCGTGTCGCTTGCGAAATTCTTCCGGTAGTAAGGGTTCTACTGGTACGCCATTATAGAGTGGCTTATCAAATTGTACAACGTCAGAGCAGTCACTATATTCGTAACACGTTTCATTATAACCCTCATCACTAGCCCTATATTGGTTTTCTTTTGTTTCCTCGACATCGCATTCTTGTTCTTTGTCAATTTCGTCTTCTTCAGTATCGTCATATTCCCATTCATTGCTGTTGCTTCCATGGTGTAGCCGGACGTTATCAAGAAACGAGGAATGGTGTTTGAAACCTTGTTCAAAGTCACTGAAGTTCACCCTCCCGTCCCCATCCCTGTCTAGTTGGTGAAAGAATTGTTCAAAGTCTCCAACATAAAGGCTGAGCTCATCACATAATTCACGAAGGTGATCCTTCTCCAAGTAGCCATTTCTATTGACATCGCAAGTAGCAAATAGATTCTGGATGCGTTCAAATTCCATCATTCATAGTTCCCAGTCGTTGCCATCATCTGGATCACAAACTGTGTCAGAAATGGGAAAATAAATATTGTCTCTTGCCAGAGGTTATCTTTTTGTTTTGAACGTTGAAAAAAGCAGTGCAAAGTATAATTCCTACGTTTTAGATGATATTGAACATGAGTTGAGTTGCACGGTCCAGCTCTTGGTCATTTCTCGCCTGCTTCAACAGCTTATGTATGCTTAAATACCAGGTTATGTCATTATGTATAGATTTCGCACAGAAAAATTCTTAACTTTGACCCTAGTAAAGTCAACACGCGTAAGCAAAAGACGGAATCGACACGAAGCATTATTCAAACAACATAATTCGTCAGTAATGGTCGGGATTTCCTCTATTGACCCACGCTTGTTTTATCTGCAGGTGCCACTTGTGTTCAGCCTTGTGCTTGTTAGAAAACACATGCACATCTCTCCTTTTTTGCTTATTTTAAGAGTTGAATATAATAAACTGTTTCCTTAAATTCTCTCAGTGAAGAGGAGTGGCCATTGCAGGAGTGCGAGGACTTAATAAAGAAACATTCAAAACAAAGATTGCAACTACAGAGTCCACGTATTCAAAAACGAATGAAATAAAAATATGTTTAGGAAACTCTACACCAAAATGTCATATGCACCCATAGACATAAGTGCTGCGTCTCACAAGAGCAAGACAGAATCAATGAAAGCACCCTGGCAACGCAGACGACATCAATTTTTACTTCCGAACGCGGGAAATAGAAGAAGTAAAGAGAGAAGATTTGGTCATTTGTTCGTTCATCAAAATACAATACAAACTATAGCAAGTATATTTACTTTTTTTAAGTCCTTCAAAATTTATATTTTCTGAAATATGATATGAAGTACCTGCTTTGAGAGAGGCAATTTTTGTCAACGTTTACTTATAAGATAAAAAGTATATTTTGAGCGTTGGAAGTTGTTTATCATCCCCTCGCAACTTTCTTTTTAAAAAGCATTTAAAAGTACCATTTTCGGTTATTATTTGATTTGAATACAAGAGTAGTTTCTGCTATTTTCTTTTTATCACACACAGATTTGTAACATTTTTTATCAAATAGGACTTGACAATGTTCCAAAACACTTGTTCTTTTTACATAAAATGTAAGTATTGCTTTGTCAATAGATGTATGTCTACTTGAGGCAGAGACACCATTATTTTATTTGAAATGTTTATACATTTACAACTTTAGAACTGACCAAGGAGTTATAACTGTTATAACTCCTTGAACTGCCTAACAAGAGATGACTCGCCTGTGGTAGTAGGATTGCATTTGTACTTGATTCTTGGTTTTATCTAATTATAATACGCTCATATCACGACTTAAGTGACCGGGTAATCGTGACGCACTTTTATTGAATGCAATTGTTCCTACCCTCTTTCTCTAAAATCTCCTTTCATCTCAGACTTGAGGGCTTTGACAGTTTTTTGGTCGCAACAGTTAATTCTAAGCATACATAAGTAGTATTAATTGATGCTTTTTATCATTTAGTCACTTCTCCCGCAATATCGATTAAAGGCATTGTTATAATTCTTTCATTCCTATCTCTCTATCAAAATGCGGGAAACTGGTTATAGCCACCGGAGATTCAAAAGTGCTAAATCAATGCATGGACTCTCGCCCCAAACCTATTAAATAACCTTTATTAACGAACAGATTGCCCGGGCATTTAAATGTTACAGAGAAAGAGACAGAGAGAGAAGAGAGAGAGAGAGAGAGAGAGAGATGCATCATCCAGCCATAATAAAATCAATGAATTAATGCAAAAAAGAAGAGTTTGTGACTAAGAGTATTGCAAATACCAGAACTTAATATCAAACTGCAAAAACAAAACCCTCTTATATCAACTTCCTCAATTTAAATGTAAGTGTTGGATAGATTCATACGTTTTATAACTGCAATACACGGCTGCAGTGCTTTAAACCACCGTTTCCAAGGCTGTTGACACGTCATAACTACTTAAACCGTCGATTGTTTAACTACGTACTTGAGACAAATTGCTGCCAAACAATTATTTCTCTATCGAGTTGCGACAAAAGCGAGCAGAAAGGTGATGGTATTCCAGAAAGGTCTAACTGAATTAATTTTGTTGAATGAATTTGTTATGGACCAAAGAGACGGCGTGTCACAAAACAAATGCATATCAAACCATGCCAAACTAACATCTTTTTGAAACGAATACATGTTGTCCTATTAGGAGTGTAGATGACATCAGGTCAACCTAACGTGTTGTCATTGCAAAGACCAAATTTGATGAATGGTAATAAAATGACCAAAAAGATTTATTTTCAACATATGATCACAGGAATTCTGTGTTTGGCATTGTAATATCTATAAACTATACCATAAATTTAGGTGGAGCCTAATACTTTACAACTAGGACGCCACGTGGACGGAGAGACCCTGTGATGCGTGAGTGTATAAAAAAATACCGATTAAATACGAAAACGCATTATTAAAGTTCTCCTCACTTATCTTGTACGTATCGATTTTGCACACCTGTCGCATTCTGACCTTGCGCACAACATGTACAGAAGTATTGGTCTTGTGCTACATGTTAATTATACATTTTACCTATGTTTTTACAAATGCTTTTTTATCATTTGAAAGTTTATCTGAAATACTGCGGAATTTTGTTTTTGTTATAATTAGTAGTATTTTTTACTGTATATTATACCAAACAAAATTTTCAAAAATTATAGCTATGTACTTAAAAAAGGGACAATTCATTCCTACAGATCAAACAAGTTTAAATTTGTTCAAATATAGTGATTTGGGGGTCATTAAGGAAATGAAACGTGTGCTTTTCATCTTTCATCTACCACTGTTCGATTTTCCAATGGATAAACTTTCATTAAATTATACATATATATAATATAAATCTATCAATTATAGCTTTCAAGTTTCAATTATCTTTTTTTTTTTTCTGTTTCTGTGTGAATTACACGTGCTTTTCATCTTTCATCTACCGCTGTTCAATTTTCCAGTGGATAAACTTTCATTATACATGTATGCTAAAAATAAATCTATCCAATAACTTTCAAGTTTCAATTTTCACTTTTTCTTTTTCTTTTCTATGCTGGTGGATTTAAGTAATCTGTCCTACCACCATAAGCTGTGCCACTCGATGTCAAAATGTGAGACCCATATAACATAAAAAACGATGTTTTTTATAATGAACATATTTTCTGGCGTTTTTCAGAAAGCTAACATACATACATACATATAAAGGCATATCTAAACAGATTTTTAATTATTCAAAACGGAAACATGAACACAAGTCCAAATTTTCTTAAATAAAACAAAACGTGCAGGTACTGGGTACATAAAGTAAGCACTTGATGGCACTTACTGAAATATAGCAAGTTCAGTGTTGAAAGTCTATATTCATTTTCACATTCTGAACAAATGAAAAAAATAGACCTAGTTCAGTAATCTTTGAGACAACAAAATGCATTGCCTTCCTATCATATAATATAAATACAGAAAATGTAACATGTAGTCACAAATCAACTACAGAGGGGTGACAAAAGTATAGCACCATCTGTGTGAATAGTGCTCCATATGACATGGGGAACCCGTTCAGAAAAAAAAAACGATTCGCGGTTTATTGCTGGCGTAACCAGTAGTGAATTTTCATGTGCACTATAAAGGTAAAAATATATACACTGAAGGTTTAACGCTGTTTTAGCTGTCAAGTCAAGATGCAGTTGCTACCATGGTGATGGAAAATGACGAAGGAAAAGAAATTGTTTCTCTGAGACTGGAGGGTATAGATGTCCCCCAGATAGCTGTCAAGACTCACGGAATTTGAACCGTGCCGCGAATTAGCTTTGCAGTGGTCTCTCAATTTGCTGGTTGAGATAAGCAAAATAACTGTTTCAAAGAAGGCTTCATGCTCCAGATAATTACACCGGAGTTCCCAGGTGGAAACCACTTATCGCCTTGGTAAACAGACGAAGAAGAGTGACACGGGCTGCAAAAACCATTGCATCGACCGTAGGTAAGAACTGGTGCCATTTTGTATTTTCTTATGAGTCCATCTTCACCGTAAAAAAACGTGGGTGGACAGGTGAGAGTATGAAGAACATAGTACGTTTCTTATATGCCAGAAAATATATGCATTTTCTCACTAGTCAACTTGGAAATCAAGTGGCAAAGGAACACCCTTTTACCAGAAATGCTTTAATCCAAAGTATCTTAAGGGTCTGGTCCAACATAGCCCCCAAAAGATACCTGAACCTTTAGCAGTCTATTCCCAGAGGGGTGGTGGCTATACTGAAATCACGTGGCTATTCTACAAAAGGTTAACACTACCATAATAACATGTGTATCGTAAGGGCAAAGCAATGGTCTGTAAATCTGTAGTTAAGATTCTAATGGACATACTTTTCAATAAAATACCAATTGAAAGACCTAAGAAATCCAGCTGTTGTTCATCTTGAAGCAAAATGGTGCAATATTTTTGTCTCCCCACTGTCAGATGATTTCAACGTAGGGAGCACTTTTCAATAAATAAAACATTTCAGCATAGAAGAGGGAGGGAGACGTAGGTACTTGTTATCTCCCTAATGTGTGGTGACTCGTGGTGAGGTACGATTCTGACGAGGATAGGTGTTCATAATATGTTATTAATACCTGTATTCGCTTCCTAAATTGAAATATTAAATGGCGATAAGTAAAAAAGCGTTTGCACAGACGCTATACATGTACTACCAGATATCAGTACAGACAAGAATGGCGTTTTATTGGGATAGGTTTCACAATATTTAGAGCTTCTATGTATCATCTTTATGGCCGAATTTTTAAGTGTGCCTTGTCCACAATGAATGAGCAGTAGTCCATTCAAAGAGAAAGCTCTTTCAGAAATGGCTTAAATTTCAGACAGACAGATGCTTTAATTCCATTGATTACTACTGATATACCTTTAGTCAAAATATCAGTACACTGAGATTGAGACGTCAAAGGTATGACAAACATTTGTGAAACGTACTGGTAAACCACTAACTTGTAAGTTATATTTCCGGATATATGAAAATACGCCAATTCTTTCAGGTATTCTGTCTATATTAAACGACGTCGACATTCATGAGTGACTCAGCATGCCATTGGCTCTCAGTAATGTTGATATCTCAGAAATGTTGATTCAAAATTATCTTTAAAAATTTTCCAGTACTCTTGAAAAACTATATAAACATATTTTTTGTGCATATTCATACAGGGGTAGTTGGAAATATCCAGAAGGTTAACAGTGTCGGATTGCAATACAGACCTTTAGGGTATGTAGGCCTACGTTATAAGTAGCCTACAGAATTCTATCTGAAGAAATATATATTTTCTATTTTCTTTGCTTTCATCATTATAATTCCCCGCTCCATACATGGATTGTGTTTAAACATACGGACAATCCAGTTAGCCACCAGAATCTGAGTTTTTCTTTGAAAATCACCATGTAGAGGGAGGTACATGTACAGTAGGCCTACATGCGAGTCCCAAAGAAAGAAAAAAAAGACGGCTTCAGTTTTGAAAATGTCCATTAAGATTGAAACCTTAAATCAGCCAGTACTATCTTCTTCAACCACTTTCAAATTCCATTACTGTAGTCGTAACAATCTCATTATCGTGAGTGTATCTTGTAAAGAAGCACGAAATGGAAATGTTTAGCAGTTTTCCCGAACAGCGACGGTATGAGGTGCCCGGATAGGGTCACGTGACAACGTAAGGCGTGTGAACTCTATGGAAAAAGACTGTTTGATTAATGACTGGGATTAGGTGATTGCAACCAAAAGGAGATTAACCAACTCCCCTACCATGGTATTTTTCCTGCAAAGTCATCCTCTAATGTCATAACTTTGCGAAATCTCGATCCAGAATGTTATTTGTAATCACATTTTGTTGACACAGAAAAGATAACGAAATCGAATCGGTAAGACAAAAAGTCGTATTAAGCGATAAACATCGTCTCGATAACGCCATTCAAAGTTCGCTCATCGACTTACACCGCTGTCTATTTTATCTGTCTTGGTAACTTTTTGGAAATTTAAAGACGTAAATTCGAAATGTTATAGAATGGTACATGTACCCGCTGTTATAGCACTTTCAAAGAAACTGATATGTTAGTGAATAATATTTTTTCTCATTATATATTGATTTTGACGTGACCCACACCGAAAAAAGTTTCATGTTTGAACTCACAAGAGCTAGTGTCGAAATAAGGTAAATTATTTTCCCAGGATTTTCTCATTCTCTTTACTGCCTCCACTTGTAAGCTGTTTTTAAAATACATTTTTATGCAACATTATGAAGCTAAAAGAAAAATAAAACGGGTTTTCTTCAAATGCGCACAACTAAGACAATTTTAAGTTCCATAAAAAACATTTTACATGAGAAAATACCAGACCGATCTCCAAACCTATACTATTGGTTACAATTGAGACAACTACTCCTTAAGGATGCAAACAATCCCACAAGACGCCAACTGGTCCAACGGGGTAATGGCCCTTGACAGCACAACAGGTCTCTTTGCGACAACTTATAAAAATTCATCATTAACCCGTTTCTTGCGCTAGAAAAAGTTTTTGGTATTTGACCTTTGTTCTTATGTACGTTGTCTTGTGACCGAAAAAAGATTCATCTGATGAAAAAGATTTGACAAGGGTGGTGGAGAAAGGCATTTAAGCTTCATCTTTTAGTCTATCATTCAGCATTTTATACCAATACAAAGTACTTAAATTGATATTAGATGATAAAATAAAAAGTTAAAGCGCTGATCAGATCTAGAAGCCATACTCTGAAGTGGAGATATTGTACAAAAAGGGAAGTTATGAACCCCTATTAACACAAGCTCCGCGTCTGCTGGGCCTTTTACGGCGTTATCATTCATCATAAATGCGAAAAGTAACACACACAACCTAGCATACTCCTCTCCTGAAATATGGCCCGTAGCCGGGTGGGTGGGTGGGGGGGTTCGAAAGAACCCACCCCTTTGCTGGGAAAAGGTTCCCTCTGGGTAAAATTTTATCAAGGCACATTAGGTTTCATGGTAAAAGGTTCACTTTTTCAAAAAAAAAAAAAAAAAAAAAAAGAACCCCCGTTTTGAAATTGCTGGCTACGGCCTGAAATATATGTTGGCGAAGGACAAAAAAGTAAAAACTTACCAAGAGAGCGCCTCGAGCCCTTCGTCCAGTCTCTTGGCAAAATCATCTCCAGTTCCACCTTGACTTAAAATGGAGTTCCCCCTCTTCAAGCTCTTCTTCCTCGATTTATCTATCAATATGCTTTTAAATCCTTCCGTAAACTCTGCCACACTGATTCGGCCGTCCCCATCCTTGTCCAACTCTTTAAAGACATCTCCAAGTTCGTCTGTGGTAAGTTCTGTGCATAATCTGGCCAACTCCGACTGGTCTATATACCCAGAACCATCTAGATCACACGCCTCAAAAAGCTGTCCAATTTGACTAGAATTATCCAGTACTTCAACGTCACCCATCAAGACTTAGTTTTCCCTTTTATGAATATAAAATGTGACTGCTGCATAAATCAAGCGTGTGTGAATAAATTCATTTCCTAAGGAAGTGTGCCCTAAAGTGGCACGGTTCCGTTGACACCATGACGTGTAAATCCTAGAATTCCGACGTAAGCTTGCTTCTCCAAGGCGGTATAGAATACCATGCGCTCGGTAGTTAATGGTTACACTTGATCTTGAGGAGTAACCCGCCAAAGCAGCCTAGATACAATCTCATAAAAGCTGCAATAAAATAATACAAGGTGTCAGTTGAACAAACGTCACGAATGTATATAATTAACAATAAAGACATTTCTAAAATGACAACAAGCACGCGCATGTACATACTAAAACACTTTGTATTCTGCACCTGTAATCACGGCCTACTGATGTATGATATTTGATATGTGTTGTTGTTTCTTTTTCTAGTTTCTTATGTTCAATATTATTATCGTCAGAGGAAATCATGAAGGAATATAATATTGAGCTTTTTTATGTTTATCAATAAATAAAAAAATACACAAAAATCGAGTAATTACTTACAATCACCGAGAGTTTTTATTTTGCAATTTATATTTTCAGTCTTGTGTTGCTGTCCATCAATGAAACAGCATGAAAGGACGTTGAATTATGGAATTTTTAAACCAAGTTATAAATTATTTTAAAAAATTCAAATTTCAGTTAATTTTATTCCTGATAAAATCAAGGTTGGCACTTTTATAAACCTAAGCTCACCAATATGCATCCCAGGACTACAGGATAGAAACTCTAAGGAGAATCATTGTAAAATATTAGGCTGTAAAGAGACGGCGCTCATCTAAAGCATTAAAGGCGTTTCGAAGTCAGGAATAGAAGCCGTGACTGCATATAAGAGTGGGAATCTGGGGTGTGGATATGTATAAATGTACCTACCGCTTCAATGGTGTACTTGTCTACAATGAAAGCTTCTATATTCTAGAAATGTATTATTACCTGTGTTTACAAATGGGGCCAGGCTTTTAACGCTCACTAGATCTTATTTTAACATCAAGATCTATCTCACATCATCGGTACAATGGTGCACTAAATAATGGGTTTTGGTCCATCTAGTTATCACTAATTTTTGTTCGCGGTTTAAATGTGACAATCTGACCATTGTTTCAACACTGTTGTCACAAGCTAAGACAGCTAATGAGAATGCACTTGACGATATATTTATACACTTAACATGGCATGATTTAAGCATGACAAAAAATAAAGCACTGATCACGAGTTCCCGAAGTCGGACATTACAGCAGGACTAAACACAAATTTTACAGTACATTCACTCACAGGCACATGTGTCCAAACTGGATTACCAAACATACCTTACGGTAAAACAAACGGATTTTCGAGTCCTGGATTTTGAATTTTTACCTTTGATAAAGCATTATTTTAAAATGCTGATAGGGAAATGGATACTAATTGGTATATAGTACAGATTGGCGAAGTGCGGGAACCCACCAAATATTAATTTAGCAAAGATTTTGCCAAACTAACGAAAAAATTAGATAAATAATAAATCTCACGTACCATTATACAAATGCTGCAAATAAAAAAGGTATCCACATGTCATACTTTTTCAAATATGATGATGATGTTGTATTGAGGTTGACTGTACAACTGTACGACTCTATAATCTGCACCTTTCAGCTCAGATCCTGTTAGCAGAGCACAGCATATGTGGGCAAATACCCCTTAGTAATGACCCAAAACACTTACACGAACAACTTAAAATGAGACAAGATCAATATTTACATCTTTTATGGTCTTTGGTATAAAACACACCTCCGCATTTTCACACGTAAGCAAATAAAATTTTGGATAAAATCGTGATCTGAACCGCGTCTTATTATGCTGAATTCAAGATTAGTCCGTGGGTTAACGAAGAGACACATGAATGCACGTGTCGTGACATGCACATGTATCCCCTCTGTCACTTTAACAAAAGGAGATGCCTCAACTGTGTAAGCGATTGGATTTATCAGCGTCGTTTTGTATCTTTCCATCAATAAATAAAGGCCTATATTAACATTTTCTTTATGTATTTCAGCAATTTTCTCTTAAATATATTGTAACTTTCCTATATTGTAACCGTCCGGCGTTACTAAGAAGGGTCTATAGTCAATTTTGATATTTGTGTGGCTTGTCTGTACAGGAGGGGCAAGCCGAACATTAAGGTTTGTAACGATGATCAGTTAGGCTCCATCTTTCCTCCACACCTTCACGCATGGAAACACTAATTTACGTTTTTTCTCCTTTTCTCCCTCCCCCCTCTCTCTCTCTCTCTCTCTCTCTCTCTCTCTCTCTCTCACACACACACACACACACACACATTCAGAGAACTGTGATCCACCCTTACTATTAATATTCCTTGTGTGTATGTGGGCAAATACCCCTTAGTACATACAGGCACATCACATGATCCGCGTCAAGCGGCATTTTCTAGTTAAAATGAGATATGCATGTGCTCGAATAAGTTAGTAGGATGCTTTAAAAGAGAAAAATAGACTGCACCGTCTGTATATACTAATGTAATCCAACAGTGAGATGTGTCCTGGCATATATACACACAAGGCCTGCAGTATTTAATTCAAATGTTAAGTTATCAAATCATCTGAGATCAGTCTGACTTATTGAATATTTAGTGTTTTACTGGAGCTGCTTTTTCATATTTGCATTGCGAAGGATGATGCGGGTAGGCGAATGAAGCTATTAGTTCTTTCTCATTTCCATTATAGTTTCGAGTATGGATCCTAGGTCTCTCAAACTAGGAATAATACCATATGATTCAGAACCATCCCCCTTCATAAAAGACAAACTGGCCTACCTGATACAAGGGACATCTACCATACTTAAGTTGCTCATCCTCACCTTTGTATATAACTCAAATCTCGGAGACACCACTTAACATGACATAATTATTTGTTGTTGAAAAGTAGCGTCAAACACACTGCGTATACCTTTGATTAATCCGGAACACAGACAGGTGGGTTCATGAAAATTCATAAGACAGGTGATGTAAATGATTAGGAAGAGCGATTTAAACACTCACCTATGCCTGTTCCGATAAAGCCCAGTCACTGCAGCTTGGTGTTTTCCCAGAGAGCAATCCACCTGTGTGACTCACGTGAACCAAAATATGAAAACCGTCTACCTGCGTCCAGCTGTTGCAAGTGTCACAGTGATCGGCACTGGAAAATAGAGTCGCCTGGTTTGACAATATGCGGGTTATATGATGTACACAATTCATATAATATCTTCATATCTATCTCTCGGTCGACTACATTCGACTATACATCAGATAAGTGATTAAGCCCCGCTGTATCCCTTCATTTTACCTCATCTCTATTTATTGTTGACGAAAATAAACGCGGTTTATCATCAAAGACAAGTGTATCAAAGATATACGTGGCTTGTTAATTTTTAATAATTGACAAAGAAGCTAACTCAAACGCGGCAAGGACACATTCTTGTCCCTGCAACAGTGGCGTTAAGACAGATGTCGATATGTTATGCACTTCATAACATAAGAACAGGCGCATTCCCTTCAAATCTTTTTATAAAGAAATTAGTCCACTATTTTATACCTGCATATCATTACACGTACATAATCATACATATTACACAGCAATGCAGATTAACATCAGTCCGTATTTTAGATACCAGGTCACGATTTGAGGGGAATTTTCTACCAGCCGAAATTAAGCCAGAAAGAGAACATCTACACCGGTACAGTCGAAGCATCGACGTCCAAACTTAATTTACACGGTGTCCCAAAACTTCCATATCAGGTAATGAAAATAAAAATAATCCATCAAATTAAATCTCGGAACAGCTATAAGGGTGTATGTTTCATGTAATTTCATTGCGTCCTGGAGAAATATAACTAATGTGCTTTTTCAAGCAATATCTCAAGTCAACTTAAGAAAATGGGCGTTTGAAATAAAATTCGCTGGAATATCATATTGATAAATTGTTTGTGTCCGTAAAAAGAAGTCAAAACAGCCGTCAAAATAATCGTTTGACGTTAAGGCTTGTTGGCCGAATAAAGATTAATCTGATACGGATATCCAGTACAGGAAAGGAGAGGGCTATCTCCATTATCAAAAATAAATAAATAAATAAATAAATAAAAATAATAATAATAAAATAAAATAAAATAATAATAATAATAATAATAATAATAATAATAATAATAATAATAATAATAATAAAATTATTCCGGACATAAAATTAAACAAAACTTAAATATTAAGGCTACAGCATATTTATTAAAGGCTCCGCCTTTACCAGCCCTCGGAGAGTCCTGTATTACGTTTACTATACCCTAACACAACCGAGAGTGACCGTTAATTGTTGGGGGAACACATTTTACAGTGGTAATCCTTCTCTGACGCGCCAATATCACCATCATCTACAACAGTAATAATAGTAATTCAAACGTCACCACAGTTACAGCTGTTGGTGGAGACCAATATTATGCCACTGACGATCTATGACTATTATTTTTACCGTGCAGTGAGCTGCCTCCTCTCACACCTTAACGCTGTCACCGGTGTTCAGATGGCCGTTTCTGTCCATCTTTCAAACGTTGTACTTAGAAGAAGACAGGTGACGGGCAAAAGTAACAAGTGTCACATCTCACCTGACCTGGGTTATACTGACAGGTGTATAAATTGTACTAGACTCATAGCATGCACTAGACTTATAAATCTACAACTGTTTCTCTAACAGACGTGTGAGTTCACGATATGCTATATTGTTCCCAGGCACTCACAGCTAAACCTTAGCCACCACCTGTGAAATTCAGTTTTCTACAGTTTCGGCCCCCATGGAGTCACAATGACCACAGGTAACAATACAGGGCATACTAGATTACACCTCTAGCAAGGATGATAACTTGCAAGTGGTGAGAAATCAGTTTTTATCCAGTTGATCGAAACAGATCTCGTAGACCTGATAAGGGATATACGCATCGCCACTGATAAACCTGGACATCACAGATATGGGTACCAACTGAAAGTCGTGCCCTTGGATACCCCTATAACCATCAGATCAGTTAGGCCAGTTAAGCTCACATTCACGGAACTAGTATTTATCTGCTGCGTATACGCTCTATTTCGCATTTCTTTTCTCTACAACCATTGGTCTATTATATTTAGTTTATAACTTTTGTAAAAACCGTACTTGTACTAACAAAGATTATAATATCCTGTATATGTATTTAACGACATTTCTACATGTAGCTCACGCATCAGGCGTGTGTGCCTTTTGAACAACAGGCGCAATAACATTATACTTTCTTTTGGTGCCGTTTCTTTTGGACGATTAAGACAAATGTCATCCCTTGTTCTTCGAAAAGCAAATAACACTTACTGTTTTCAAAATCAAATTCCCGGTTAACTGTTGGTTTGACAGCAACCCATCATTCCAGAAACAAGCTGTGTTGGTATTATATAGTCCTCTTGATGCAAATGTCTCGTGGGACTAACACGTAAAAAGACTATACCCTGTGACTCACACACTGTTGTACAGTATGACAGCACAGCTCTGGTTTGCTGTCGTAAAATCTGCTGACTGGCCTTCTCTCTGTCTGTGCCACCTCGCCTGGAACGGTATCCGTGACTATTGCATTAGGCTGAGTATACAGTAATTCACACGTCAACTTTCCCTCCCTTCAAGCCCGATAACGTTACTAAGTCGTGAAGCTGTGCAAACGCACTGTAGTGGCTTTATCACCCAGAGGTCGACAATTAATCTCTTAGCTGGAAAAACTTGCATTTATAGTGCATACATTCAACTTTGTTCATCGATAGCAAGTTGCGATAAAAGTCAGATCCAAAATAAACCGTGACACACGCGGGGGTTGATAAGTTGGCTAAAAATAAAGTGTTAAAACTCCCATCACATGTAAAAACACCCGTCTTTAATGGGGGCGTTGGTTCACAATACCTATTTTGAAAATTATACCTTTCTAAATTACAATGATTGTTGCTATGCAATATGTCAAAAAGCCCATTACAACGGAGGAAAAGTTTCACTATGCAATGTACCGCAAAGAAACTGCAATAATTGTGGCTGCTGTTTAGCTAATACATCAGTCTGAATAAACTTTTCATGCAGTTTTACTGCTATTTTGGCTTGAATAAAAATAGGAAACAAAGTCACATCAAACAACACTTACACTGCACAATGAGAACTTAATTGCATTCACAATATTTGTAAAACAAGAGTTGTTGGCAAGAGTTGAGCTTTTCAAATAAAAAAATTAGAAATGCACTTTGCAGGCCTGAAATGAAACAGGTACGGGGTGCATAGGACGATGGTTGTGTTACATATTCCCTTTCTCTTTTCTCAGAGGCATATTACTCAAAAGTTAGATATAGGCCTACTTGTAGGCCTACTTATAAATCTCCTCGCATATTATTTTATTTCGGGAAATTAACTCGGCTTCAGTGATCTTAAAAAACATTATTCTCTAGGCATTTCTTTTTTTTTTTGAAAGTCTGTAGACTGATAATCGGTTTGTACTATATAGATAATCACGCCAGGAAAATTATGTGATATGTAGGTCTATTTTATGCCACAAGTCCCCCATATTGTCTATATAGGCCTATAATATACATAATCGATAATTTGTATACGCATATGAGTGTATTAAGCAAATTCAGACCTACCGGTGGTATAAAAGAAAATAATTTATTATTCACAGAAAATGTCATTAGGAACAAATTTATCATCGTAAGGATTCATTTGTAGATCCGCACATTCAATGCGCGTTTCCTGCGATAAGCCTTCCTATAATGAAAAGGCGTAAACAAGTTTTTTTGTTTGTTTTTATTTCTTTTTTCTCTTTGATTATCGAAATTAATTTGTCTCAACATTTATTTACAGCACCACATAAACTTTACATGTCACGTTTCAGTACCAACGCTTGGTTTCAAGATATTATTATATAGAAAGGGTAGGCTTAAAAAGGTATTTTATTTTTTTCATTTTTCGATGAAATGCAATGTCAAATCTATATGTTTGTAGATAGGAACAGCTTTTTCACATGTGTTTTAATATTGAATTCAGAGTGCATTTTTTCTTTCTTACTTTCTTTCTTTCTTTTCAGAGAGTCGGGTTGGGGTGGGCTGTATTCATCTTTAAGAAAAAAGGTTAAACAAGCAACAAATTGACCATGTCAAGACAAACCTACAGCTGGTGCGTGTAGTACACGTAAAAATCCTTTTACTTGCTGAGACTGCTTTACTTTCCCCACCTTTAATGATTATGCGTTTTCACACCATCTAAACCTCAGCTAGAATAAGACGACTCCCGTTTACGCCATAACATTTTTACATAATCATCAAAACTAGCAAATTATTCTTTAGTCGCTTCTGCAGATTATAATTTAGCAATCTGCGTGCCCACTCCCATTTGCTGCTATCAACTTTGCCGCTAGGTGTCCCTTCAAACGTATAAAATCTTATGAGTTTTGCCTAGTCATTGTTTTATAGGTATTTTCTAAATAACAGCATCAACCATTTCAAATAAATTTTTTATGTAGAGCAGCGCTGAAAGCCGTGGGCTAGGTGGATTGAAGAATGGCTTTTCTTGCAAATGATCCCCTCTATCTTGTTTTGATGAAAAATAATTGCATGTGCGGTTGGGAGTTTGGTTCGGCCTTGTTGCGTGTCGAACAGATATGAAGTACTCTCATAAATAGATTAGATTTTCGTAACAATGACGGTGCTTACAAAGCTGATGCCGCCTTTGAGTCTGCTTGTATTTAGTTCTTTTCTTATGTGCAGATTTACACTCTGCGAAGAGAAGGCACCAAAAATAGGTAGGCCTACGAGTACGACTTGTTCAGACTAGTCGAGGGCGTAGCGAAGAGTTTATCAGGGGTCATTTTGATATTCACAATTGGCTCATAGTTTCTTTAAAAGTAGTTATACAGTCAAAGAGAATGTGATGTGAAGTACAGACGTTCATTATGATCACTGCGTCAGTAACTGTACGTACATGACGAGTCCAGGAATTGCTGCTAGGCCCTGGGGATCAATCTGAACGAGTCGAGTTCCTAGTCGTTACATCCCCGCCCCCCTTTACCCTTGCAGCCTGTACACTGTCACTGTACTTTGTAACTCTAGTGTTAACACTGGCAGATATCTGAGTGGAGGTAGACCTAATTAGGTTTGGAGATTGGACACAATAATGTAATTTTGTCCATATTTGGAGTTTCTCAGAGATAGGCCCCTCTCCCCTCCCAGGCCTCAGCAGTCCGGAACTTACTGGGGTATTTCACACAACTAGCAACATGCTGTTAAGAGTGTAATAATTTGGCACTTTTATAGTATCCCCTATCAATCATATAACGCTGTGATTTCTTTTCTAAACCAGTTTGTGTGGCGAATTTGAACAATGTCTATGCTAGTAAAATAAATTACTTTGGCAATTAATTTACTAATTTTAAGATGTTTTTTACATGAAATTTTATGCCTTCTAAATATCACCACATAAGTTAGTTTTGATTAGCATTAAAAATAGCAGGGCTGTAGCCTCCGGGGGGGGGGGGGGGGGGCAGCTGCCCCCCCTGGGATTTCGAATTTTCCACACTGGTAGGGGGACACCCCCTCCTCCCTCGAGGGCTTCCCCCCCCTCGTGTCCGCTTACTGCCCCCCCTGGGATTTTGCTCAGGCTACGGCCCTGAAAATAGAGAGTAACAGGGTGGGGGCAATACTGCAAAAGTACCAATAATCCCTCGCCCCCACTCCTGTCTGCTCTGTCAATTACCTGTTAGGGCTGCCAGGTTGAGGATTAAACTGTGTACACTAATGACAATTTACTAAATCAAACCCCATTGAAGTAGATGTACTAATAGGCCTGTTAGAAAAATGCATGATCTTCTAGACAAAATCTCTTAGTATATTTTATCATAGTCCCAGTGTCACTCTTTTTCTCCACTCTATAGCAATTATTGGTGGTGGTATTGGAGGGGCCTCAGCAGCTCACTACTGCAGAGAACTATTTGGTAAGGATACCACTATAGATTTATATGAGGCAGAACAAGTGGGTGGTAGGTTAAGGACCATCACCATTGATGGGAAGAAGTATGATTCTGGAGGAACCATTCTGCATCCCAGAAATTTTTATATGAAGAATTTCACCAAGATGCTGGGTATGTTATTTTATTATAAAAATGGAAATTTACATTAATTTATTTGGAGGATCACTTTGTCATTGTGTGTGTCCAGTTAAATTTGTGTATTATACTGCTCACATTTACCCAAACCTTGAATAATCTCACTTCTATTAGGTGCATACCAATAGCAGGCCTGCCCAACTACCAGACTCTGCACCGAATGATCCTGAATTCACTGGTAGATCGGACCACAGTACCCTTTTTCAAGAATCATACGCAACACCCCTCTTGCCTAGTACGCGATGTGATAGTGATGATTCACAGCGGGGTTGGAAAGTATTGCATCTCAAAATTTGTTCTGTGGTATGATACTGAGAAATGCGTACTGATGCACATTTTGAAAACGGGTAGTGTGGTCCGATCTACCAGTGAATTCGGGTTCATTTGGTGCCAATCTGGCAGTTGGGTAGGCCTGAAAAGGGTGTAAGGAAGTGTATATGTATATGCTAGTATAGGCAGAAGAAAGTTGCTGTCAGTGCTGTGAAACTCGGTGACTTCACTGAATAACATATGCTTCATTGTGTGTGATATATACTGCAATTTTGACACGTTTTATATTATATTCTTGTTACATTTATATACATAATGTTAATATGCATGGTTCTATATGTTATTTTTGTGAATATTATTGTGTGTGGTTTTACATATTTAAGTATGTGCACACTTTGCATTTTTTGTAGAATTGGACACTGTGGATCACAAGGGAGGTGTCCTTGGAATCTATGATGGAAAGGAGTTTGTCTTCACAGGAAGCAAGTACAGCTTGGTGATGCTCTCTAAGTTACTATGGCGATATGGTTATGATGTTATTCGGTTGAATTTTTTTATTCAGGATTTACTGTCCAAGTTCAGTAGGTAATTAGTTTTATTATTATCACTATAATTTTGTCTTCATTGTGATTATTAAATATTTAAGAGTTTAAGTTTTCACTGATATTGAAAGGCAAAGACACATCAAAATATATTTACAAGTATGACCTACAGAGCCTGTAAAAAGCAGAATTTTCAAATCACAATGATAATAGAAAAGTACGAGCTATGACTATGTTTATGCACATGTATGTATATTGACCAAGTGTTTAGTCTCGTGTAAAATCTAAAAAGAATGTTCAAATGTTAAATCATGGAATTAATTTTTGGTACCTTTGTCATAGAATTTATGATCTGCAAGATCAAGGCATGGCCTTCACCTCCACCAGTGGTTTGCTTAAAGCCATGTCACCAAAGTTTGAAGAGATGACCCACATATCCACCAAAGCAGCTCTTTCAGAAGCTGGCTTCTCTGAGAAATTCATTAAAGAACTCGTAGGAGGAGCTCTCATGTCTAATTATGGACAGACAACTAATGTTCAAGGTTTTGTAGGTATGTTCAGCGTAAGTTAAATTATGGTAATTTGTCCAAGACTAGTAATTTTATATTAACATATCATGAATTTGAAATTGAATACCTTTGTCCTAATTATTTTGCAAGACAGCTTTTTCGTAAGATAATGAAAATTTACAAATTTTGATAGTCTCAGTTTTCAGTGGAAGTGGGATTGAAATTCATGTCAGTTTGGCATTGGTTTCAGTTATATCAATTTCCCTTTTGAAGGTTCGGTCAGCATTGCAGGGGCTGAGCCAGGACTATGGTCAGTAGAAGGCGGTAATAATAGAGTACCTGAGGGGTTAATTAAGGAGGCAAAGGTCAACCTTAATATGGCAGTAGTGACAGATATCACACTGACAGGAAAACAGTACGAGGTATATATGTGTATGGGATTCTGTGGAATGATCCCATGTGCTAGTTGAGACAGTAATGATTAATGTTGCGTTAGGTGATAGGGTTAATCACCATTTTTGAGATCAAATTGTGGAGCTTGTCTTTCAGAAGCATGAATTTTCAGGAAATGTTAATGATAATAAATCTCAATAGAAAATGAGGAAAAATATCATAGTTTTTGCCATTGGTTGGTGAAAGATATGCTTAATTAAAGTAATATGCATATATGTGACCTTGGTATATTCAAAGACAATTTGGTAATTTATTTATGTTTACATTATTTATGTAAATATTTATGTTACATTAACTAGGTCCAATATCTGAACAAAGATTCTTCAAGTCCAGTGAAGAAAGCTTATGACATAGTCATCATAGCCACTCCTTTTCACCAAGATTCAAAGAAGGTGAACTTCCATGGTTTTCCCGAGACACCAAAAACCTATCAAGATTTCCATCGCACTGTAGCTACATATGTAAGAGGTGTGCCTAACATTAGCAAGTTTGGTCAGCAGAGGTTGGACGACTTACCTACAGCAATATTAGTCAGCAATCCCAACCTTATTTTCAATAGTATAGGGCTCCAAAGACCAGTCGATAAAAAGTATAGAAATCCAGATGGGACCGTTGATAAATCACATCCAGTTTATAAGGTATTCTCTCAAGAACCACTAAGTGATGAGCAGTTGGGCGAATTGTTTACTACAATAGATTCTAAGGATGTGGTAGACTGGATGGCCTACCCCCATTATAAATCATCAGAAAAGTTACTAAATTTCCAGCTTCATGACCAGATGTATTATTTGAATAGCATTGAGCTGGCAGCATCCTGCATGGAAACCAGTGCCATAGGTGGACGTAATGTGGCTCTCTTAGCCTATAACAGGTGGTTTGGCATTCAGGGTAAAATTGACAATCTTCCCAAAACATCTGGTGGCAAAACAGAGCTGTAATGCGTTATTCCAAATTCAAGTTGTTGGATTTAGATTATTTAGATGTAGTGTGGGGCAACTGCACTGCTACAATTAGAAATGTAAGTTTAAAAGGGCCAGTAATATATGGATAAATGAGCAGTTGTGTTTTATTGCCAAGAACATCAATTTCTTACCAAAACCGACAATATTTGTCAATAATCATTTGCTGTTGATGAAACCAGTACTTGTATGTGGAACTTTGAATTAAGCCTTTTGTGATACTCTTCCACATCATTATGAAAGTAGGATGATTGTAAATTTTCGTATTTAATAGTTACAAGCTGCTTACTTGAAAATGTAAAAGAGAATGATATGAAGAATCCATTCCATGCTTATTGAATTCAACCCACCAATCTTAACTGAATGACACACCTGCTCCTTTTTCTAACAAACTCATATAATCATCAACCAATCTGTATTCTACTTAACGGCAAGAAGAAGTGTGTCATTCAGTTAAGCTGATTGCAGTCAGCGAGAGTACCCTAATAGTTGGGCTGATTCATGAAGATCAATGGTGTGTATGGGAATGAGCCTACTGGATACAGGTGAAATATACCTGGGCAATGATCATGTTAAAATATAAGATGATAGAATAAATGAAAAAAATATTCATAATCACAATATATTTTTTACTCTGAATGTAGATACCTTACTTTAATGACACGACTGAAACAGAACTTACAGAATTGAAGATATAGATATAACTGATCCATACACCACTTACATAAGTCAAAATCAAATAGGGCATAACATAAGCTTTAAAAGGTTAACAATCCTACAGATACTTCTTTTTCTGATTATATATATTGTAAACAATCTGTGGTCAAGCGCTGTAAAAGACAATGGTGTCCATGTGGAAAAATATAACCAATTAACATATCATTTGTGGTTAGCATGCTGCTTTCTGATGAATGTATGCCATTGAAGAAAAACATTTTCAACATTAAATAATTCTGTACAGTGACAATAAATATTATAATGATTACCAATCACAAGACACATGACATAAAAAGTACCTTATAGTCTATGCACACCTGTAACATTCAAAATATGAAAGAGCTTGTCAAATAAAAAGATGAAATTCTTTAATTTATTTCTGTAACATCCCTGATGAAATAAACACTAAATGACTCATTAAACATACCATTATCTGAATAATAGACTTTTTCTGAATTATTAACTGAATGAAGCTTGCAAGGAAAGCTAACAAAAGAATATCTATCTATCTAAACAAATGCTTGTAAGCAACTTTAATTGTTCGTAAATAATATTATATTTATAATTATATGTTTATATTTATATGTTCGTAAATTATATTTATATACTCAAATGCATTCCATGCTAAACAAAACTGTTGAATAAACAAAAAAAATTAGGAAACCTTTAATCGCACATAAGCATGCACAACATAAATAGTGCAACTACATAACTTACAGTCTGTGGTAATACCTAAAATTGCACTCTTGATAGTATGTCTTCCATTATGTATTTTAACACCTGTATAACAACAATAATGTCTCATACATCTTATCACTCTTAAATGTACTTTCTCAAACATGGTTTAACTTTATATCTTTAGAAGAATATCTTTTCTATGCATGTATTCTCATGCAAATCTATAGTAGATATTGTTGAATTAATGAAGATTTAACAAATTTATAAGATGCTCATTTGTCTTTTTTCTTTCTCCTCAATATGTTGGGCAACTGTCTAGGAGCCAAACCTTTGATTTCAATGACGTCCATGGTCTTTTTAAGAGTATCATAGGTAAAATGCTCACATGGTTTGAAATTATGCAGGCAGCTTCCAAGAGCTGCACTTCCACGTTTCATGTTGCGACAATAAGCATGATCATTCACCCAACACACATCACATATGTGAGGTATGCGACATGCACGTGGCATGTTAACATCATTGACATCAAGACTGGTTTGTCCACAAATCCATGGGTTTCTCATGGGGCGAAAAATAACTTTCATCATTTTCATCATAGCAGGGGACTTGCTAGCAATGGCTGAAGTTGTACTGCTTGGACAATGCTGGTCAGCCGTACTGGACCCTGGCTCTACTTCAACCCGTTCTCCATAAACCTCTGGAGCTGGAAGCCCTTCTTCAATTATTGGTGAGGTCTCCCTTTCACGCCTTTCTCCTGCAGGAGGGAAGTAAGTTGGCACCATGTCATGTTCAGGTGTCACTGGCCTTGACCTTGTGGAAATTTCATTCTCATATTCCACTGGCAGGTCAAGGTCAAGGGTCTCGTTGGGAAGAATGTTATACAAATTTTTCAGTGTAGCATAGTCCATTGTAGTCTCATCTGTCATGGCACACAGCTTTTCTACCAAGGTGTCTGTGATGGTAGTGAGTTTGGAGTCTGTCTCCATCGTACTTGTGAGTAAAGTGGTCAGCAGAGGCATACTTCCGGATGGACTGGACTCTTTGTTATCTACCTGCTTAATAGGGTCACCCACAGAGGTATCTTCTTCAACAATATTATGTTTTTTCTCATCAAAACTTGCTGATTCCATGTCTATACATTCACTGGCTGTTGTCCCCTGATCTTCAGAGTTCTGTGTGGAAAAACCAGATGCTCCAACAACCACTTCTTCAGAGTCAACTATTGGAATCAAATCCTCAGAGAGACCTTGTTCTACAATGCTCTCTATAAGGGCTTCCTTTAGGGCCATAACTGCATTCTCTGATATCTCCTGCTTAAGTTTTTCAGCTGTGTCTATGATGGATGAATAATCACCATCTTCTGATCTTGCCACTTTGACAAGTGAGCTTTCAACATAGCACTTTGAGCCTGTTATCTCCTCAGGTTCCAAAACTGCTTCTTCAATACTCAATCCACTTGGTTGAGGTAAAGAAGCTAAATTTTCTTCGTCAGAATTTTCTGAAGTAGCTTTTGGATCATGGACAGAATTTTCCAAGGTTTTAAATCCATCAAAATGACACATTGTATCTTGGACAGCACAATGTGTTTTAATTTTTTGGCATTCAAACTCTGCTGTATCTTCACAGTTTGGACTGGTCATTATGGCAGTTTCATCCTTAGATATTTCAGAGTCACTTGGAAAGATCACTTGTGAGATGCTGCCTGTGTCACTACTTACACCATCACCATTAATTGCACCAACTTTCTTGCTTATGGCGTTATCATTACAGGAACCCAATTCTACCAGAGGAGCATCTTCGGCAGCTATCAGATCTTTGGACTGATCACTTGTGGTAGGTCTAGCACCATCTTTCATTAAAAGAAGCTGGTTTCTTTCTAGTGGTAAGGACCCGTCATCCTTCTTTGAAAGCAGACATGGCTCTTCTACTTTCACATTCAAGCTACATTTGTCAGTCACATTTTGACTGTTTGCCTCTCGTTTGACTTGGTTTTCATCAAAATCTGAATGAGTAGATGAATGTGAACCATCAAAATTTTGTTTAAAACTTTCAGGAGCAGTTGTTTCGGGAGATTTTGCTTCACAGTCTGTATCACATTTGCCCATATAAAAAACAACATTCATTTTTGTATTGATATCACTGACATCTTCTGATATCTTTTTATAGTCATCAACATTGCACGCTTGCTTGTCATCCTTCCTGAGATCAGAAAACTGCCTTATCAAACTGTTCTCTGGAGCCAGAGCATGTAACAAGTTCTCAAAATCTACTAGGTGACTTTGCTCTGCTTTATCTGATGCTGCACCTTCCTCAACAGGATTTATGTCTTTCAGTGGCTGAAGTTCATTAAGGATGCTGGCTTCATTAATACAGGATGTGTCAGATGTTTCCTGGCTATTGGTATCATCTTGACCATAGGACTCGTCACTCTCTTTCATCATCTCCTCATTGCAAGTTAAAGACAGCTCATCTACCCTCTCTGGACTCCTCAACTCTTGGGTTTCCTCACTCTCTGCATGCACTTCCCCTTGTATACAAGTCACCACATTGTCTGAGATTCTAAACAAGGAGTAGCCTGCTTGTTTAATACCAGTTTTTTCGCCAGGGGAGTCTGTATCACTGAGCGTTTCATCACATTCTAATGGGGGAGTTTTTCTCTCCCTAGCTTCATGAGTGTCAGAAATGGAGTATTGTGGATAAACACAGGTTCCAGAAACACCAGCTCTAACTTTGTCTGTAGAGATAGCATGTTTGTTATCACAACGTGCTATGATATCTTGCTTTGAGGAAGTGAACAGTTTCAAAGATGAAGATGAACTAGGCTGAATTTGGCTATCAGTCAAACCTGGCAGAACTTTGTTGAGTTTGACTAGAGGCATTTTATTTCCACAGTGAGCATCATACAGACGCAGGATATCTTTGGACATGTGGCCTAGGTGCCCCCTGCTCTTGTTCAGCACAGCCAACGGACTGACCACTTTAGCTGGGTCAAGGTGCAGCTTGCGGGATGTGAATTTGGAAATGAATTTGTGAGTCTTCAGTCGTCGCAGTTTGCCACCTGGAGATCTGTGTAGCTTGCATGGGTTTTCTGGAGTAGCACTTCTGTTTGTTTCAAGAACTGACTTGCTGACCAACCCGTAAATACTGAGGAATTGTTCCTGAGTTATAATCTCCGAGGGGTGGGATACCTCCCTGTTAAGTTCATTATCAATGTTTACAACAGGAGGCTTGCAGATTTTCTTTTTCTTCATCGTCTGTTGTACTTCCCTATCTGTAGAAACTGGGCCTTTTACTTTTATGATTATACAGTCAGAGTCAGATTCAGATTCCAATTTAGCCTTCTTTGAAGATGGTCTGAAGTCCAAGCAGCTGTAGTCACTTCCTTTAGATCCCGAATTTGGTCTCTTCTGTGGAAGTAGGCTCATTCTTGAAAATGGACTAGTGTGAGTAGATGTAGCACTAGATTTTTTAAGTAGTTGCTGTGATGCAGAAACTGAAGTTTTTACCTTTGTTTCTTTGTGATAAACTAAGTCATTTTTTGAAGGCAGTTGACTGTGTGTTAAACTTGTTTTGGCTGTACAACATGGGCACCCTGATATTGTTTTCTGTTTTCGTAACCTCTGGCTACTGACAAATGTGTTACTGTGAGTACCTGCAGATGCTGAAGCAACTGTTTGTACACATGTAGTCTTTATTGTCCCCTCATGACTAACAATCTTCACAGAGGTGTTACTGGTTGCCGTGCCCTGAACCCTGGACACTGATGGCTTTGCTGGACACTGAACATAGAAGAATTTCTGTTGATTTGTTTTAGATGCCACATCTTTTGATTTTCCAGACCCAACCTTGGTCACAGTCTGTGATGATTGAGGTTTTGTTTTACCCTGGCCAGAGGAAGGTTTCTTCTTTTTTGCCTGAATAGAACTAGCCCCTGAACTTGCTCTTTTGTTGGCTGCTTTGAAGTTAATGCTATCCACATTAAACTCAAAGGCATCTTTACCATAAGCATTTGGCCGTTTATGGACTACCTTCTTTTTGTCCTCTGCCCCATCTCTCAGTTTGGCACTTGGTTTTCTTCTCTGGTGCCTGGTTCTCATTGTTCAGTTTTTATGGCTGCTAATTCATACCTGAATGTTTAAAATATGGACATTAGTATTCAATTCTAATTTTTCGTATTCATCAATCTCAATGGTGCATACAAATACAAATTTACAAATGTCAACTTTAAAAACAGATACAGTATCAGCACATATCTGATTGTCAGTTTTTAATCCTATTTTACAGCTGTGGTAGGTAATAAAAAATAAGTATTGAACAAGGAAATTTGATTTTGGAGTCTTGTTCTAAAAGTAAACCTTGCTTTCAAGCAGCAGGGAGATTGTTGCTTCAAGACAATTAAAAGGAATAGCAATTCTTACAATGTCAATGAGTAACCAAAATGAAAAATATACAGTGTCCCAAACATCATAACTTTGTTTGAAAATAAAAGGAATAAATGAGAAAAAAGGAAACAGATAAGTAAAAAATATGATTGAAAAACCGGTCAACTCTACAAAAATGTCTAAAATTGTATAATTATGTTTTTGACACTGTGTGCTATTCCTTGGAAATTTTCTTCTATGTGAAAGGAACACGACACATGTGGCACTGCATTAAACCATACCTGCAAAAAAATGAACACAACATGTTAGACTCTCCATAGTATACATATCTGTAAAATTTATATTGTATAACCTAACCCCCTTAATTTTGTATCTTAAGAAAAAGTTTGCATGTGTACTGTACAACACGAGAACTATTTGAGTTCAATAAACACATCACAAGTTAAAAATACACTTGAGTCGCACGTAGCATGAACTTAACACAAAACATATTTCATATACGTAACACAGAAAAACATGTTTCTGTATGATTATTATTAGTAGTATGGATTATCTGTGACTCTTGTTGAAATGCCACTTTTTAGTGTCCCTAATATCTCGAATTCTAAAGAAAAATTATTTAGTAACATTAACACGTGAAAGAAATGGTCCGACACTTTGCTAACTTCACTTTACTTCAGTTACACTGTCTTTTCGCATTATTATTTAGGTTATTCTATCATAATGAATAATAAGTAACTTGTCGAAGAAGACCCGAAAATGGAAAGTTAAAATCAGGTTAATGCTGGGCGTTGCTGTTTGAGGACGTATAAATCCTCTTTAACCCGCCAATCCGTGCTTCCTTTTCTTACAAATGGTAAATGGACATTTGTTTAGTATATGAAGGTACTTTTAAAAGCAACACATCCATTCTTATATTTACATTTTAATAAGGAACATACCTGATCTTTTTCTTTTTGACGTGGTGCCCTCTGCCGTCTAACCGTCCAGCAGATAAGGTCCGCAGAATACAGTGGGTAGTTTGTTAGTGGTTGGCATGGTTAGATACTGATTAAAACATTGAAACGTTACATAAAGAAAATTCAAAAACATATTATACTACAGATAAAATTGTACATAGAATTTTATTGAAAAAATAATAATTTTCAATCTGTAGCAGTCCGTAGGGATGACCTTTACCTTGTGGGTCGTGTTTTTATCACGTGACATGATGCGACCGCATTTGGGGAGGTGAAAGACTTACGTATGCACACACAGATGGGACATCAGGCACAATGAGCGACAGAACAAGCGATACTTTGCGTTGCCCAAAATGCGGAACGAGGTAGCAGCATAATAGTGACATAATTGTTATTTTCTCTATTTTTGTTCATGTTTTAAGAAAGTTTCATGGTCTTTGTTGTTTTTTTTGTGAGTTAGCGCCGCATGCCCATTTTGGACAGAGACCCATTTTGGACACTTTGTGTTTATTTTTTGTTGTTTTTGTTTTGCTTAATTTATTTGATGGATCAAGCGTACATTGCATGCACGAACTTTTTTCTGTCACATAAGCACATCTTTGGCTTTAAAACATGATGCATGAATCAACAAATGGCTGCTTTTGTGCGATCATAATATACGGTAAATTCCTTCTTGTACAGGTGTATGATAAATTTCGCATTTAGTAGCATACAGCATTTCACAGATGAGCAAGGCTAGAAAAGGTGATATTTCTTGCCCAAATTGGGTCGTGCGACGTTAGCTGCACAAAATACCTGTGCCTGGGTAAATATTGCTGGGTACAGCTTACCAGGACATAAATTATAATCACTGTGTAAAGTGCAATAGGGCATGAAATGAGGTCTACCCAAAATGTGCAATACATCGCAATATAGTTCAATACACCAGAAAAAAAAGAAAACACAGGACACTGTCATTCCTAAGAAAATAGGTTGATATAAAAGCAAAGTATACTACTAGATAATTTTATTAAAATACCATAATTGATACAAATTAGCAAATAGGTATGGTTTATTAATGACGTACAGGTTGTCCACTATATTGCAAAGAAGAACCACTCATCAACATGGGAGATGACCAGACAATAAACAAGTCGTGGCAAAGTTGTTTCAGTGATATTAATATTTCACATATATATTGCCCTGTATACTTTCTTTTAAATGACCGTTTCCCTTGTTTACTTGCATCTGGACTCGTTTTCGTATTATGCTGTATTGTGGTGTATTGCACTTAGATAGACTCTCCGAAACAGCACAAAGTGGTGCTTTGAAAGTCGAGTCACACGCAGACATGCACATTCACACACAAGTTTGTAGGCTTTGTCTACAGAGTATGCTTAGACTATTCAAATCTGTGTTTATCCTGGTGATTATTTTCATCTCTGCCTCTGACACATGCCACCTCTGGGTCACACTGTGAATTCCTGTACTTATATATAAACAGTATGCCCTTAAACTTGTACACATAGGTCTTTGATTTTCTAATGTATTTCCAAAATCAATTAATGTATATGATGACTTGGACCAATGCCTTTGCTATTTGTACATTACCAGCATAAATTATATGTACTGTACATGTGTCATGCTTAAATAGGTGCCAAATGTCTGCCAAAATACTGGTTCATAGTACACATACATGTAGGTACTAGCATGTCTGGTGATTAACATACATGAATAGCAACAAATTTTGAATTTGGTCAGCAAAAATTGATTTCAGGATATATTTAAGTAATATAAATAAATCTAGAAATAGCAAAAATGGAGTAGCAAAAAAAGAAGGTATTTATAAAAACAATTTAAATGTATAGTAACATGTATGGGTGCTTTCCCAGAGATCTATTTAGATCGATCTAAAGATTAACATTTAGATCGACCTAACTCCCTGGGGGTTCACGCTAAATTGCAGTCAGCCGAGCGGGCACCATAGTTAATTACCCCCTTTTAGTAGGCGGGACAGACGCTTAAGCTGGTCAAGCTGACAGTAATCTAGTGAGACTCCCTACAGGGATAGATCGATCTAAAAATCTATGGAAATAGGGTGTATGACTGGGTTAACATGCTTAGATCTATCTAACAGGATAGATCCATCTGCAAGGAGTTTCTCATTAAATTACTTTCAGTTTAAGTGGTGAAGATGTCTGACATGCCTACTGCTAATCAATAATTAATTACCCCCTAGCAGCTTCAGTAGGCATGACAGACATTTAAGCCGCTTAAATTGATAGCAATTTAGTGAGAATCCCCTCTGAGATAGAGCGATCCACAGTTAGTATGATAGGGTCCGGGAATGGTCCCTATGGTCAAGTGAATACATGTAGCTGGTTCCACACTGAAAAAAAGAGTCATCAAAATTATTCTTTTTAAGTCATAATGTGTCTCAAATTTATGTTTTGATCTTCAAATAATTATTCTGATTTTGAACCATATTTCATTTTATTTGGCAATTATCAGTAGAATACACATCTGAGATGTACCTATTTTGGCTATTTACATATTTTGATGAGATACATGTACTTGAGCACTATTGGGCTGGTGCATCATGTATGGATTAAATGTCACTAACTTGCAGTTTGTTGATAGTTCAGTAGCTCACAATGTTAAATGAATTGCAGTTTGCTTTCAAAAAAGTTTGTTTTTAATCTATTTATTTTGTTTGTTTGTTTGTTTGTTTTTTTTGCAGTTTGATATTTAAAGTAAAGTATTTTTTTTTACAACAAGATGCTTTTTATTTCTTGATACTCGTTTTAAATACCATATTCTATATGTATAATGACTATATGTATATGCACTGAATATTTTGCTTGGCTCTAGTCATGTTCCACTACAAGTCAGCTTGGGCTCTGGGGTATATTTTGGAACATGCCAGTCCTGTGGCTCTGAATTCAAGTTTAAGAAGTCAACACAGCTTGAGTCAGCCATCTCCTTTAAAGTAAATGGAACGCTTTGTCAAGGTACGTACTTGTGGAAGAGACTAGGTGAGGCTGTATCACAACTTTTGGTTGGTATTTATATGCTGTCCTCTTGATAGTATATAAGATACTTACCAAACGTATTTAATTTTCTTTTGCAAAAGTAGATAATTTCTTTTCGTCAGTATATCTGTTGGATTTTTGACTATCAGAATTGTAAGCTAATGGTTGACTGAATAAGATAAATCCTCAAAAAAAAATTCTTAGAAGATTAATGATTTACATATACTTTTAATGTTTAAAGAAAGTGGTGATATTGAAAAAGGCTATATAACTCATGATCATTATTTTAATTAGGGATGAATGCAATCTTAGAGATTACTACATTTTAGTACATACAAAAATCAGTTTTTGAAATATTAACATCTATTTTTTTTCTGTTATGTACATCTTCCAGTTGATAACAGGTTTGAAGCTGAGATGTCCTTAAATGAGTACATAAGAACGGTGCTCAAGCTGACAGGAACAAAGGTGATGTGTAATGAAGGGGGGTGTGGTAGCTGCCATGTGACCATCGCCAAATATGACCCTATCACCAAGGCCAATAAACCACAGACCATTAATTCTGTGAGTACAAGGGAAATGTTGGACAAGTTCTTGTATACTGTCCCACAAAGTTTATTTAGTATTTGATCTTTGATTTAAGAAGCTAAAATTTGTTTTACTATGATACAGTTGTTTATTTTCTATCTGGTTTTGATGATTAGATAAGGCAGCTAAGAATGAATGGTATTTGAATAGCAGACTGACTTTGTCAGTATTGTCCATTATCTGTTAGGTAAGCGTGCACTGGATCACTGATAACATCACAATTTTAGATAAAGGTGTCTCAGAGGTGTTGCTCTATATCAACAACATTGTGTATATATATATATATATATATATATATATATATATATATATATATATATATATATAATACAGTGTAAATAATTCACGAAAAAACATGTTTTGCAAGTTGTGAATTTTCCTAAGGTTGCTTGTAGTTTTTGCATATGAATAAATGGTACCATTATCATGTTGACTTTTGGCCTCTGTATACCTTTGGCCCATTTAGACTTGTAAGTTATGGTAGTTTTACAAGTTATCCGTACATTGTAGTCACCAGACTGTTTAGAGCAAAGGACAAGATGTACATTCCTCTCATAATTTTTATTGCTAAAAAAATATAAAATTGTTATTTTAGGTGTCAGATTTATGAAAAAAAAGCATATTCCCCTAAAATACCACATACATAATGTCATAAATATATTAATATATTTCCTCTTTGGTACATGATTCTGATTTCTGATTAGTAAATGTTCGATGGCTTGCTGCAAGTTTGGAATCTTAATCAAATAATAGTTCCATATAATTTGAAGTGCTAAATGAAAAATTTTTGAAGTGAACACATTTATCAATATTTCAGTGTCTGTGGCCAGTGTATGGTTGCCATAATCTGGAGATCACCACAGTGGAGGGTATAGGGGACAAGTTCTCTGGTTACCATCCTATCCAGAAAGCACTGGCTGATGGCAATGGAAGCCAGTGTGGGTTCTGTAGCCCTGGAATGGTCATGAATATGTACAGGTAACTAGCTTAATATAGTGTTTTATTGGGGAATAGTCCATAACTGTAAACATTTTCTTTGGCCCAGGGTTTTTGTGGATGTTGGTTGTCTTTCAGTGTATTCATCAGAAGTCCACAGATAAATCATAACTGTTACTTGACAATTGTGATGAACCAATCTGACCAATACATGCCCTGGATCACAACATTACATTACGTTACATAACCATAAAAATTACCCTACCACATATCAAGGAGGTGCAAAATTTTCACTTATTTATTAACAATAATAATCAGAAAATATTTTGATAAAATATCCTGTTTTGGTAGTTTCTCTCAGATTTCTTAACAGTTGCTGAAGTTTGTATGAAATGTTAGAGTTAGTAAATTCCAGTCAAAGCTAGGCTACAGAGATTTTACATCTGATCAAGACATCCTCTCTTTCCATCACAGAATACTATAATAAATCAATCCTTTCAATGGGTGAAATTGGGAATTTAATAGATACTGTATTTTTTAAGTCAGAAATTCTTAAAATTGAAACATTCCTATTGAGAGATAGAAACAAAATTGAAAAGCTGGCTACCTTACAGCTCTATCCAATACAGTAAAGACACCACAAATGCTACACAAAAATATGTTTTTAAAGATTCCCAAATTATGTATCTGAAAGATTGATAATTTTTCCCATTGAAAAAATTAAGTCATTACAGTAACATTTTTATGTGATCTTTACAGTTTCCTTGGAGGCAATCCCAAACCTACTAAAGAACAGATAGAGGATGCTTATGATGGCAACATATGCAGATGCACAGGTACACATATTAAGGCAATACTGACTTAAAGCTCTGAAAGTGTAATATGTGGACTTAATACAAAATAGAGTGATTTACGCCTGAAGCTGAAGCATGCTGTAAATTTTATTGGTGGCACTGTGGTATTACGTTACTGCATGAGATGAACAAGTTAAGCTAAAGAGGTATTTAATGTGCTGTAATGTTTTTTCCACAGGGTACAGACCAATTCTGGATGCCATGAAAACTTTTGCTGTGGATTCCACAGACCATGTTATAGACATTGAGGTGACTTGAATTCATAAACATAAAGATATAAAGAGTGGATTTCGTTAAAGACAAAAATGTCTTGTTTTTACTTACTTAGTCTTTATGAGTTTGACTCATTGGTTTCTAAAGTTGTAGATGATTGTGTGTTCTAGCTGGCCAGATTGTGTTTTGTATTCATTCTTAAGTGTGTGTGTGAGTGTTATTGTTTGAAGAGACTGAAAGAGGCAAAAGCGTTTAGGAAAAATAATTAACCATTCCAATCATTGTGTGACTTGCTTTGACTTAAAAAAAAAAAAAATATATATATATATATATATATATATATATATATATATATATATATATATATATATATATATATATATATATATATATATATATATATATATAAGAAGGCAGAAAACATCTGTTCAAATATTGTTTTTTCTGGAAGTATGATGCAATATTATTAGTATTTCTTTAAGTTATGTTATTTGAAACTATACGATGCCATTTGATTGTGTTTATATGACTTTATACAATTTATGCACACCTTAATGCATATAAATCGTTAATCCAGTATAATAAATTTTATTTAAAAATTGCTTGCCTGCAGATGGTTACCATTTATTTTGTCGTATGGAGTTTTAAATATCAACATGCGCGAATGTGCAATGTAACCTACTCGTACATGTAGTAATTTCAAGATTATTTATATTAGGACCTGTCCAGCAGACAGTGCCCAAAGACTGGTCAGGCATGCACTGGACAGTGTGGACCTAAGTCGGTCAAGCCAGTACACTTGGTGTTGAGCACATCGCAGTGGCTGATACCAGTGAACCTGCTGCAGTTATACCAGATGGTGGTGCAGAATAAGTCAAAGCCTACCAAGCTTGTCTTGGGAAACACAGCAGGGGGTAAGTCGGCAAGGTGGATCTGTGCATTGTTGCTGTGTCATACAGGTTTTACTGTTAGAACTTGTTTGATTGTTCTTCTATTTAAAGAGATGGGCAATATTTCGTAAGAAATTGTACTCTATTATTTCTACAGTCATATCTGGAAATAGGTCAAGTTTGAGTTATGTCATGCATCGCTTTTTGGTCCCATCATCCAGAACTGTCAATACACATGCCCCCAGGAGCCCAGCCTAAATCATATTATTTTTACAAAGTGGATTTTAACTTATTTATGAGCTGACCAACCACACATGAAATCCAAGGTTACTCTGTGTTGGGTTGTCTTTGATTCTTGCTTTCCTTTCCAGGAAGCTATGATGTGTACATTGATTTGAAGTCTGTACCAGAATTATATCAGTACTCTGTAAGTACAAAATTACAATTATTTTATCATTATTTATTTTATTTGAATTTAAAAATAATGTCGTTATACCAGGGGTGAATAAGCACACACCTGTCAGTTGTTAAGCAGATATTTTATGAAACTTAAAATTTGACTGATAATTAAGTGATTAAGTACATTATTGTCACTCCTTTAGAAGAATGCCCCAGTGACCATTGGTTCCAACTTTAGCCTGTCTGCATTGATGGAAGTATTGACTGAGGTTGCTACACTGCCAGGATATAGCTATTGTTCCACACTGGTCATTCACTTGAAAAGAGTGGCCAATACCTCCGTCAGGAATGTAAGTGTTTAATCGACACACATTTTTTAATTAGTCAGTCATAATCATTGGTATGCATTTAGTTCATGTTTGAATTTCAGTTTTTTTTTCTAATTCAGGATTCTCCTATTACAAAAAGTAGTCTTTATATAGTAGTTATATTGTTTCATTAAAAAAAATATAAAAATAAAATACAGTATAGGGTGAAATGGTCACCCTTATGCAAAACAGAATTCTATTTAAGCTGACTTAATTGCTTAATTATAAAAGATAGTAATACCTTTTAAGATAGATAAGCTATTTGTATGGATTGAATAATATAGAGGGATTTTTTTCACAGGCAGGAGGGTGGGCAGGAAACTTGATGCTCAAAAAGAACGATCCAGGGTTTCCTTCTGATGTTTTTGTTATTCTTGAAACTGTGGGTGCAGTTTTGAACATTGGTATGTTACTCTATACAGTAGATTGTTCTGGGTACATCATATGTGGACTACACTCATTGTCTGAATTGTATGACTTTCTCAAATCTTTACTCACACATATATGTTGGAGTCAATAAGGAATCTGTCATGATGTAATTTTTTCAAGGCAAATTTGCAAGTTTACCAATGATTAATTGGGGAAAAATAGTTGTTATTTTCTTTGCTTTATTGCTGAAATGAATAAAATAAAAAACATCCAAAAATGGGCCAGTTGATATCATTGACATTAAATAAGTTAATTCAGGTTATAGGCAATTTATTTCAAAAGTAGATGCATTAACATCTTTAGTTTGTATTCTCACTGTACAGATAGTATTTTATACATATATTCAGCTTCTTGCCAGACACAGGTTGTCTCCAGGATACTCCTTACAGACTTCCTGGCGATTGACATGTCACAGAGTGTCATTCTCAACGTTGTCCTTCCAACCATGACTGTCAATGATTATGTCAGGACATTCAAGATACAACCAAGAGTTCAGGTATCATGCTGATTTGTATCTGATTTTTTATGAAAATATTGTTTTGAAGTCCATATTTTCAGTCATGCAAAAGCTTTCTTAAAATTCTTTATTTATAGGTACTGCCAATTTAAGCATGTACCCTGTAAGAGGCTTTGATATAACATTTGAGACATAACCAAAAGCCTAGGTACAAACGTAATTAGTTTTCTTTAAGTGATCATCTGTCTGAACTGGTGAAAAGTGATATATATTTCTTCCTAACATATGTCTCTTGGAAAGAAAAACAATCTTTGTGATTATATTTTTGGGAATGTGTACTTTGTAAAGGAGATGATAGAATGAAGTCTTCAACTTTCATATTCTTTTATCTAAATTATAGTATTCTTTAAATGTTATTCTACATGTGCTGGTTTCCCTTACAGTCCAGTCTGGCCTATGTCTCGGCAGGGTTTCGCTTCAAGGTGAACAACAACACTGAATATAAAATAATCCAACAACCATCAATTGTGTTTGGTGGGATTAGTTCAACATTTGTAAGTATTTGATTGTATATATTAGGTTTGAATGTCAGAATCTTGTGTACGTACTATATAATATAGATATCTGAATATATTGAAGTATTTAAATTATTGGTAAATAACTAGGAGATATTTTCTTCTTCATATATATGTTTTTTATGAATTGAAATGTTAATACTGTATTTATCTTACTGTATTTATGCAGAATACATATTGTTTTATAGGTACATGCCTCTCAGACTGAGGAATATTTAACTGGAAAAAGCCTGCTTGATCAAAAAACTTTAACGGGTGAGTTAAATTGTTTGACCCTGTAGTAGCTTTTACATTGTATTTGTATCAGTACTTTTTGTTAAATGCTTTTTTCATGTTATAGGTGCCTATTCTACTCTGGCAAATGAGATCAGCCCAATGCTAGAGGAAGGTAGTCCAGACTATAGGAAGAGGCTGGCTGTTGCTTTATTTTACAAGGTCAGGGCAGTGACACAATATGCAGTCTTAAGATATTGCTTGCAACACCTGAATGGAAGTTGTCTTTAACAAATTATATTTAAATAATAAAAAAAATGGAATTTGAACTTGTTGAGGACAGTAAAGAGCTGAGGTGTCATGTTATAGATTCCTGCAAAAGCAAATCCCAAGGTTGAAAGATCTTTTGCAGCTGAATTCCTGCTGATTTAAAATGAAAAATATTTTCTGCCCTAGATCCATATTTCATGTGTTGTGATTGATATTGCTAATCTTGTTAATAAGTACTAAATGTTGATAGGTCATTTAACTGAACAAATTTTTGGAAGAGCTGAAAGTGTACATCATCTTGGGTTTTTTTTTTTTTTTTGGTGTTGAAATCTGTCAGTGGGGATCAATATCTATGTGAGAAAGATAGATCTATTAGCATTAGTAGCTTTTCAGTGGTGCAGTTTGTTTTGCCCATTGTCAGATTGAAATGTGTTTTGACTGTAGATAGATATCTCAGTTCATTTGTGACTATTCCAGTGTGTGCTGAGCATTGTGGGAGAGAAGGCTGGTGCCAGAATGAGAAGTGGAGCCACCAAGTTGATTGACCAGCGCCCAGTGTCTTCTGGCCAGCAATCCTTTGATACTGACCCTTCTAAGTACCCTCTGAATGAACCTATGCCAAAAGTACTGGCCAGGCAGCAGGTAGTGCACGGCTTTCAGTATGAAAGGGACTCTATGATAATTCTCCAAGCAATTAAATCCGTTGATATTTTTTATAGTACTCTGTTTGTAATCTATTGCTCAGTGATGATGCTGCAGTCAGTTCAGAATTAATGTTGAGATTGAAACAGTTTTCTTGTATCTTTAAAACCTTTTTGCTGATAAATCTATGCTAAATTTCTATCTTGAACTAAAAGAATTTGATTGGAATATTGAAGTAGAAGTACATCTATCATACTGATAGTCAAATGTTGGTTTTGAATTAGAATTCAAACAACTCCTGCTGGAAATTGACACGATAAAAATTTGCCGAAGTAGATTTAGTCATCAGAAATGTAATCCTGTTTATCTCAATCCAGTACATGTATCTTATCTCTCCCAATTGTTATCATTCAGACTGCTGGTGAGGCAATGTACATCCTTGACCAACCTGCCAAGCCAGGGCAACTGTATGGTGCCTTTGTCACCTCCACTGAAGGCAATGCCAAGATTGCAAGCATTGATACAGCAGTGGCTCAGGTTTGGTCAATGAGTTTTCTTTATTGCAATATTTTTCAGTTGGTAACAAGTTATTTGAAAAATGTAACAAATTCTTTAAAAATTTAATTGTTAAAATTAATCAGCTGATTGATGGAGTTATTTGAAATTTAACTTATTTCTGTATTGTATTTTCAGAATGTACCTGGATTTGTTCGCTTCATTTCTGCTAAAGACATCCCAGGAGAAAATGATGTTATGGGAAAATTTGGACAACAGAAGGAGATGGTAGAAACCAGGCTATTTTTACTTTTATGTTTTTCCTGTTATGAAAATCTTAATGTTTTCTGGTCCAGATATAAAATATATTTTCTATTATATTCTTATTACTACATGCGGCAATCAGTCAGATTTTTTTGGACGTTCATTTTTTATTATTCAGTTATTTGTAACAGACCAAGTGGAGTATGCTGGTCAAGCCATTGGACTGGTAGTGGCTGGTAAGGCAATATTATGTATACATGATTTTTGTAGCATAGCCTTTAATGGGTTGCAAGGTGATAACATAACATGTATATTAATCAAAGCATTTGCTGGCCATCTTGTAGTAATTGATTTACATCTGTTAGTCGGGGAGACAAAATCAAAGAAAAATATTATTATGATTTTTTTTGTGATGGCAAATAAACACGCCCTCAAAAAATCACTATAAAAGATAAATAGAAGAACTGAAGTACCACGCAAAATCCATGTCTCCAGATACCCTGGCCCATGCTGAGGCAGCAGCCAGTGCTGTCCAGGTAAACTATACAGATGTGCAGCCACCTATTGTCACCATTGAGGACGCCATTGCTAAGAAATCCTTCATCGAACCTTTTGTGGATGAGTTTAAGTTGGGGGATGCTGATGGTTTGTTTATTATATATCATTATATTCTTAGCGTTTAACTTGAGTTTTCATGGATATGCATTTTCCTATTTATTATATTTCATGGCAGATACAACTGGAACTTGTAGCTATGGCATTTTGTGAACTTTTGAAAGTTGGCCACTTAGATAAATATATAATTCAAACAATGTTAAGTTTTACTTTGCTAAACTTTGTTTCGATATGATGTTTACTTTGAGTGTTTAATATTTGTGTCAGCTGCTGTGGCGGGGGCACCTAAGAAGATCAGTGGTCAGATTAAAATGGGGCCTCAGTACCATGTTCACATGGAGACACAGGTTTTCAATTTTTTCATCTTTTCTCTCTTTACAAAGCATGTTTTGGCCACTCATAATTTGTGAGTAACATAATTTTGAACAAGAAAATATTAGTGCTGTCATACAATGCAAATAAGCAGTCTTACAGTCTTACAGACCTACAGTGAAACATGCAGTAGGCATTTATTTTTATTTGTTGTGAACATGTGGATATAATTTTGTAGTGTTCTTTTATTTAAAATTGTATTTTTATATAATGAAAATGTATATATTTTACAGACAAGTTTTGCTGTGCCCAAGGAAGATGGGTATGATGTTTACTGTTCCACTCAGTGGATAGACCTGTGTCAGCAAGCTTGTGCCAGAGTTCTTGGAATACAACAGAACAAGTAATGAACAAACCATATTGCTTTGGTTCCTTGTTAAATTAGCACTGTGTTCCACAATGCATTTAATATGTATGTTAATGCCAGTGTTAACATCAATATGATGTTGAATGAAATGTACATGTGAATGTGTCAGGCAAAAATGAGATTAATACATCCTAGATCTCCTTTAAAAGATATAAATTTGGAATACTAATAATTCAAATTTAAGCATTGGATGGGAATTTAAGTCATTCATTCATGTTCCAGAATTGACGTGAGTGTACCTCGGCTGGGTGGAGCATATGGTGGGAAGATCACTAGGAATTCTCCTGTGGCAGCTGCTAGTGCCCTGGCTGCTTATGTCACCAGGAAGTGAGATTGCTTTTTATTTTGATCTGGATAGAATCTCTTTCTGTCTTATAATGATGTAAACTTATAAATTGTAGAGCATTAGTTTTCTGTATATGCATCAACTTTTATTGCAGGTCATTAAAGTACAACTTTAAAGATGCATATGAAAACAAATGTCACCACATAGTTTCAAAGGCATCATTTCACATTACCCTAAAAAGGATATTTAATCAGATTTTTCTGCTTGCTTGCTGTGCTGTATATAAACAGGGCAGATAGGTAGGTCTGGTAAGTAGGTGAAATTTATGACCAAAAATTTAAAAAGTGTCGGTTAAAAGCTTTTTTTTGGCTGATTGAGTGATTAATTTGGTTTATCCTTGGCATGTTATCTTTATTTGGGGTTGGATAACTAGTAGATGTGGTTTATATGCAATAATGGGAATCCACACTCCATCATTGCTTGGTTCATATGTACCTTCAAATTGGATGTGTTTGTGTCAGCAAAAATATGAACATTGATATTATTTAGGAATTTATAAACGTAGACTCTTCATAAAACAAATGTGAAAATTTCCTAAATTGAGAATTATTTTAAAGATGAAAGAACTTGAGAATATTTTTGTATTATAGGCCTGTTCATATTCACATGAGTTTGGGAGCCAATATGAAGATGCTGGGGAAAAGAATCCCATATGTTGTTAACTATGAAGTAGGTATATGCAGCAATTAATCAAAGATAGTATTTTATATAAATTACCATATAACAGAAGATTTTCATTCAATTAAAAGGGTAATGAAATGCACAATTTGAAAGTAATTGACCTATTATGTTGATTTGTTAGGTCGGTGTGACTAATGATGGAAAACTTCTTGGAATAGTGGTCACTTACTATGCTAATGGAGGAATTTTAGCCAATGAAACTGCCATGCCACTACAAGGATATATTGATAGTGGTAAGAAAAAAGTACTTTTTTAAAAAGTATATCTTAATTTTGTAATCAATGTTTTTCATTACACAGATGGAATGGTAATAGTGAATTTTTTTATTGTAAATATGTATCATTTGGAATTTGTAAAATTCTTTTTCATATTTTTTGCCATATCAAGTCTTATTTGTGTGCCTGAATGTGTTCAGTTAAAAGACTAATGTATCTCTTTTCAGTTTATAACTGCCCCTGCTGGCATATTATTCCAAAGGGTGTGAAGACCAACACTCCAACTGCCACTGCATGCAGGGCACCAGGTAAAGAAGTGTACAATTGGTTCAAGGACAAACCCCCGGCCCTCCCCCCAGTCAATTTCCATTATAGTTCGCCACCATTTCACTTTATACATATACTTGTCCTACTGCGTGATGTTCTCTCTGGCACAAGAAAGTTTTTGAATTATCTGGGGCAGAATTGGCAAATTGTCCGGGGGGTGGGTTTGGGGGGGGGAGGGGGGTCCTGATACCTGTAAGGTTATTGCTTGTGTGCTGACAGTTTTTTTTGTCCAAATTAAACTGTTATAATTCATGTTGGCAGTTTCAGCTATATTCTCTATTTGGATAGAATTTGTCTCATTCAGTAGTATACAGAAAAAAATAACATAAAAAAGAGAAGTGGCCCAAAAGTAGTTAGGAAGTTGGAAAGTTGCATTACTAAACTGACAACATTATTATCAAAGGTTCTCTTGAGGCCATCTACTGGATTGAGGTCATCATGGAACATGTTGCTAAGGAGTTGGGAAAAGATCCTCTGGAAGTAAAGCAGGCAAACTTTTACAAAACTGGACAGGTAACAACATTTTATATCTGTAAAATAACGTTTTACATCTGTAAAATTTGAGTATTTGATTACTGTTTAGTTTAGACAGGTAAATGAAATACTGTTCAGTTCAAAAATGCATGTGTTTAATATTCTATTTGAAATTTAGTTGACCCCAGTGAAGATGCCCCTGACCTATTGTAACATTGGCCCAATGGTTACTGCTTTCGCCCAGTCTGCAGAGATAAGCAAGAGAAAAGCAGATGTGGCTCTCTTCAACAAGGTAATGTAATGGGGATGAGTATAGTATATCACCTGTGTAAATTGCTGTAAGTATCAGGTGACATAACTGTCTCACTTCTCACTTTTCATTGGGCTGAGGAATTAAAGAAATTAACTAACGTGAATTTGCATGAAAAAAGTGGAATTTTAGAAATTTAATGTGATAATTATATTCATTGTTGCTGTTCTTGCACTTTCAGAACAACCGCTGGAAGAAGAAAGGGCTGTCTGTTGTGCCACTGAAGTGGGGAACTGCCTGGGCTACCGCTAATTACAATGTACTGGTAACAATCATGAATGGAGATGGTTCCGTAGCAGTGACACATGCTGGGATAGAGTCTGGACAGGGAATTAACACAAAGGTATATGACCTTTTGTTGTTAAACTGATTTGTATGTAAAGCAAGTTTTGCTACAGTTGCAAATGTTGAAAATCTGTGAGCAATGTTGTCAGAAATTTTTTTTTTCTTTTTTTGATTGTGTAAGTTATGCAGCATGCCCTTTTAGAATAAGAGTGAATGTGAAAGTCTGTAGAGTATCAGTGATGCACACTTTTACTGGTGCAAGGACTGCTCATTTTGCATAGTTTTCTCACTAACACATATGTCATATCTTCTTATAATCAGGTGGTTCAAGTATGTGCCTATGAGCTTGGTATAGATATCAGCAAGGTGTCTGTCAAGGCAGCCAATTCAGTGGTCAATGCTAACTCTATCACTACAGGGGGAAGTATCACTTCAGAGATAAACTGTAAGGTGAGGTTGTTTTTGAGTAAGTGTAATTTATTTATTGATGCTGAATTTTTTTCTCTTGTTCTTTGAATAAGACTGATGCTGTTAAATAATAACCTTTTAAAAGTAAAAAGAATATTGTGTAAATTTATTGCACTCTGGTAGAAGCAAGCAAACTTGATAAAAATTCCTTAGTTTTGACTATTGCTCATTGTACTGGAAAGTGAAGCTTAAATCCTGCTGTGTGTGCTGCTACACTATTTGAAAAGATTGAAAGAAATATTGGTGAATACTATTCCAGGCAGTTATTGAGTGTTGCAAAATGTTGAAGACAAGGATGGACCCTGTGCGACAGAAAATGGTGGACCCCAAATGGGAGGATTTGGTGAACAAGTGCTTCCAAGAGAATGTTGACTTGTGTGCAAGATATTTGTGAGTTTATAGCAGATTGATATATAGTTATGTTATAATTTGTTAAAACTTTCAGGATATTATCTGAGATCTGTGATATAATACATGTATGAAGTAATCTGCACTGAAGAGATCATAGCAGACCTTTATCATACTGTGTTATTTGAATATAATGTCTTGTCAAACAAAAGTGAAAGAAATGAATTAACTTCAATACCATCTCATGTAAACCTTTCACTTGAAACAGTCCAAAGTCAAAAAATTCAATTTCAGTGTTGTTCCAAATTCAACATACATGTGGCAGTACAATGTCTATGGCGTCACTTGTGCCGAGGTGACAGTGGATGTGCTTACTGGAGAGCGCAATATTGACAGAGTGGACATACTGGAGGATTGTGGAGACAGGTGAATATGGTGACTTGATTTATTTTGATGTTGAATGGTAGCTTGGTAAATTTTATTCTCGTCAGAATACGGAAATTGTGATCAATATTTATTGAAGTAAAGAATATTTCTTGTCTTGAGAAGATTAAAGTGAAATGCAGATTCAAATTTATATGCAAGTTACAAAGATTTTATATTGATTACACAGGCTTGAATTACAAGGCACATCAGACATTGTAATTTTTAGTAAATAATTTAAACACAAATAGTGAATGATTGTCATTTTATATAAGAACATTGACTGGCATTCCAGCATGAATCCTGACATAGATGTGGGGCAGGTGGAGGGAGGTTTTGTCATGGGACTGGGTTATTGGCTGCTGGAGGATATAAAGTTTGATCCCAAGACAGGACAGAACCAGAGTGCTAGTACCTGGGTACAGTTCTTTTTCACATATAGGAAATAGTACATGTTAACTGTTATAGTGTATTTAAACTAAGAGATACAAATTTTTTTAAGTTATCTGGTTGTGAAGCCAAAATCTGGGGATGCATAACTAGGTTTATATAATAGACTGGTAATGGATACCTTTAATGCTATTGATATCAGTATTTTTCTGTATTTTTATGACAGTCTTACCATCCACCTTTGTGCAAAGACATACCAGCTGATTTCAGGATCCAACTCTTGAAGAACGCTCCAAATCCACTGGGAGTGCTTGGGTCAAAAGGTGAAATACTTTTACATATACATTTATATGTGTATGTGTTTGCATGTGTGAGAGAAAATGACATTGCAGGATTAAGCATGAGTGATCTGTATATAAACAGATCATCCTTTTTCATTAAAACATTTAACAGTCTTCTGATGCAATCATCAAGGTTTAAGGATTAATACAGGCCCGTAGCCAGGGAGGGTTCGGGGGGTTCGAAAGAACCGCCCCTTTTGCTGGGAAAAGGTCCACTCTGGGTAAAATTTGATCTAGGTACATGATGTTTTTATGGAAAAAGGTCCACTTTTTCAGAAAACGAACCCCCCTTTTGAAATTGCTGGCTACGGGCCTGTAATACATAAGCTAAGTATGACGGCTTTTATTGTTTAGTCCAGTGCCTGTTTTTTTTTTAAACAGGTGATGGTTAATATCTGTTGTTGAACTTGTGCAAAGTAGTAATGGCACTGTATACTTTGTAATTTCCCAGCTGTGGGTGAGCCCCCGCTGTGTATGAGCAGTGCAGTGTTATTTGCAGCCAAACATGCTGTGGAGGCAGCAAGGCAGGAACTGGGAAACACAAATCACTTCCAACTTGGTACAGTAATAACATTATTGTGAATTTGAGGGTTTAGGTACAATAAATTTAAGTGCTGAAAGTCTATGAAAATATGTCTGAGCTCCACTGCTGCTCTGTAAAGACTCCCATTTTCAAATATAAAAGACTAAATTGAAGTGCATTATAAAAGAAGCTTCTGAGATTATTATATCTTATGAAAATTAAATGGTTTAAAGTTTTGTTTGAGGTATCTCATTTTTTGAATAACTGACTTTTTGAATAACTAACTTTAAGTGATTCGGTATTGAAATGCTTTTATTACAGATGTGCCTGCCACTGTCGAGGCATTGCAAACAGCTTGCCTTGTAGACCCCAGTCAGTTTACCCTGCAGTAGCCACACAAGATGCTGGAATAAGGAGAATTGTAAGAAATCCAAAGATGACATTCAAATAAATATGCCAATAATTGTGGCACAATTTTGGAAATTGCAATAACACACACCTTACTTATAGACACATATTCAAACATTCAAGTAGACAGATGTGGTTGGGAATGTGTGCAGGGAAAATTTCTTTGATTAATAAGGTGAAAAATTATTTAAGAAGTATTAGATGCTTGTTCAATTTTTATGCCCAGTAGCTGTTAATGTGAAATATGTGATATGTAATTGATTACCTTTTTTCAAAAAAGTTGCAAAGATTCATTGCTTTAGGAAGAAAAATATAATATTTATTACAAAGATATATACGTTTTACAGGGATAACTGTTCGAACGAGATTCAGATTTCACTATAAATACATTACTTGTAAAAAACCCATAGGAATGTAATTTATTCCATTTTACAACAAAAACAGCAGTTTTAGTCTGGAATCTGTGCTTGCCATCTGACCATGTGGACCTTTATAGATAGCTATACCTCCATAATAATTTCTTAAGAGATTATTTTAAGAAAAAAGCCTATACAAAAAAAAAAAAAACAAAAAAAAAACATGGACTAACTGTGAATGTTAAAATGGATTCATAAACCATTGGTAAGTTTGGGAAAAATCATCATTTACCCTAGGAAACCAGTTTTTTTTCCAAAACAAAGAGTTGTTATCTCTTTAAATTTTATGCAAGTGTTTTACTGCGCACAATATCATGTAGCCTATGAAGAGTTCATGAAGAGTTCAGTCATAATGTAAGCCAAGTTTTGTCTTCTAGCACATTAAAGGCATATGCTGAAATAGACCATATGCTACAGTATATTGGTTTTGGGATGCAATATTATTAATTAAAGCTTATGAGAAGAAAAATGTCTTTAACTGTGATATACTTTTCTATTTATTCTAGAGTTGAACAATCTGATGCAGAACAAGTTATTCTGGGTAGTTTAAGATTTTTGGAGAGTTGTCAAATTTCCCTAGGAGGATGCTACAAGTGATCTGTATTTGAATGCTATGTATTAGCATTTAAAATTCATAATGGTGCATATTGTATTCTCCTGTTTAATTGCCATAATAAAAGGAATACAGAATATTAATATTTACACGAGGTGTAATGTTTGCCATCCTGTGACATCAATGTACATGGACACTAAGTAGGCACATTCAAGTCTTATTCTGGTGTTTAAGGCATGGTTTCACATTCCTTTAAGACTGAACGAAAACACAAAACTTTCTTTCACAACATTTATTTAAGAAAACAAAATCAAAAATTTATTTCTAAACAATGTACAATGTTTGCAAAAAAATTACTCACTGTACACCAATTTCCTTACCAGTAAATTATTTAATGTCTAAACATATTTCAATAACCTGAATAAATGTAGAATTTATCTAGTTTTAGATTCTGCCAGATTAAGTTGCAATAAACCATTTCAAATAAGGCACTAGTCTAGAAATAAAACAGGCAAACTGAAATAATATCAGTGGTCTAACAGAATTAAGTTGCATCTGCATTATTTGGAAAATGTAGCATGCATATGCTCCTTCCATCTATGTCAATTGGTAACAAATCATCAAAATATTGCATATGAAAAAATCACTTTATATCAATGTAGCTCCCAATTTAATGTTGTAACAAAAATAAAAAGGGACTTCAGGTTGGTCCTCTGATCCAAAATGCTATCTTGTTTTTATCATTTATGTACAGAGCTGTCAGTTCAATGATTTCATTACAGCAAAACCATAACATTTTTATTTACTTGTACCCTTACTCTCTGTACTACAAAAAACTTGGTACTACTTGGAATTACTTATAGCATGACATTTATCTAAGCCTTTCCCAAAAATACAACTCTTTAAATCTGGAATGCAGCTGTATCTGAAGATAGAAAAAGTCAAAAAATACTAAACAGAGAAAAACCACCAAATCTTGCACACCTGCAGCACCTTAATCAAGTGCATTGTTAAGATCTTTCAGAGATCCATCTGCAAATTCTCTGATCTAACAGTACAAAAACCCTACAGCAGTTTATAATTAGAAAATGGAACATCATATAATATCATATAATATCCATCAATGAAAATAAAATTATCATTCTCAATTGCACAACCCTTAACTTAAATCCTTATTAAGTGCTGAACCTGTACAATATGAGCAAGAGCAGAGAAAAGTCCAGCGACAGGAAACAACTACGTTATAAGCAAAAGCTTCATTTAAAAGCACCTTAGAGTATAATAAATACCTATAATGAAACAACTTCCATACTTCATCAGGTTTGATCTATTTACACAAAAGAAAAAAAACAACACGATAACATATATTGATTTATAAAGCATATTTGACAAATTTTAAAGATGAATAATTATATCATGTAAGTTTATTCACAGGAAAAAATTCCACGACCATTAATTGGAACTGACTTAACTCATTGTGGTTGTTTGCTATATCAGACACTAATATTATAAGATTTGCCAATGACATTTGAATAATATCTTAGATATCTAACATTTTAACTAAAGGAATATTTATACATAAGTAAATGTAAGATGGACTGAAGGCTGAATTACTGTTACTAGTTTAACAATTCAGACAACTTGGTGGATTACTCCACTTGTCTGGTGTACTGACAAGGCTTTCCAGTACAGTACATACTTTAATTTAACTTGCACATCTGTATCTCTCTCTCACTGTAAAGAACGTGTGCACAACATGTCATGCAGCTACAAGTTAGAACCCAATTTGCATTTCTTTTTAAATCTCTTCAAGAGGCTTAATGAGGAAAACCCTACTCTGCACAGATATTGGACAACCAATGGCAATACCCTGGCTAGTTTAGTCAGATTGAATAAAGCATTAAGTGGACAGGATTTTTTGTGCTGGAGAAGGAAAAATAGCAAAACAAAAGCTGATATGATTGCACTTCACAATAGACTGAGTTGACAAACAAGAAGTGACACTTCTACAGTAAAATGGCTTTCTTAAACTTCTATTCTAAGAGAGGAAAATAGGTCACCGAATGAAAACAGATGCTTTCCTGTGCCTTTTGGATTTTTATGACCGAGTCGCAGTGCTGATACTATTTGAGATAACAGGGTTATCTTGCCCATACAGTAAACTGGTCCAGCCATTTTTGGATTGTCTTGCTCTTTATCCACTTGTGGTGACATCTACGGACTATCTGGAACAACATCTGCTGACAGAATGTGCCAATACTCGTGTTTCTTGTCAGGATATTTGAGTGTTTCAAACCAGTGTTTCAGTCTGGTGCCTTTGGCAGTAATTCCCAGCTGGACACCACCTGAAAGATGAATTTTTGCAAAGTGGATATGGAAGTCAAGCTGTCAATATATTATTGGAATGTAAAATTTTTTTGTATTTTTTTCCGTTTGTATCTCTGTCCACATTATGTGATCTTTTTGCTCACAATTATTTTTCACAAGGATTATATATACCTGACTTTTTACAAGTTACATAAGATGCTTTCATCTTACCTATATAATCACTATGTCTCCCAATATCTTTATCCCACACAGTGAGTTCTAAGGTCTTTTGGGCCAATTCATGTTTTGGAATTTCATACAAAAACTCCTCATTGTATTCTGGATTTAATGTCTTCTTCTTAACAGTGGTCTTTTGTTTGGACTTCTTTTCTTTGTCAGGCTTGAGGTAGCTACAAACAATAAGGAATTGTTATAAAAACTGCAGGAACAGAGAAGTGCTGAGCAACAAAACATTGGAGGTGGTCAGCTTCAGAAAGTTTTGATCGTAAAATGATCATTATAATCTTTGAAACTGTCTTACTTGTATTCATTTGTGATCATTTTTATTTCATTACCTAATGTAATGCATGAAAGTGCTTTATAACATGTACTAGTATATAACATTTTTTCAAATATTATCACACATAAATGATTTCAGTTTGACTTAAAAATACTTCTCAAATCAAACTTCTTCGCTTACACTTTGACATATGGATCAGAGAATCCATTACTATCCATAGGTGCCAACTGCACACAGCGCACTATGCCAACCAACAAACTTTGCTTGGAAGCTTTGTATGTCAGAGACACCAAGATCTTGCCTCGCTCATGTGCAACAAGGTCATCATCTTTTTCCAGCTAGTAAGGTACGCAATAGAATAGGAATTTCAATATTAACATTTACATGATGGAATGGGTAGTTTCTTGCACTCTGTTGTTATATATATATCAGGGGCGGATTTAGGCCCTCTTCTGGGTCTTCTGGAAGACGGTCAGATTTTCAAGTTTACGTTGATGGTTATCTAATTTTTTCTGTTGGAAGACGGTCAAAATTGGAAGATGGATCAATAAAGATAATTTGGAAGACTGTCACAAAATATCTCTGGATCCGCCCCTGTATATATATTTGTTCTTTATGAAATAGAAATAATATAATGTATAATACTCGACAATGTGTTACTTCTTACCTAAGGGTATGTATGTTGTATTAATAATATTTACAGCAAATGGTCCTTTCACAACATTTTATTTTATTTACCGGCATCTGTCTGTCCAAATAAACATTGAAATTCTTGAGTTGATGTGGCTTCAAACATTTCAGTGGTACCCTAGTTTCTCCAATGAAATCATAGCCAAATGCATCCTCATCTAACACAGACAGTCTGGAAAATTGTTATATTTAACAAAATGTAACATCGATTAAATTACTCTACTCCCTTGACAAAAACTTACCAGTGAAACATAAATGCCAGCTAAAAATCTCCCAACCAAAAGACAGACCATTTTCAAATCAAGATGCTCAATTTATCCAGGCAATGATGAGAAAAGCTGCACTCCATTACAAAAATGAGGTTTTTAGCTTACAGATTGCTAAAAAAATCTCAATCAGAAAAGATCTATTTTTCTACCATCTTAAAAATTTCCAGAGACATATCCTTACTTCAATTTCATTTGTATTAGCAAAGCATTACCTTAATGTTTTCCTCTGCAAGTCTTCTTCTATGACCCCATGGTATGTTAACGTTTCATTCCACTCTGGGTTCAATGTTTTGTGTATAGTTCTGCTTCTCAGTTTAGTGGACTGGGGACAGAAAAAAATTTTACAGAACACATTTCAGAATGCTTAAGTAGGATTTTCCTTGGATTCACGATATGTTATTTCAACAGAAGCAAAAACTTTGTGTGTTAAAAGAATAATAGAACTCTCAACCCAATTAATATATTGCCCAAGATTAACCTAGAGTCCTTGGTTTAGGATAACAGAAATTTTCACTTTCTTGTTTTAAAAGCGAACCATTTTAAAACTGGCACCAATGACCAAGGGACCATTTTACTATACCTTTGAGGCACCAGGCAGTAGGTGGAGTTTCACATAAGGATCTGACAACCCATTGGAATCCATTGCTTTTAAAGCCTGAAGAACAGGGTGAAAGATGTCTTCACAAGTCAACTACCAATTCACTGGTATAGAAGACTCAATAATTCAACTCTGTTACATTTATTTAAAACTAGTGTAAATCAAATATATGAAGACCTACATTTCTACAGATTTTGGATAATAAATTCCATTGCATGCAATAGATATCAGTACCCATTCAAATACAGAAAACACTGCATAATTGTGTTGCAAGGTAAGGTATGTCCATTATTTTCATGTTCTCTTTCCTGCCTGCCATCTAAACACAAGTGATTATCAACTGTAAGAAAAGTGCCCAATCCACTTCAAAAATGTGCATACGTGTATATAAATAAAACACAGTTTACTTAAAGTTGTGAGGAATCTATTTTTTATCTATACAAAAAACTGCATAACATACAAATACTCAATCTTAAGGTTAAATAATACAGTGTGCACTCTGCACTACATGACTACGAGCGCATTCTCAACGAATTAAGCCAGGCTTTACAAAGCCGGTGACCTAAAAATGGCGGACGTACATGAAAGAAAAACCGCCTTATCTTTTAATAGTCTCTCCGCCTCTCACACGCCTCCCCACACGTCGTCCCTGCGGGGTACAGTAATTAAATCTCGACTCCGAACATTAATATTTCCGTGAATATCTCTGGTGATATTATCTCCGTAGATGGTCGATTCATTGCTGCTCTACGGGCCAAATTACTCCTTTTTCGTCTCTGCTTTCAAAGATAATAGAACAGAAGAGCTTTTTTCCTTCGATCGCCTTCAGCCGCCATGCTTTCTTCACCACGAGTTTAACTGATGGGCATGCGCACTTAATATTTCTCAGGTAGCTTCCGCATGGCGAACGGAGACACGATTTTATTACTGTACCCCGCAGGGACGACATGTGGGGAGGCGGAGAGACTATTAAAAGATAAGGCGGTTTTTCTTTCATGTACGTCCGCCATTTTTAGGTCACCGGCTTTGTAAAGCCTGGCTTAATTCGTTGAGAATGCGCTCTACATCTTTCATTTATAAAGGTGGATAAAAATGCACAAAACTTTCAAATAATTATAGCTCAGCACAATTTCACTCCATACATGTACTACTGTATAATGTTCCCTCTGGCACAAAAAAGTTTTGATTCAAAGTAAAGGCCTCCTACACAGCCATGCGGCATTCAATACAAAACATGTACTTTAAATATTTAATGCTGGCATAAAGTAGTCTTTTTGATGATGGCTCTGTCTTTTCCCAGTTGATTATTACATTTTTAATCAGGATGGGGCAATTTGCCCTTAGGCTAATACTAAGGTAAAATAGGAACATTTTAACCAAGTTTTCCCTAAATGCGAGCCACAGAAGGTGAATGATAAGGAAAGGTATTTCAGATAATGCATACATCTCACTGACCTGATGATTTTCGAGATATTTGGTGCATTTTTACTCCACCCAATTAAACTGAGCACAATATGAAATGCAATAGATATTCCCTTAATTGTCATATAAATCAAAACTGACTTTGGTTTTATCACCAATACCTCATATTATTTACAATGGTCAGGCCTACACTACACAATGTGTTTCATATATGGATACATCAAATTTGAGTGCATAAAATTTATACACTGAAAAAATGCATCACAAGTCAACATTAAACTGAATGACAAACACAATATCATTCTGAAAAATCTGCATAAGTATTCTGAATGCTTCATCTTCTCCTTATTATTTATATACATACTAACCTTGAGGTTCTGTTTAAGTCAGCCACACCAAGCAAGGGAAGATATGCATACACGTGAAGCAAAGGATAGACTTAATCAGTTCATGTTCAGGTTGATAACATAACATATATATATATATATATATATATATATATATATATGGGGCAGAATTTGGGCTCACAGCATACATCACATAGGGATTATGTATAAAGAAAGTTTATATGTGTACATTTTTTTCAAACTGCTTTTAAGTGCTTCATGTACCATAACACACTGTAAGTTTACAAAATATGAATAACCAAGTTTACTTCACTCTGAATGCTATAAAGAAATAGATTATTTTCCATTTTCTACTTATTATTTCTCTTTTAAAAGAAAATACAAGATTTTAATTATCTTCTTCAATATATAAGTAACATTGAAAACTGTGAATCAATTAACAACCATTTAATACATTACTTTGGTGCAATTGCCAAACTATTTCCTCAAGAATTTGCCACTTAAATGACAATATAGTTCTACATTTTATAAGCAAATAAAGAGCAATGCCAAGAAGCACATTTAGTTGAATAAAAAGTTGTGAAGCAGTGAGTTATGCAGTCTGGTGTGATTCATATTTAAGATAGGTCAATTTGGCATATTTAGAATAATATGAGGAGCACATAAGCAATCATTTTTTCTACATGTATTTGCATAAAACAAGTTACTCGTAGCACACTTTTTGCTTTGAAAAAAATAACAAACAAAAGACAATGAAATAATAATAGTAATAAAGCATCCTTGTTCAAGCTGCCATTACAAGTAATATGTGCATGATGATTTAAATATAGAGCTAGACTGGTTACACAATGTTCTAGATATATAAATATAAATATATGATACATAAATCCTACTGTTAACTTATAAAACATTAAATATATACAGATGTTTATTACCTTATTGTAATAACTTCAACATAACACTAACTACAGTGATGTTAATGTCCGTAGGCTCACTCTTTCATTATAAACTGAGGCACTTCTTAAAAATTTTTAATTTATTTTTCATTATACAAAATGGTATCAAATAATCAAAGATATCTAAGCCAACTTACTCGAAGTTAAGAGTGAGCCTAGAATATAGTGCAATTTGAACTCTGTGTTATGCCGTCTGAGTACAGACCTACTGTGCAGTCTACAACTTAAATCTGCCTTCTCATACATTCCTATGGGTTAATACACACTAATAGAAATAGCAGCATGCAGTGCTACTTCATGTTACCAAGTATAATAATTATAACAACAACGCATGTCTTCATGCACATAACAATCACACAACAAGATAATATTAATGCTCATGCTAAGGCAACACTTTTTTCAAATCCAGTTTAATAAATATACGTGTGTGGTGCAACTGACTGGTTTATTGCTCCCATATGGGTGCATGACAAAATATTTACACGAAGACATGATATGAATTCTTGTTTGTTGATACACTGCACAATATCAAGTGGTCTTGAAATGAAACTGTTGGTTAGAGTACCATGTTTTCAGATGGAAATACACATCAAAAGAGTTTTGATCCTACATCCCCTTTTTATCAATTGACATTTCTCTTTCCTTCTGTCCTTCTATTTCTTCCTAATGTTGGTATTAGACCCACAGTGAAAGTAAAAACCCATGTTAACTGGACTGGTTGACAGAAGGGTTCTTTAAATGAGGGTTGGAAAAGTTTAAAATAAGCAAAGATTGCTAAGACAATTACATTTTAAAAAAAATCGTAAATATACCATATAAAAAGACGATAGATAAGATAAAATTGCAAATTAAATCACTGAATATTCTTTTGATTTCAGAAAAAAAAAACCATTGATTGTTACGGAGAAAAAATAGAAGATTACTCTCTCCACTTGGGTAAGGCAAAAAAAAAAAAAAAATCCACTTCAGAAATAAAATCTCACAGAAATGATGTATTGCTATGAAACCATTAACTTTTCATCATCATTAACCATGTTCACATACTTCCAGAACTTGTGTTCATGATATACTACTGGGTATAATTTCCCTTCGGGATAATCTAATCCCATATCATGGCAATACGTTTTAGTAATCAACTTTATGCTTAGACTTTCAACTGTATTCTTTGACTTAAGAAAAAATTCAGCAACCGAAATACTGGACAAGACGTACTAGTAGTCTGTTCAACTTGGATGGGTGCCAAGATTTAAGTCCATGAGACAGTTCACTTATGTCAGCCTGGGGAGAGTGATGTAGAGGGGCAAGAAATAGATGTATATCTTCATAGCAAGGGGACATTTGCAGAACAAGAGAGATGGTGCCCTGTCTTAATGTAAGCAAAACCAGCAACATCAAAACAATGTACATTTCATTCAAATAGTTAAATATCTTTGAAAACGATAAAAGCTAAACAATAACAAGTGCATTCCATGTCAAAAACTTGTGTGAATTTACAGTCAAACATACTAAAACATGACGGCTGCAAGACTTGATGCATGTGTTCTTACCCTAGCTCTGATTAAGGTGCAGTGGAGTGCATTGCCCATGGAATCATACATCAGTGAGAACTCCAAAGTTCCTAGAGAGACTGAAATGACATCAAAATCTGTATCACTTTTAAAGAAAAAATAATTAAAAAAGAAAAAAACATATGAAGACTCAGCCCAGAAAGCACACACACACGCATGCACGCACGCACGCACGCACGCACGCACACACACACACACACACACAGGTAATTATTTTTTAGCTCTTCACTTCCCGTTGGAAAAATAAGACAGGTAGAAAATGTTAAGTACCAAGAGAGTAGGGTAATACCTGAGAATGATAAGTATTGCCTTTCACTGTTCAAAAAGTATTCAAGTTAAAGAATAGAACTGATAAATGTGGTTCCTTTTATTTTGGATGAGAAAACATTCAAAATCCTTTTGAAATGAACACCGTATTTGAGGCCAAAATAACAAGTGACTCCTTTAATTTTAGAGCAAAAAGGCCATCATTGACATACACCAATTCTTGTTTTGAGGCAGCAGACAATGTCTTAACTTTACGATAAGACAACTGATCATCTATTTAAATTTAAAGAAATCAATAAAGGTATCAGGAGCAAAATCAAGGCCATTATTTAAATTCCCCGAAGCACAGAAAGCAAGCACAAAGCACCACAACATCAATAAACTGTAAATCTGATATGAAATAAGTAATTTCATCTCAGAGTCAAAAGATTAAACCATTTCCCCAAATAATTTATATTCCCTACCATCAGACTCTGGGGATGATAACTGATCCTCATCCTCTCCCTCATGTTTCCCATATTTTGTAAATGCATCATCAATATCTGCTTCTTCTTCATGTTTTTCCTTAATGGAACCAGTGTCTGCAGATTGGAGAGAATTTCCTCTGCTGAAAGCTGGGGTGGCAATAGGTATATATAATGTTATAATGAAATTTAGACAGGGGTGAAAAGCATAAAATTGGTGATAGCATAAACAAGAATTATTGAAAGAAATAATTGAATTTTACAAAGTTGGGTTAGAATTTGAAAGAAAAAGTAAGCAATTTTTACAGAAACCCAAGCTATAGATAAAGTAAAGCAAGACTATTCCTTTCAGTTTCATGTGCAATATCTTACAATCTTTAATTTAGATTTCTGTTGCTTGGAATTCACTAGTATATGTGTGCCTGTCACACTTTAAAGATACACATGCTTCAGATTTCCTAAAATATGACTGCTGCTGTCATTAAGTGTTGAAGATTGAAAAAGCAGGATATTGCACAGGATATTTATTTCAGGTTCCACAGTGTTCCTGTTCTAACTCCAGGCTTTGAAGATGAAATTCAATTGCTGCAAGCTTATCTCAGGCATACCATGTAACAAGCTCAATAAAGCCAATAAATGCTCAACTACCCATGTGCCATGTTTGACAATAGAAGGTCTAAGGACAAAATTAATTAACACTTACAAGTTCACGGGGTTTCCTAACTCAGACGTTTGGTGTATCTGTCCAGAATGGGATGGGATTCCAATCAACTTTCCAAGTCAAAAATCAATTATTGGACTCTATTGCAGAGATGTCTTATTTTCTTGTATGAAGTGATTTGAGACCAAAATATTAGTTTGTCTAGCTATACATCATTTGTTAAGAGAGATACTGCATTATCAGCCTTTAACTTGATTTTCAGATTGAATTTCAAATTCAATTTAGAAATAAAAGCAAGGATTTATTGCATAAACATATCACTGAATTCAGTTTCAATTTTCTTTTCACAAAATGATAAGTACCAGGAGTCATTCTAAATGTACACTGCCACTATAAATATCACTTTTAGGATGATAAAAGCAATCCAGATCACTTCAACAGTGGCTCTTGATGCAGTTGTCAATGTTCACATGATGACAACTGTAACAGCCACTGTTACTAAAAGTCTTTGTTGTGATTGTCACAACCCCACAGCTGTCACATGTCATTACATTTCAACTAGCAATGCTGTCGCAGCTGTCAAAACTGTAGCTGTCACTAAACACCACAGTTGTCACCAAGGTTGCTAAAGACTTGTTGTAAAAATGGTTTGAAAAAAAAAGTATACTTCTAAATAGAATAAATAAAACGGACTGATAGAGAGATTAAGATAAAAATATCACCACATTAGGAAAGGATTTTTTTCAATCATGTATTTGCACACCTTATTTATAGACAAGGTGGCTGTTGTCTGTACTCCAACTCATTTCAGTATAATATCATTACTTCATTAAAGAAATGATTTCTACTTACACCCCACACCACTGGTGGCTGACCTCTCACTGTCACTGACTGTTGAATCCTGGGACTCCTGTACACGTGGGCCTTCTGAAGGCAAACTGCCTTGACCAGTACCTTGGCCAGAGCTTGGGAGCTGCCCGCTGTCCAGGCTGGTCTTGCTGTCTGAGAGTGGCCTACTTGCCATTAGAGGATTGGGACGTCCACTACTGGCTATGCTGACCGAATCACTTTCAACTGAAATGAATGGAATGAAAAGAAATGGTACTTAAGTACAGATGGAAACCACTGATGATATAATGTAAAAGGGCATTGACTGAGGAACGTAATGCAATTGTTGCAAAATTAAGCCATAACCTGTATTTATTGAAAACTAATTTCTTGGTGAAATAACTGTTAAACTAATGTTCACAAGAAACTGTAAACTAAGACATCAGCTCCCAGAATTCATGTGAACTCTAGGACTAACAGCATGTATAGTATTTCAATGAATAACCATAGAAATGTGACATAATACCTTAGATAGTAAGAGATTATCATTCAATAATTTGACATTTAAGACTTGAATGCACAAATTGTATTTACATGAAGATGAGAAGAGCCATAAACAACAGCTAATGCTTAATGTCTTAACCTACTTCGTCACGCTGCATTTTACCGAAAAATGATAAAAGTCTAACCATAAATTCAATATTTTGATAAAGGACATAATGTGTATATATATATATATATGAGTATATTGCATACATATTATTCTTGTTGGTTCTATAAATTCCTGGCAGATTCCCAAACAGCACAATGAAAATTCATGGATTACATATTGCCATCACAAATGAGAAGGTTTTACTCATTACTTAATGTAACATGTCCATTAACACAATGTGATGATTTTTAGTCATCCATATTAATATAAGTGCTTTTTCCATTTCGATTATTAACTGACTTCAGTTCCTTTGGTGTGAGGTTTTACACTTTCGTGATGCCAGGCAGTGAATATAAAACACTAGATGCTGGATACATTAATCAATTTGGTATATTCTACCAAAATCATTTAAAGCTGTTTCTATCCAGCGGGTGTATATGGAAGGGGAGGTTACAGAGTAACTAATGCTTTTTCTACAAAACATCTTTTCTTTTTTTATTAGAAAACTATCATCAATTTTGTTAAATCCTTTGTTATAAATTATACCAAATAACAAACAGGGTAGTATAGTAGTATATGCAAGTTACAATAATATGCTCCCTGTCCCTAAATTATTGTAAGCTCACTTTGTGAAAAAATATTGTGTGCTCTAATAATGTATCTCAATAAACATGGCCACAGTAATAGAAATTTGTGTGTGAGCTGGCAATACCTGTTCCCATACTTCCTCTGCTAGCCCAGGGCCTGAAATCACTGGTGGTGGACATCTCACTCTCAGACTCTACCAAACAAAAGAAAACAAACAAAATGGCATAAAACTAAAAACAAAAGAAACACTACAAATGAACAAATAAAAAATAGTATGCACCCTAAATAAATATGTTCCACTGAAGTGTAGATATGGTTATAAAAGCATTGGCGAAAAAAATCCACTTCATGTCAGTTTTCAGCACTTCAAAGCCAAAAGAAAGCTCACACATGAGTAGTAAAAAAGAATTAACAAAATGCACTCATGTGTCATCAAATGTTACCAATAATTTTGGGTATAATCAAAGGCCTCTGAATTTGACAGAAAACATCCTCTAAACTTGCAGAACTATAGCCATCTTCCTCTGCCTCGTCTTCTGCCAAACAACTTGAAGAGTCAGATGAGGTGGACAATATCAGCATTGGAACTGCTGGTAAGGAGTGGAATCATGTATTGTAAGAATAATGCCTTTAAGGTGCTATCTGATAGATGAAAGGGGGATTTTCTTACATTAAAACTATGCATTTTGACACAGAACTAATGATTTTCACTGAGTAAACTTAAAAGATATAAAAAGTGTTATTGAAACAAATATTAGTAATAATCTTATATAAGACCAAATGTTTTATATATCAGAGCTATATAAATATATACATAGCGACTGGTCCTTTTTTTCTGAAAATCGCTTGCAGGACAGAGAACTAAAATTTACAAAATATTACATTTACATAAAATTTCTCTATCAAAAAGTTATCAAAATAAAGTTACATACTTACAAAACTTCAAACAAACCAAAACCTGATTAAAAAGTTATACAAACAACTAACTGCCATCCTCTCTCAGTACAAAAACACAGGACTTTTGGACACATTTTTGTTGATTTCATTTCATTAAAGTGTATATATATTTCATCTATATTCATCAATCCTTTCTGGGAGTCCTTTGCAAATGTTTGTTTCTGCCAGAAAAATAAAATAAATCACCATTAAAATAATTTTAACAGATAAAAGGTAAATAATTGGGTTACTGAAAATTTTATGCAGTTTGTTTTTCTTTTTTGCTCACCAGAATCTTGTTGTCTTCGAACTTTTCTTTTGCTGATATTAATCTCATCATCAGAGCTTTCTGAACTTTCTTGCTCATCTGTACTTTCACCATACTGGACTGCAAAGAGAAAAACTCACATTAACTATATACATCTAGCAATTTAATAATGAATTCCATGTTATCAGTAAATGAAAACAAAACCCCTTAAAACTAACAAGTCCTCCATTTCTTCTTAAAAAGAGAAGAAATCCCTTAATTTATTGAAGTGACTAAATATAAATGAAAGAGTACATTCAATCACATTTTGGCCAGGAATAACAAAGTCATTCCCAGTTGGCAAAGGCATCTGTCAAATCTTCCTAAAAATTAACACTTACCACGGCCTCTGGTCCACGTGTTATACTGAGGAGCTGGTGACCCTGTCCTTGACCTCTGTCCTTGACCTGGATGACCCCCTCTACCCGGCACCTTGTCCAACTCTGTTTTCTTTTTTGGCATTATATATCTAGGCAGTCCTTTGAAAAACCATGCCCCTGACCTTTTCCATAGCTGAAATTTTTACATGGTATTTATCTATTAGCTAAACTGAAATTTTGACAGGCATTACTGGAAAAATTACAATGAATCTATTTACAGGACTTCATACAAACCAGTAATACTGCGGGTTTTTGATGGAAAATATCTAAATATATATAGAATACATTTTACTGGAGAATATTCATTAAAATAACAACTTCTTTTAGGATGTAGTTTTGGGGTCTACATTAAACACCAGAAAATACTGCTGACCAATCTAATCTGGTTTTATACAATATACATCTAGTTAAAAGTAAATCTAAAAAAGTTAACTATCATACTGATCTTCAAGTAAGGCATGGCAATAATAGAGAGTTCATCCTTCCAGCTGTTTTGAGCATGTGGGAAAACTGACCCCCACCCCCTTCCTTTAAAACAAAGGGAGTAGGGGTAAGGCCACTTGAGCAGTAACTGCATTATCATACCGGTACTTATGTAGAATTGTATTAGGTACCTTGCAATAGCATAGTTTGTATTGGCCTCTTAGCAACCCCACAAATAAAATAGGTGCAGAATTGGTTGTAAATAATAACTTAATATGCTGACTCTTTACATCATAAATATTAAGAATAATCAGTCTTATTGAATATTTGATATATTATTTTTCATCCCTTAAGGCCATAACATTTAATACAGGAAACAATTTGTTATATTGTTAAAGCAATTTGGACAATTCATTAGTGGGGTTATATAATAAAAGCAGACTTTTTGGTCAAATCTGGAACAAACAATATTTAGTGTTGCATGTTTTCTTGGTTTGAATGGGAATATGTATGTGGTAGTCTGGGATGGAGGAGTCATAAATGATTTATACAGAGTATAATATAATATTTACCACTTTTCAGTTTCCAATTTATACACATTAGTAACCTTGTTAACATACCTCTCGTTTTTCACTGCAGATCTTACAAAGCCACAATGGCTGGTGGTGGCTGTTGAATGTGTCTACCCCACATTTGGTACACACAGCCTTAAGAGAGAGAAAATTTTGAAAGGTTATTTAGATAAGTGCATATCCCTAAATGTATAGAAACTGAAATATAAAATTCATATGAAAAAAATCAGTTAACAAATCACATTTTGAAGATATCATGATAACATGCTAATCATTTAAGGAAATGAAAAGAGCATGAAAAAGTAATTCCCAAGAAACCCTAAAAGTAATGTAATTTGCAGGAACATGTGATAAGGTAAAGAATAATCACATGGAAAAGACAATTATCTCTAAACAGTGTTAGTTTTCTTTCAATTATTCAAAGACCTGAACCTTTTTTTTTTTTTTTTTGAGAAAAAAGCCACGAAATGGTGTAGAAACGTTCCCAAATGTTACCTAATCTACTGTAACCCAATAAATCATTTGAATTAAATGAAATTACAAAATGAAAGGCAAAACCATTTAGAAATCAATCAAGTTCGCCAATTCATCATGGGAACTTTCAAGAAAGTAATAAATAAAGCATGCACTTCCTGATGCTATTAAAAGCTACTGACGGCAGGAACCCTGCCATACTGAACAGCATATTATTTCTCAAACTGTGAGACCAGCTAATTTTCTGTATCCTGGAAAAATCAATTGTTGTTTAGGGCTTACTTTTTTTCCTTTATGCAGTTAATTTTTTCTGCTTTCACCTTATACTTTACAAAAGCTTAATGGTGCCTGACTACCTTACAACTAACCATACTAAACAACTAATACAAACTCTTATAAGCTTTAAAAGTACCAGAACATGGTCTTAGGATTGGTAGGCCAAAATGAAATATATAAAAAACTAACAATAAAACTGAATGACAATTTAATAATTCAGTTATTATACCCTGAGAAACTAGCCAATGTGTTCTGAATACAGTTATAGTAGGATACCTTGTGGGAAGGTGGGAATTTATATAATAAGTCCAAACAAGTGAAAAAGAAAAAGTGTGCATTGACCAAGTTATCCACCTAAATCTGTGTTTGAATCTTAAAAATGCAGGTGGAGCTGCTGTGTCGGGATCTAGATCTCCTCATGCGGCTAAAGTAGGCATTGTGCAATTTAACTGAGCAGGTGGCACTGTGTGGATTAATTAAATCTGATATCTAAAGCTAGGGTCCATAAAATTACCATTGATAATTTTTTAACTTATTGCAACTACCATTATAGCATTTATTTTAAAATAGATACAATAGCAGTTGGAACAAGGAGTCAAACTTTTTAGCCTTTCCCTCTGTATCCATCATAATACTGCAGAATGACCTGTACTCTGAGATTCATCATTTTAATGTCTTAACTGACTTAATCAAAAATCAATGAACAGGATTTGTGTTCTTCCACAAGAATTGTTTTCGAAGAAACTTAGACAAAAAACTCAGTATCAGTCTATTCCATACTTAATGTGCACCGAAATCAATGTTTGCTTAGTTTGTGGCATAATCCGATAATAATGCCAAGGAAATAAATGCAGTTTTCTCCGAGAACTTTTCTTTATTCAGGACTGACAATACCAATCTCCAAACTTCCCTTATCTGAAATGCAGCATGCATTGGTGCCAGTGTTCATTGTGTGCTCACAAGCAAGACTTCCTTGGCATTAAATGTTCGATTGATTATTCTGCAATGTTGTATTTGATCAATATTTTGACCGCCTTGCTCTGGTCCTTAGTTAATGCTCAGATGACTGTGAACACAAGGCTAAAATCCTATTGTTTTGGGCTGTTTCAGCTCAATTTATCCTCACAAGTCAAACATTACTGTCATGCCACATAACCCAGAACTGCCTCTGCCTTAGTATGATTTGACTTGGAAGATACACTGGCAGATAAATTCTAACTCGACTGTCATGTTCAATACACTATATAGCCATGAGTTTTTCCTATGTATTTTAATTTTGATTTGAATCTTTATTTGCCTATCATAACAGCTTCATTACTGACAACTACAACAACCATGGCACTGTAACCTAAACAGGCCTACCCAACTACCAGACTCGGCACCAAATGATCCTGCATTCACCGGTAGATCAGACCACACTACACGTTTTCAAGGTGTGTGTCAGATCGCATTACACAGTATCAGACGCGACACAGCTCTTGCCTAGTATGCGATGTGATAGTGACGATTCTCAGCGGGGTTGAAAAGCATTGCATCACCACTCAAAATTTGTTCAGGGTATGATACTGTGTAATGCGATCTGACACACACCTTGAAAACGGGTGGTGTGGTCTGATCTACCGGTGAATTCAGAAAAATTCGGTGCCGAGTCTGGTAGTTGGGTAGGCCTGCTAAAGCATGAGGTTAAATAAAGTTTTTTTAAATTCAAAACTCTAAAAAGTCTTTTCTTCTAATTTAAACTCTCATAATCTAAAGGAAGATACCTTTGTAAAATATCATGACACATCTGTAAATTTATTCTTAGAAGCACATATTTCAATGAAATGTAACTCTATGTAAAAATACTCATGCTGCATGTAAATAGCCACACAATACAGAAAAAATCTGCCCTGTCCTTTTGTGGGTATTCATTAAAAGTCAAAAACAAGCAGAAAAGTGTAATAACAACAACTGCTGAAAAATGTCATGTGAAATCTCATACCACTTAAATAGTGCTTCTAGGACACCAGGTTGTCATAAGATGTCAAGCTTTCCACCCACATTTCCTGAAGACCACACAACCACTGCAAACCTAAAGCTATAGAAAGCCACTTAAAACATTCACTCATGAGATTTTGTAAAAGAACAACAATAACATAATTTTTCTCACCAACTGACTACTTAGTCAAACATATATTTTCATTCCTTTTACCTAATGACCACTTTCAAACAGTCTATTTTCACTTTGTATAAAAATGAAACTTTTATAACTTTAAAATGAAAAAGCATGCTTCTGGACCAGAGGAGTAGAATTTCAAATATAATAAAAAAAGAAAATTGAAAAACAAAATGAAAGAATATTTCTAAGGAAAAAATGGTGTAAGGTGTACCTAGTGGACCTTAAGTGAGTGGTGTCTTGGTCACTGCTTCAACATCAGTTAATTTAGTTCCATAAATGCTTCTGCCTACACATTCTATACACATTCTATTTTCTGACCAATATCATATTCTTCCATTCTGCAATATTTATGATGGCCCTCAATAGCAACTATCATAAAATACCAACAGTCTGCAAACACTACAATAAGGTGCAGTGTTTACTTTTGTTGCAGTTCTATTCCCACTGAAAAGTCGTTTAATGTTATCTATCTTATGATCTGCTGGTACTTTTCAATTCCAACATTTATTGGTTGTATTTTCAAGTCGGCATTTGGCAATAACCTTCAGATTATTTACATTGTTAGATCGAGTCATGTAATTAAATCTACATGACATTTCAGCTCAGAGTCAAAAATATGCTGTAATGTTTATAAATTGCAAACATGTAAAAAGACACCAAGTGCAGTTATTGAATGATTTCTATTTTCTTTGAATTTTATTCTCCATACCCATCAGGAGCAATTAATCTAATCTAATTTATCAAATGTGATCAACATTAGGTGAGAGAAACTGTAGAAGGTGATATGTCCAAAGAAAGGTGTGTCTAATAACAGCTGGGCAGTTTGACAGATCGACAGATAACCTGACTTCAATGGGAATCATCCAATGTGACCAAAAATATGGGGATTTACAGTAAAAATAAGCAAGGCATTGCAGGAAGAAGAAGAAGAAGAATGGTGTCAAAAATAATGGCAGAAAAGCAAGTGCAGTGTGACAACAAATTAAAGTTGAATGAAATCATTTGCAGACATTTTTTCTGGTTTTCTCTGAAGTTCTATAGAATTACAGTCTTTTACATATTAGTGCATATTCACCATTTGATTTGCATGGTACTTTGGTATTGCTTTCAACGATGATATTCCCAGTGCACAGTTAAATCAGATTTGTAATAGCCCCACCTCATGCAAATTCTCATTTTCTAGTCTCATATGACACCACATAGTGCCAACAGCCAGCAAAATGATTTCCATTGTGCTGGGGGAGAGAGCAATTATTTTTTTTTACCTTTCCACAGTCTTCACAATAAGTTGGTGAAGCACCAAGCATGCCAAAGGTATCACCACATAGTACACACTGGGAATCTCCGCTGCCAATAGCATTTTTCTTCATGTTTTCTAATCTCTCCACCAGCCTCCTGAAAAAATATAAATGTACATAATATTCCAGTAAGTAGAAAAACAATGCAAAATTGATCCCCCCCTCCCCCGAATAATAAATAAATAAATAAATAAATAAATAAATAAATAAATAAATAAATAAAAATAGTGTGATGGATGGGAATGTAACCTCACATCTCAATACAATTTTTTTCTACCTCATAATTTCCATATCTTAATATGTCTTACATGTAACCTTTCTTTCTATGAAAAAACATACCGATCTTTATCAAAATCTCTATGGTTTATATGTTACTTAAATAAAGTAATGACCACTGACAGGTGAATTATCTGTAAAGTGATTTATCAAGGCATGTTACTTCTGATCTCCACACTGTCTCTATTTGTTGCACATAAAACAATAACCTGATGGAGCACTGACAAATTAAATGAGAAATATTTCATATTCAGAATGGGTATAAAAAAAAACAAAACTATTGCCTGTGGTTAGTAAGGAGGCATGTAAACCTCATGTTCAATATAAGATAAATAAGTACATGTTGACATGACTTGCCCATGGATAATAACAACATATCTTGGAGCTGGTGCTATAGTATACAGTAACCAGCTTCTGGCAGCCATCACATAGGCATAGCCAATGGTCCAAAATAATATATAGCCAATATATGCTGGCACTTAGTGCCACTCTAATTCCCTAGGCATACATGTAGATAGCATCCAGCAATTTCATTTTCTTCTCATTTTGAGAGTCTTTGATGAAATTAGAATGGTGTATTTAGCTTTAATTCATTTCTTCTGGATTCAAAGATAAAATAAAAAAGTGGCATAATAATTGGGACAAAAAGTGTTTCATTTATTGCAATGACAATAACCCTTTAACAGAAAGCTAATATTTATCATGCATACAAATAAATCACATGCTTCATTTTCTATCATGCAACGGCAGCAAATATTTTATCCTGGGCTGCAGTGTGGAAACATAAATGATGGCAGCACTAGGGCTATGTACAGACAGCATGCCTTGTCACCTAAAAGTATTTGAGTTTAGAAACATTTTTGTACAGGGAACTTGTCAGGCCCACAAAGAACTGATTTTTCAAAACTGTGTAAATACGAACAGGGCAGAATGGAAAGTTAAAACATCACTGGATATATATATATATATACACACACACACACACACAGAGAACTTCTATAAAATAAATAAATAAATAAATAAATAAATAAATAAATAAATAAATTATTCAATTAATTAACAGCCTGTGGCAATAGAAACCAGGTGCAAATTACATTCTCAAAGTGCCATTTCTATAAACAACTGTATTGAGGAGCTTTAGCATAAAATGTGACATCTTTGCCTTAACAGCATCATTAACCCTGTCCACGACTGGGAGTTGGTTCCAGTGTATGGTCAGTAGATCAATAATAAGAGTAATCCCCTGTTTAACTTGCTGTAAGAAAAATCTGAAAACCATTACAAGTTTCACACCATTGAACAGAGCTTTCGATAAGAAGCTGATAACCTAATCACCTGAAGACAACTATGTTACACAAGTTCCTAAGTCTTATAAGATTACTAAGACTTTTAACTGGAAAAATATTGATTTTTCTTTGGTTTCAGGATCAGATAATGCTTGCCTGTATACTGCTCAAGGGATTATCCCAGCTCTGATGCTCTCCTAGCCATTGGGGAAAATGAGAAACCTTTCTACCATACAAACACTAGATTATTTCTATCACTTTCTAGAGAATAATTTCATTTTTTTTGTCATTTTCTAGGGTGTTATATCATGAACAGATCTGCTTGCCTATACACAGCACTGATGCTATCTTTCTCTTCTTGAAAAAAAATGCTGATATTATAACCTAACAAAAACTGAAAATCTTTTTTAAATCACGAGTTTCAGTGCTCACCTTATGAGAACCAAAACCCTAAGGGGATTTAACTTTGCATGATGAATACGCACTACAGTAAAATGTTTTCATGCACAAATCTCATTTTTGAAAAGTGTTCATGCAATAATGTTTTCAACATCAAATAAAAAGTAACATTTGACAGCCAAATTTACCTGACCCAGGCATAAAACAAAAAAGCATATAAAAGTCAGGCTGGACATGCCAACAGGAAATTTCTTGAAAAATCTTGAATTACCAATAAACAGGCAAAGAAACCCTGAATTAATTCCCCCATAAACAAGCACAAAAGTTCTCTTGATATGTACCTAGTCCAGTAAATTTTTCCAGTTTCAGAGCTCAATTCCCAGTCTCCCTCCCTTGATGACATTGTCATATTTAATTAGTTTCATAACAATTTCAGATAAATAAGACATAGGAAATCCATTTTTGTGGAAGTTAAAAAGGGGAAATAAATACTTTATTGAGACTAAAAAGTTGAGTAAAAACACTGGTGGTGTCATCCACATTGAAAATGTCATCAGATCTATAAAAGTTGAAAATCCACTTCACAAATATTACAGAAAAAATGCATTAACATTTGGAGCCTTTGGAGATTTCACAACCCAAAAATTGACAGCCTGTCTCAGAAAAAATGAGTTAATCTTCAAAAGGGATGACAGTTATAAATTTGCTTATGTAGATAATATAGATATTGTGTTTGCAATTGCAAGTTGGTTTTCATCTGTAGATAAAAAAATCATTACTAAAAAAAAAAAAAAAAAAAAAATTAGAAGAATTTTGCCAATGTAAATCATTAGTCTTTCAAACATACAGTTATTCATTGATTTATTCTAACCAAATAAACTAATAAAGTAATAAATGCAATGTAATTATTTGACTGAAATTATTAAGCTCAATGTTAAAATATGAAATTACACCAGAATGAGTTCTTCTACCCATAATACTCAATGCATTTCCAGAGGCAGTAATCTCTTGGTGTGCTCAGGTGGTTAGCATCATTCTGAGACTATTTTGGAACATCCATGATTATAAGTAATGTGGAGTGCATGGTATATCAAGTTCACATTAATCAAGTAGACTGTAGCTGTTTGTGTCACTGTATATCATATGAAATAAATCTCACATTTTCAACCATGAACTTTATAACCAACTATATAGATCCGAGAGGCGCAGCCTCCTGGATATATATATATGTACCACCGGCTGAGTAAAGTACTTTCTACCAGCCTGAGGGTAACATTTTCACTATATATTCACAGAGATTTCTCTAGCTATTCATCAGCTGTTCACATTTCTCAGATTACATAACAAGCATTTAGTCCTCAGAAAGTTTGGAAGTTGATTTAATAATAAAACAAAGAAAATGCTCACCAGTTGGGATAACTGGTTTTCTTTTACATTTCATCACAAAAGTACAGCAAGAATTTTTGCACAAAAATGGTGTCATAAGTCTCCGTATGGTAGAGAGGAAGGGATAAGTACATTAATGGGATAATACCAGACAGAGTCACTTTTAGAGGAACCATATAGTGGTTATAAGGTGGTTACATAATCTAAAAAAGTGGGCAATGCATTTGAACCTTAAAAGCTACTTGAGAGCATTTGCTTACATGAGGTGCAAACTACTTAGCAAAGCTCGTTGTTACTCTAGTACTAACAGCTATTTTCTCTAGCTAGTACGTAGTAAAGTAAAACGCAATTTCTGAAAAATGCAATTTGTGAATTACAAGGTAAGGAACAAACAAACAAGTAATATCATTTGAATATGAAATTATTTTTATGTAAATTCCAATGCTCATTGCTGCTCTAACAACTGCACTGATCCAAGTTGATGACAGCTGAGATGGACCTGATGCTGACCATAATATGTGCTGACCATAATAAAATGCTCGTCATAATGAAAATAAAAGCCTACAAAACTAGTGTGTGGAAAGAGATTGTACAAACTATCTACTGCAGCAAATGTGGATGACTTTTCAAGTGGGAAATGCAAGAAAGGGTGAAATGACTGAAATTCCAAATCTTTTATGATGAACAAAACGGCTTTCGAACTCACAAATGGAACAGGACATCCCTGAACCATTGCAGACCCAATCCATCCATCCATCTCTACATTAATGTGTACAACTCTGTTAAGACATGTTAATTCTAGGGCTATCATGCCCCATTAATTGTAGCCCCTCATCCACTGGTGGAAATCAATAGATTGCGTGATGAGTGAAATGTAATCAATATCAATTGACTGTATTATTCTGTGAGAACCATCCACAACAGCACTTCTGGACAAACTGTACACTGAACAGATTCTTCACGGGCCTCTAAGAGCGCATTCTCAACGAATTAAGCCAGGCTTTACAAAGCCGGTGACCTAAAAATGGCGGACGTACATGAAAGAAAAACCGCCTAATCTTTTAATAGTCTCTCCGCCTCCCCACACGTCGTCCCTGCGGGGTACAGTAATTAAATCTCGGCTCCGTTCGCCATGCGGAAGCTACCTGAGAAATATTAAGTGCGCATGCTCATCAGTTAAACTCGTGGTGAAGAAAGCATGGCGGCTGAAGGCGATCGAAGGAAAAAAGCTCTTCTGTTCTATTATCTTTGAAAACAGAGACGAAAAAGGAATAATTTGGCCCGTAGAGCAGCAATGAATCGACTATCTACGGAGATAATATCACCAGAGATATTCACGGAAATATTAATGTTCGGAGCCGAGATTTAATTACTGTACCCCGCAGGGACGACGTGTGGGGAGGCGTGTGAGAGGCGGAGAGACTATTAAAAGATTAGGCGGTTTTTCTTTCATGTACGTCCGCCATTTTTAGGTCACCGGCTTTGTAAAGCCTGGCTTAATTCGTTGAGAATGCGCTCTAAATATGGTTAGGATCCTCAAGATTACAGACTTGTTTTGATGAAGCCTGTTTACTTTTGACCTTGGCAGGTGTTGACCAAGAGATACTGGCACCTGAAGCTATACAAGACAAATCAGAAATCCAGAAACCAAACTCAACAGGAAAATTCACTGTATATCCTCATGTGCAAATACATTTTTCTTTACAAAATTACATACCCAACGTACATAATGCAACCTTTCTCATGGTGCAGGGAAAGTGAAGGGAGTCAGTGGCAGTTAAGTAGTAAATGGTTTGCACACAATTCATAATGAATTGATTTTCAAGCCATTTCCATGAGCTTTTTGGTGGCTAGGAAATTAAAGTTAAAGCTTACAGAAAATTTAGTACAATAGCATTTAAGATAGTTAATTGCTCATCTGTGACAATAAAACAGCCTTTTAGCAGACAGACAAGACAAGGCAGGTTGCGTAACAAGCGTTAATTACATTGACATGAAGCCCAACTCTCACTGAGCTCCTGCAGAGCGAGTACAAAGCGCGTGGGCAGAGTTAATTGTTTCCTCCTGGCCAAACGTAACAGGGTCGCCTCAGCAAATATGTCCACAATAATAACTGCCACCCTGGTAGAGGGTATAGCTGTACCATTACTAACATTAATCATGCTACAGGGGATTTTGCTTGCCTTCACTAGTTTGCTACATTTTGTGCTGAAGTTTTACCAGGCCCATACACTCTTTAACAATGCAAGAAAGGCATTGGTTTGAAAGATTAGAGCAGATTTCAAAAACTTTTTTTGTTAAAAAAATATCATCCTTTTTTTATACAATATTCTCTTGAGACAAAAAAAGTTAATTCACCAACTACTTGGATTAAAGAACATAAGGTGTTTTTTACTGATGATGACATTTGAAGATTGATTTCTGGCCAAAAAATGTCAGGCAGAACTGATGGTTAGCCATGATAATGGGAAAAGTGAAGTCATCAATCAAGTTGATTATTGGAGTTTATAACAGCAGTGATACAAAAGCTGGGTTTCACGCAAGCTACATATTCTTATGCTTCCTCCTCAAAATCTCTCTCTTTATTCCAATTTCTTAACAAATAATATCTGACACACTATTTTCATGGAGGCTCATCTTAATTAAAGATGCCCTTGGAATGGAAATAATCAAAACAAAAAAGTAATGAAGGTAGAAAATAGAGTATGAAGACATAATTAAAGCCAATTTCCAGTTAAGTTGAGATGGCTGAACTAAGTATGTGCTATGTGTATATCTGGAGGTCATGTTGTGGGTATCATAGGAGACAGCCCTAAGTCTCACAGCTTTATACAAAATCAAGCAGGATTTTGCAGGATTTGGAAGAGAGTGGGGTCAGTAAACATGGGAAACTAGGGAGTGCAGTAGGGCAATGAATAAATGCAAAAAAAAAATTATAATCAGATTTTTTTTCGTTTTCTCTTACATTCTGTTGAATAACAGCCAACTGAACAATAGTGCAAATTAACCACGTTTTGCATGCCACTTTTTGTATTGATTTCTATGGCAACAGTCACTCTTGATGCCAAAAGGTTTGCCCCACCTCACACAGATTCTCACACATTTTCTAGCCTCATATGACATCATGAAATACCTCTCTGAATGATTTCTACTTGATCACCATAGGTTAGCAAATATTTTCCTTCTTTTGTCCCACCCACCCATTTAAGACAAGCTGGCTAAGGTAATTTAAACCCATTTTATTCTTTTTTTCTGTCTCCTAACCACAATCACTGCTTGTTCATGTTTTACATTTTACAACATATCACTACAGTTAATAAATGTGCATACAGTAAAGGTTATAACACACACAACTTGCTCCTGCTCTCATATTTAAAAGAAAGACGGTAAAGGTTATCTTTAGATAAATTGCGTGACATTATCCATGGAAATGATAGTCCAATAATTACAAAGTGGAGAATATCATTGCTTAACAGATATGAAGAGCGATCTTAAAGGGATAACAATATAAGATTCAATATTCCAGAGTAAATACTTTGAAAACAACACATAGAAAATATAATAAATTCCATTTTACCATTAAAACAGCTGCAGTTAGTGCAATTATTTTGTAATCTGTTTTTGTCATCAGACGAGGTAGACCTTCATAGATGGCTATCCTACGTAATAATCTCTTTTTATGTAATAATCTCTTAAGTGATTATTATAAAAACCACACTTTAAAACAAGGCAGCAAAGCTGTCAAATGTACAGACAAAAAGCAGGAAATAACAAAATAGGCTACTGTCAATTCTGATGTAAAAGTACATTATGTTAAACTGCAAATTCAACATCAAATTTTAATTATGCTCAACAGGTAATACCAATGTAAGTAAAATGTGTAACAAGCATAAGGCTTCAGGCCCATGGGAGTTCAAGTTCACACTTTGAAAATGTAAAACTTCCAGAAAAAGAAGTCAATTAGACTGCTTTTCCAACTCAGGCTGCATTTTAGTCCTGTGTTTCTTTTTTAAAAGTTTGACAATCATAAGTAATATGGTTTTCCCATGATGGTCATCATGGCAGCAATACCCAAAATTGTGTTTTCTTCTATTTTGATGCAATATTTCATAATGCTTAACATCATAAAGACCATCAGTTTTTAATAATAAA